AATTTTGTAGACAAGGTACAAATATTCGTTGCTTTGTTATGCATCTGAGAATAACTAATTCAGAACTATTCTTTTCCTGCTTATTGAGAATCAGAATGTGTTGGACTGAAATCCGATGCAATAGATCTAACAAACTTGGAAATTGCGGAAGATTTAATGATTCGAGGTTGTTCCATTTAAACTTTTTAAAAAATTCCAGTTTCATGATCATTGATTTATTTAATGCTTTGGTCTCACACGAATTAAATTTATTCATCCTTGCATGACAAGGAAGGTTTTATTTCAGTTTTTAACGTTTGGTTTCCTAAGTCACGCGTTTGTTTGTTTTTTTTTTCCATTTGTAAGCGGGTAATAAACTAATTTCATAGCCTTCTTTTCGCTCTTCCATGAAAAATGAAACAGTTTGCACGGAAAATTGCAATAATTTTGTGGTTGAAGATTTAAAAATCCAAACAATCTGACAAACTGGTGGAGATTTGCTTTAAAGAAATTTGACTTCGGCTTCCAGATGTCTGTGAAATAAATACGTCTACCCCACCTCGGCGCCTTGACATGAAACACCCTAGAGTAATTCTCCTTTCAAGCTACTTTAAATTTAGACATTAGTCTGGAGAATTTGGTTTTTGATCAAAATAACAACCTAAAACTGATAAGTATGTTTACTCTCTCCATCTTTTGCTTGATAATATATTGGAATTTCAAGGAAAATTTACAAGTCATTTCATACCATGAGGAAGAGGGTTTGATCGACCACACAGCAAGTTGATGAGTGACCAATTTTTCGATTTTATTCTATGTATCTCATGAATAAGGTGCTCACGATGTTATTCGATAAAAGGATTGGTCACAAGACTAGCTATTACTTCTAAACTTGATGAAAACGAGAAAGAAAATAAGTAAAAGAACGGACTGATCCTAATATACGACGGAAAGCTTATCAAGAGCAAATTCGAAGTGACACGAAGAAAAAAATATTTCCATAGTAATATTCCTTTTTTTTGTTCGTAGGTAAAACACGATTTCGAGTGTCATTTGGTGTTAATAAGCACGAGTTAATTTTTCAAAGACAATAAAATTGCACCACAGGTGTGAGATGATCATTTTGCGCAATAACGGTCATGGCGGAATTATGAGTTTGAATATTTACGACATACAAACTCTTATAATTCCGCCATGACCGTTATTGCGCAAGATGATCATCTCACAGCTGGAGCTTGGGCCGCCTGTGACTGCACTAGCCCGTAATTTATATGGAAAAACCATCAGAGCAAGTCAAGAGGGACAAATAATGACAGCGTGCGCTATTTGTAACTTTCAGTTGTGTTACAACTTTGTACTAGCGTAACATGAAAAATGCACTCGTTTTCAGCCACCTAAAACTGTGTGATTTTTATCATGTATCTTATCATTCTCGTAATCATGTGCATGTTGGTACTAACACTCTGTTCATTAATCCTTTTGTTCAAGGCTTTTTTGAATATCTTCTTTTCAAAAGATGAAATGAGACATTTATTTTTTTATCGATGTTTTGTTGAGAGATATTTATTTCATTATAAGTTGATTTTGGTTTTCATCTGTCATATGATCATAAAACTAGACTCAGTATGTTTTCTGTTTCTGTTCGTCCTGTATAGCTCACAGTGCTCTTGATCATTTTTATGAACACTGGTTAAAATTTATGGCATTGTTTTACGAAAAAAGTATTTGCAGTAAACATGGAGTGTACCTAAAGCAATGTGAAAAAATTTGACCCTGTTAATCGCTATATGCACTTATAAGAATTTTAATTCTAGTTTTTTTTTTTTTACTTCTAATTAAAACTGGAAAATTTTGCCTCCTCCGGAAACAAATCAAAACATAAAAGAAGGTCGGTGTTTTGGCTCGAATACAATATTTACTGTCTACCCAGAGTAAAAGCTTGAAATTGTAACGGAAAATCATTTCAAGTTCCACTGATTTGGAACTCAACCGGCTGGACGTTCATACACATTACGCTGAACGAGTCAACGCATGCAGCCATTTGCGAAATTGTAACCAAAAATATAATTTCATTTTTTTAATCAACGTCTTTTTCGACTTTGCCGTCCTAATAGTTCATGAATTATTATTCAACGCCAAGTTTCCTATTCATTTGATCTATCTGTAACAACCGTCAATTCAGCGTCAATTCCATGTTTCCTACGCTCAGCACACTGTTCGAATACAATACCACATGAGAAATCCTTACAAACAAGCAACTGTCCCTGTCCCTAGCCTTGAAAATTGCCACAATATCGTCTAGAGCCTTAGTGGTAATGGTTCTCGACCAATGAGCGCGAGAGAATTTCTACAGTTGTTATCAAAAATTTTTTGACTGGTGTTCGCTTCAGATGAACAAATCGAGAAGAATTGTGCGCCCAACAAACGGATACGCAGTAAAGGGAACACAAATTTCTAAGAGAACTAATTACTGGGATGCCTGTGGTGGCCCAGTCATAAAACGCCTTTGTTTTTTTTCGTCTTTTTTTTTTTCCTCCGCTACAAAATGGAAAAATTGCACAATAGTACCCAGTGGTCATTGGGCCCTTAACACCATGACAACTAACTGTGATCCAGTGAGGGTGAAGGCGTTCACATGCTGATCACGTGTGTTATCTTGATGACGATTGACGTTGTAATGTACGGACAGGGCCGGGTCACATGACGAACCACGAAATTTTTGCTTATAAAACTCTTTTGTCAGTCAATTTGTTTTTGTTCTGGGGTTATTGTTTTGGTAATGGAGATTCAACGATTTGGGTTACGATTACCTGGAGCTTTATGGTGCAAACGCTCAAAATACTTACAGACGCATACACAAGTAATATTGTTCACTACTTGGAACGGATTGAGCCCCATCCTCAAGGAATTTGTATGCTGTTAGAAGTTAACATCTTAAATGAGCTGATAAACTATTCTGAAGGTCTTCATCAAAATCCAAATGTTTTATTTGAACTCAAAGGTGTACATATTAATGAAAAACAATGTGATATGACAGATATTTCTTATCAACAGTTGTCAGCTGTCCCCCTCGAAGCAAATCATGCAGATGCTGAAATTACAACCATTAATATTCCCTTGTTATGTTGTTGTGCCGCATCTTTTTATAGCATTTTTTTTCCATTATCATATATTGTGAGTATTGGGAATTCACATACTCTATAGATAGAATCACTAAGCATGCAAACAGGTTTTACAGAGAAAAACTCAATGGCGATAAAAATCCACACACAATCAGCAATTACCCAAGGACACTTAAATATATGATTCAGATATTAATATTGCCTTTAACTTGGAGAAACAAGGAATACAATGATGTACATCTCTTGGTAGCAAATTATTGCTTCAGAATTTAATCACAGATAATACTAAGGACAATACTGGGTTTTTAATGTAGATTTCAAATTATTGCCTCAGCTGTATTTTTCAGCACAGTAATATGAAAACAAAAGCAAAAAGTGTTAAGTAATCTATTATAAGATTCAGTCCTGATAGCACACAGGCGACCCAAGCTCCAGCTGTGAGATGATCATCTTGCGCAATAACAGTCATGGCGGAATTATAAGAGTTTGTATGGAAATATTTACGACCGCTCTAAGGAATGAAAAAATAGATCAAATTCTCAAAAAAAAAAAACCTCACCTTACCTCCACAGCGTATTGCTTGTTATCTGACCGCTTACTTTGATGAAAAGAACGCATTTTAGCGAGTTGTTCATTTTGGGTTTTTCAACGTACATAAGAAAAACGCTGAACACTCCATTTCCAAACGCTCGATCTGAGAAGCGAAAAATTCCAGCACAAAATGACCGGGCGGCCACAAATCCAACGCAGAATCCAAGCACATATACTGTAGTTTCATTTCAATTCACTACAAACTCAATCTTCCTCGTGCAACCGACGCTAAGCCGCAGTTTGCTTCAAAAATTTCCAGTTCAGAGGTTTCTCACAGCCCGCGTCCACATCAACCTTGACACACGATCGTTGACAACCAGCTAGGTAACCTTGCCTCCTTTTTAAACTGAGCCTCGCCGGGGACCCCACTGTAACTTAGCATGAAGAAATTGTCTTAGCACTACGGGTGCCAAGTTACAGTGGGATCCCCGGCGAGGCTCAGTTTAAAAAAGGAGGCAAGGTTACCTACATTTGGATTTTGAGAATTTGGCGTATTTTTTATTCCTTAGAGTGGTCGTAAATATTCCCATACAAACTCTTATAATTCCGCCATAACCGTTATTGCGCAAGATGATCATCTCACAGCTGGAGGTTGGGCCGCCTGTGGATAGCACAGCTTTTCAAAGTAAGTTAGGGATGGCCCATATTATGTTTGCTCTGTTTGTAACAGAATACTATACAGAAAAACTGTTATCCAGTTAAAAAAACAAATGTACAACACTTAGCAAGAACTATTTACTGAGTTGTATACCCATGATTCCTCTCCGTCTTGGAATGAACTATCGCCGATGACAACCTTTTTCGAAATAGATGTATGCCCTTGGGTAGACTTGAGCTCGCTATTTCAGTATACTAGTCCAACACCCGTAGTATCACTACAATTGATCCCAAGGATCCATTACCATCCAGGTATCCCAGTTACCCTGCTCACAGGGTCTAGTTTCAAAAAGAATAGGAATGCGAAGACTGTTATCTGAAATCCTACTCAGATTCTTTGTAAATATTTTCCTTTTTTATACTTGTTTTGCTTCTTTTTGTTCCAATTTAACGGCAGACCTAAAATGTGCAGCTGTGATGAATAACACACAAGGCATCCTCAAAACCATCTGGATAGGTTTGAATGTTGCTAAATATCTTCTCAAGACTGGTCGTGTGCTACAAGCGACTGAGTTATACGATGAAATTTTAATATTACTCCACAATCTGGACGTCACTAATCACCTTAATATCACTGAGGTGATATTCAATGCATACTACCCCATCTCTGGTTACGCAAATGCCGCAAGATACACCAAAAAAATTCTTGAAATGTTTCACGAAGCTGGAATACTAACCATACGACTAGCTGCCAAATATAGTAAAGAAGGTAAGCTTGCACTGGTTAAAAGAATTTTGGAAAGTGCAGTGAATATCACTAAAACAAATGGCCCATCAAAAGCAGAATGGGTGGCCTATAGTTACCTTGGATGTACTTTGATATCACTCGGTGAGTATCAGAGAGCTAGAGAATATCTCGTGAGAGCCCTTGCCATAGCTATAGAAATTGGCGACAAAGGCGGAGAAGGTGTATCGTACGGTAGCCTGGGAAATATGTTTCAATTATTTGGAGAAGACCAGAAGGCTAAAGAATATTATGAGAAAGCCCTTGCCATCGCTATAGAAATTGGCGACAAACAAGTACAAAGTGCATTGTACAGTAACCTTGGAAGTGTTTTTGAATCGCTTGGAGAAGACCAGAAGGCAAAAGAATATCATGAGAAAGCCCTTCCCATCGCTATAGAAATTGGCGACAAACAAGTACAAAGTAAATCGTACGGTAACTTTGGAATTTTTTTTGAATCGCTTGGAGAATACCAGAAGGCAAAAGAATCTTATGAGAAAGCCCTTGCCATCGCTATAGAAATTGGCGACAAAAAAGTACAAAGTGCAGCATACAATAACCTTGCAAATTTTTTCCAATTGGGTGGAGAATTCCAGAAGGCTAAAGAATATTGTGAGAAAGTCCTTGCCATCGCTATAGAAATTGGCGACAAACAAGTACAAAGTAAATCGTACGGTAACCTTGGAAGTGTTTTTAAATCGCTTGGAGAATACCAGAAGGGTAAAGAATATTATGAGAAAGCCCTTGCCATCGCTATAGAAATTGGCGACAAACAAGTACAAAGTGCATTGTACAGTGACTTTGGAATTGTTTTTAAATCGCTTGGAGAATACCAGAAGGCTAAAGAATATTATGAGAAAGCCCTTGCCATCGCTATAGAAATTGGCGACAAACAAGTACAAAGTGCATTGTACAGTGACTTTGGAAGTGTTTTTGAATCGCTTGGAGAATACCAGAAGGCAAAAGAATATTATGAGAAAGCCCTTCCCATCGCTATAGAAAGTGGCGACAAAAAAGTACAAAGTTCATCGTACGGTAACCTTGGAAATGTGTTTCAATCACTTAGAGAAGACCAGAAGGCAGAAGATTATCGTAAGAAAGCCCTTGCCATCGCTATAGGAACTGGCGACAGGATATTTGAAGGCAAATTGTACAGGAGCTTTGGAGGAAATCTCTTGCAACTTAGAAAAACTGTTCAGGCTAAAGTTTATTACGACAAGGCACTCACCATAGCAACAGAAATTGGTGACAGACCATCAGAAATTGAATGTTACGAATGCTTAGCATTTGTGTTGACTAGCATTCAGGACTATCAGACGGCTAAAGAATATCAAAAGAAAGCGCTTGCCATTAGCATAGAAATTGGCCATATAGAACACGAATTAGAAATCCTTAGTAACCTTGCACAGACATATCGATTAGTTGGTGAATATGTTGTTGCCGAAGAACTCAGCCAGGAAGCATTGTTTATATCCAGGGAAATTGGAGCTAAAATGTCAGAGTATAAAATTCTTCTCGGAATCACGTTCTTAAAATATTCGCAATTAAAGCATGAGGATGAAAAGACCTTTCTCCTCGAAAGCATTCAAAGATACGAACAACTGCGAAATTCTCTAGGAGGAAACAAAGAATTTGAAATATCCTTGTTAGAGAAGTATGGTTCTTTTCCCTACAAGCGGCTCAGTGACCTGCTTTGTGATCTCGATAGTCCTCGCGACGCTCTTTATGTCGAGGAACTGGGACGAGCTAGAGGCCTTGCAGAATCATTGGCAAGCAATTTTTCCGCGGTAAACCACATCTCAGCTGATCCAAAATCATGGTTTGGGATTGAAAACATCGTAAGGAAAGAAAGAGGCTGTGTTTTCTTATACATGTCGTATTTTGAGACGTATACTCATCTCTGGGTATTAAAAGGAGATGGAGATATTAACCATCGCATAAGCTCAATCGTGATAGACAGCAGTCTCATCGCTGAGTCACTTTTCAACGTGGAAGGAATTTTCAAAAAAGTGCCGTAAAGTTCGGCGTCAAATTGAACGAGAATTGCGAAGGTCGTTCTTTACAAGGTTGTGGAACCAAAGATGACGAGTCACTTCTCCATTTGTGTTACAAACTGATTTTTGCCCAAGTGGGCGATTTACTCACCGAGCCTGAAATCATCATTGTGCCAGAGAAGTGTTCTTACCGAGTCCCGTTTGCTGCTTTGCGTGCCGACTCAGCTGGGAAGTATCTGTCAGAGACGTACAGAATCCGCATCGTCCCCTCTTTAACGACTCTTGGCGTTATTCAGGAATGTCCGGCAGACTATCACAGTCAGACTGGCGCACTGGTAGTGGGTGATCCTGATGTTGGCAAAGTTTATTACAAAGAACGTCTCCAAACCTTTAAAGCATTGGCTTCTGCGAGACAAGAAGCAAAGATGGTGGGTCAACTACTGGGTGTTCACCCTTTGTTAGGAGAGTGCGCAACAAAGCAGGCGGTACTTCGAGCCATACATTCGGTGAGTTTGATTCATATTGCTGCTCATGGAGATGCCGAAAGAGGAGAGGTTATCCTTTCCCCTCAGGGTGCTGCTAACAAGTTTCCACAAGAGGAAGATTACATTTTGACAGTCTCTGACATTTCTAAAGTTCAGCTGAGAGCTAAACTGGTAGTTCTTAGCTGCTGTCACAGTGGGCGTGGTGTGTTTAAACAAGAGGGTGTCATTGGAATCGCTCGGGCGTTCCTAGCAGCTGGTGCACGTTCAGTGTTGGCAGCATCGTGGGCCATTGAAGATGAAGCGTCAAAGCAGCTCATGGATCATTTCTATGAGCACCTTGCGAATGGAGAAAGTGCTAGCGAATCTCTCCACCAGGCCACCAAATGGTTGAGAAGAAACGGCTTCACCAAAATTTCCCAATGGGCTCCGTTTGTGCTGATTGGAGATAACGTGACATTTGACTTTACGAAAATGAGGTAAGCTATTGTTTGGTATGTGGTTTTGTGTTGATGGTGTTACATACCAGGAATGGTTACCATAGCTGGCCTGCTAAACGGCCTCGGCAATCTGAGGAAAAAATAAATATCAGCAAGCTAAGATGATTTAGTTTTACATGCCAGAAAAATATCAACCAAGCGACTTCAGGTTCAGACAAGGTATGACCCTTCAGCTCCCATAATTCTCTTTACTGTCTGACATACAATTCTTATGATGTCAGTTTGGAGAATTTGGTATTGGATCAACTAATAACCCCCTAATTAATATTTTAATTTATTCTCATCACATCTATGCTTGTTATTGTATTGATATTGTGAGGAGAAATTCTCTCTCGGTCACTCATGGGAGGTAAAGGGTTAAATTTGGTAAACCCTATCCCAAAGGAATTTTTATTCGTGTGCATTGAGTTTTAAATTCTACCTCAAATTCTTAATGTTTTTCTTTATCTGAAAATTCTAATTTAGGAAAGCAGAGCAGAGGAAGCACGACGACGAATGAAAGACTAGAAACGGATCCTTTGCGAAGATTCTACTTCTGGTGCATTGCCTTAAACAGGACATGTGATACTGTCAACAAAAGAATTGAACTGGAAAGGAGAAACTAAACCAAACCTTTTGAAATGTATGTCAAGATTCTGATTCTAAATCAATTAGAAAAATTGTTAAATGTCATATTTTACAATTTTTTTTTACACGAAAACGCTTTTGAATGACAATGGTTTTGATTGAACTGATTTGTCAGAGGACTAGCAGGTTGCGCCAAAGACTCCATTTTGGTAATCAGTAAACGAAACATTTAAACAAAACAAAGTAAAACAATAAAGTATATCCAGGAAGAAGTAACTGAAAAAGAAAATTTTTCAGACAGTATTTCATTATAGAGGATCGCTAATTTGTTTAATAGTCTCATCTGAAAATGCTAGGATTGGGAGAATTAAACGTAGTTATGAAACCCGAGAGAGAATTAAAGGTTTCCTTAACCCGTAACTCTCGAGATCTGATCGGTAATTCTCCTCTCTAGCTGCTACGCATATCCTTGTAAATTATTTATGAGAATTTGGTGTTAGATCAAGATAACGACTTGTACCTGATAAGTTTGAAGATTCTCATTAGCTGTTTGCCGGATAATTCAGAGATATTATAGAGAGAAGTTTTATGTTGATCACTTCTGGGAGTTTAAGGGTTAACAGAACCCTTCCAACCCCGGATAGACACACGGCAACTTGGAATTGGAAACTTCTCAAGAAATATTTCAGTTAATCCTCAGAAAGTCAGGGTAATTCCAATAGTCCGTTCCAATTTGTTTCATTTTTTTTGCGTAAACTCTTCGATCGAGCACGCACTTAACGAAAAAGTACGAGCTTTTCTTGCCTTTTTCCTGTGCTACGAATTTTCGTGAAACGATGAGTTTTTTCCTTTTTCAAATGCTGTGTTTTCATTATCTAATCTTGTTCCTGTTTCAATATAAGACAGTGTTCGCTTTCGTTTTTTGCTGATCGAATAGATGAAGTTATCCATGATGAGGACTCGAATCATCTTTACCTACCCTTTTGATCTGTGAAATTGTTGAAAACCTTAACCCTCAAAGTCATTAAACCGAGTTGTGTTTTTACAAGAAAAAAGTCGGCAACTTGTGGACTAGTGTCACTCTTCTATCCCCTGGAAATGATAGTCGTTACCTTTTTAAATTTTCGTACTGTTTTGTTTTTCTTCCAGAACTATATTATGTTCTGCAAGCCTTGCTTTAGATTAGCTGGGCACAAAAGTTTTCTTACAAGTAATCAAATATTTTTTAAATATACATCTTAATTATCAAGAGGTCTGGATAGAAGCAGATGTGTAGCGAATTTAAGAAAATGAAGGACACTTTTAAAAAACATGTTTTGACAGTTCTTCTGTCATCTTCAGTTCTGAATAATACAAAGTCCAAAGCTGAATTTAAAGTGTGTAACAAAATATCTTAATTACAAATGATGCAAGCCTTAAGCCTTTCATTTCACAGTGTTTTTTTTTATATATGATCTGCGTCTTGCTGTTTACCTTGTGAATTAAATTGCAAATAAACATTTTCATTGAACAAGTTTTCATATGTGTGGTTGGACTTGTTAATAAAACCAAGTCGAGAAGCGACCATCGAAGCTGCATTTCACTCGAAAATCCCTCCAGATAAGCGAATCATAATCACTTAGCCAATTAAAATAACACATTCAAGATAAAGGAGACATTGGGTGGAGGGAGGCGTTCAGAACACTGAAATACCGCAAAACAATTCGGCAAATTTTGCTACGTCAGAAAATCGCAAAAAAAGAAAAATTCGCCAAATACCAGAATATTTGAATATCGAGTCAAAACTCGATGTCATGCCGAAACTACATCTCTGTATATTACGTTTAGTGCAAATAACACAGAAATAACAATTAACAATTTGTTAATTAACGTTTAGTCAGATAATTTTCGATTCGATTGTGATTTTCTGAAGGAGCCAAAGGAGCGTATAAACATCTTTGTCTTAAGATCAAGATGTATCGTTTGAGTTTCATTTTTGGGTGAATTTCACCACTTTTTGACCCTTTTGACCTCAGTATGCTGCGAAACTTTATTGTGCTCCAACAAAGATTTGTAATTTCGCAAACCAGGACTACAAGTGGGTGCGACAACACAACTCTATCAAGAATTTCAACGACTACTTACTCAGCCTTCCCCCCCACGATTTATCTGTGAACACTTCTTAAGGAACGTCGTTATTTATCGCCCGGGAAGGGGGGGAAGGGAGAAATTTGGAGGATTTTGGTTGTGTCACGAAAAGTTTTACCTGATTTCCTCCCTGCTCCCCTCCCCAAGGTTCTCTAATATTCTTATGATGTCCCCTTAATGGACGTTAACTGACAGTCAATGTTCTATAGTCCCCTATTAATACCCTGTTGGCGAAAACTGTCCTCCCCCCCCCTCCCTTCATTCCCCCCGCAAACCGTGGGATATCCCCAAAACCCTTCACCTTCCCCTCCCAGGAGATACATAATAACGACTGGTGTCCTGCCGGAACCATTTTAACCAAAACTGGGTACAAACCATCTCTTAGGAAAACTGATATTTTCTGGGTAGCATTGAAAGAGGTGCAGGTTTTGCCATATTCTTAAGCAAGACACTTGACAATACGTTTACTTATCTTGGTCTTAATTCTACATCGTTCAATATTTCTAAACTTACTTGGACGAACGCAAAGTCTCAGCCATACCATAGTCGAATAAAATATGTCAACGGTCAGATAGCCATCTCCCTGACTTTGGTATTCTCCCAATAGAAGTCATAGAGCATTTTTCAACAGGATTTCGATTTATAAAGTGGAACATTCGTTCTGTTGCCTCTCAGACTTTAAAGAGCACTTTTTATAGATTGATGTACTCTTTAGCATATTTGATTTTCTTCTGTCCTCCAAAATTTTTCCAATCTATTGGGCTACGTTTAGGACCCGTGTTGCGCCTACAATGCACTTCGAAACGCATACTGAATGCAGTTCCCTGTGCAAACGTCTCTCGGCTTGAGGGGAGAAGACACGAGTTCTTCTCATTTGTCTCTTTAGAATCTGGAATAGATTCAAGTCGTTTTCAAGACCACTCAACCCATAGAACCGCTCAGAATACTGAGAGGTCTGGGATCTAGATCTGGTTGGGTCATTGTGCTGTGATCACAGTGCCTCTGTCCACCCAGGAGTGTAAATGGATGCAAATGGACAGTTAAGGAAGCCTGACTAAATGCTGAGAGGTAACCTACCCTTGGAGGTGTCGGTTAATCTCGTAACCAGATCCTATCGTTTAACTGTAACTGAAATGTACAACCGCTTGGCGGTGAATGGTCTGGGTACGAGACTAGGTGTCAGTATGACAATACTTGACTTTATTCCTATCGAAGGCAAACTCCAGAAATTCACAGCTGACAAAGGCTCGAGCTTAAAAGATACACATCGACTACAAGGCTTCGTTCAACGAAAGAAATATCGCATTAGCAACAGTACGATAATTCTGCAGTTTGTCTGTGATCATTTGCGTGAGGTTTTCTGAAGTTTCAAAGACTGGAAGACTTACCTAAAAGAAGTCCCACAGAGAGTCAGGAGTTACAATATTTTCCTGGCTCTCATGATTGTCTTCTTTACGTGGGTCTTGTAATAATACTTTTATAAACTTAAATCCTCGTCTTATTCTTAAAACTATGAAAATTTCTATATTATTTACCCGACTACTACATAAATTTTAACTTAACAGCATCAATTTTAAAACCATTTTTCATCACCAATTTTATTACCAATTTCTTTAAGACCAAAGATACCCATAATTTTTACCTTTATCTTGAATAATAAGAGACCTTTGGAAGGTGTTTAACAATCATTTCTGATAACTCATGGATTTACAACGCGCACTTATCAATATAGAATTTTCAATCGTGCATTACGATGTTAAAAATTGAACTAAACTTCGATATAAAAGCTGAAAATTAATAATAAAAACCAAACTAATAATATCACTTAAGATTCTATCTAAGTCAAAGGAAAACATCAGTTTTTTTTTAAGTATTTGCACTTTTCCTGTCCGGAATGAAAAAAAAGATTCATGTGGAATACAGGGGAGCAAAATCAAATTATATTGTTTAGTCATGATAAAGAAACAGGTAGGCCTCAGTTTCTTTCCATATTATTTAGCTTTCTTTCCTTTCATTTAAAGCTCTCTCGTTTGCTTTTCATGGACCTAATTCTCCTTTATCTTCACCCTGGCTTATTTCACGCTTTCACAGGTAACAATTTTGACTCCTTTCAAATTTTCTCCGAATTATACGAAGTCACAACAACCGATATTATAATTTCGCGAAGCAAACTAATTACGCAAATGGATTGATCTTTGACACTTTGTGATTCGTTTAAACTATTAAAGAATATGTATGTGATTAATGATACAGCTTCTTTGTAATTACTCGTCTGAATAGCTCGTAAAACGAAAACAATTTGTAGCTTTGATGGTTATCTGAACTACAATTCTCTTTGAAATCACCAAATGGAAGCGCAATTCAATCAAATTTTGTCCCCGGAAATAACATTTAATGGGCTTTTAGCCAAATTTTCAAATAACAAAGGGCAACAAATGTCCGTATAAAAGAAGGAAAAACATCAAGTTCTTTGGCGATGTCGATTCGTTTTCATAAGGAAAAGAAAAAAAATTGTCCTATTTGATTAATAAGTACAAGCAATAAAAGCGACAACCCCTTGACTCCCAAGAGTGACTAGCATCTAATTTCTCCTTACAATATCATCCCTGAATCACACGTTAGGTCATGACAATAAAAGAAATAATCACCAACTAAGGAAGTACTTGATTGTTAAACAAATTCTCCTTGTCAATACATTAAGATATGTATAGAGAACAAATGGAGAAGATGTATATTGACGTTAGAGTGTAAAGGGTTAAGAATGGATTCACAAAGCACTGAATGCTTCAAATCATTTTTCTCTTTCAGTTGCTTGTAAAAGAGTAAAATTTGTAGCTGCATAAAAGGTGACGAGGTGGATTAAATAATCGCTCCACCTGTTTAGTGGATGATTTTGCAAAAAGAAGCTGTATGGTCCTCAGGTGTGGGAGTTAAACTTTGAATCGATTTGTCAAAAACGTTATCTTGTGTCAAACTCCGTGTCACTTCGTTTTGTCTTTAGAGGATGGAATCTCCTCAAAGTTCGCTCGGCCGCTTCGCGAAGCTCAGTTACTCGCCAGAAATAGATCACAGGATTCACAGAGGAGTTTGCAAACATGACTGCAACTGCCAAGCAATGTGCCACAGATGTTCTTAGATCTTCTTGTTCTTGCGAGGCACTAACTGCAGTGGTGATAACAAACGGGATATAACTTAACGCAAACGCGGCCACGAGAATGATCATTGTGTTTGTACTGCGGCGATAGCGAATCATACTTTGAAAGGTTTTTTGATTTGTATCGCGTACGTGTTTATTGTGCCTTTTCATAGTTTTGTGAATAAGGGAAAGGCACCTCAAAGCGCTGACTCCCATTACAAGACACACAGCCGTGAGTGCATAAGCTAAGAGCTTGCTGGTGGCCCAAAACCAAAGAACTGTAACCAAAGTCGCCCATATTAACCAGTAGATAACAACCGTTATGACCACGCGAGAGGCTGTTATCAATTCTGTATATCGAAGATGAAAGCGCAGAGCGAGATATCGCTCGAAGCTAATGGCCGTCAGAGTTAGGAAAGAAATCCCATTGAAGAGCCAGCTTGAATAGAAAAGCATAAACACAGTCAGGCAGTATCTTTCCAATTGGCCAAATAGCAAGAACAGTTCGGCTACAACGAAGAACGGCTGAGATGTGAAACCAACAAAAAAGTCGGTGGCTGCCAAGGAGCAAAGCAAAATGTTTCTCGGCGAGTGCAACGCGGGCGTTCGCCATGTGACGAACACAACTACTGCGTTTAAAAACAATGCGAAAAAACAAAGCATGAACATGAAAAAAGAAGCCGTTAGAGAAGCGATAACGTAGTACTGTGGCAGCTTCTTCCTGATATCCATGTCCAAAAACGGTTGAAGATTCTCGCAGTAACCAGATGGCTTGATGATTGAAGCGTTTAGCAGAATTAAACTTGTTATATTCGCCATGATTGTGCAAAACTGTGTCTTCGGCTGTCGTGTTGTTCATTTATATCCACTAAAATACGTCAAATTGCTCTTTTCTTTGAAAGCTTTTAAACAGCAGCTGCATGTTAGCTCTAACACGGTTGGCAATTTCCTGTAAATGCAATCTGAAAACCGTTTCTGATCTTTATAATGATACGGTTTCCTTATTCCGTGCAGCAATTTCGGGTTATTAGATGCAATTTCTCAAAGAAACCAGAATATTCCCCTCAACCTAATTTGCACTTGTTGATTAGTTTTTCTACGAAGAAAAGTTCTTCATCTCAAGTTAACCATTCATATGCAAATAACAAGCGTCTTCTTGAAATGAGTATTTACTTAAACTGAGGTGAAAATATCTTCGACGTAAATGAAAAATGAACTCTTGGTTTTCATCTCGGACAACATAGATTCTTTGTTCAGTATCTAACATACAAGCGCGGGTCCAATAAATGCTAAGAAGATAAAGATTTTTTTCTTCCAGGAAACATCGTATTTGGTTTCTCAACTTCATCCTTTTTTGAGCATAAATCGATTTGTTAAATATTCACTGATTCGTAACTCTTCTTTTCTTTAATTTATGATAATAGCTTGGTAAACTTGATAGGTGGGGAAAACCGCAAACTGAAGGAACACTCTAAACTGAAATTGCAAGAAGAAGAAGTTTGGGACTACCATGTTTTGTTTAGAACTGAAAGACCGTCAATGGCTGCCAAAAATAAATTATCTATCTGCAAAATGTGCTGCCGAAAATATTAATTTCCACAGGTAAAAATTTAAATCTCCTGACAGAAATTTATGCAAGAGAGAGCCAAAATAAATTGGCATTCCGTAATCAGCTCCTCTTAAAGTGTGAGAAAACGTGACTTCGTTTGTAAAACGTTTGTATGTCCTAATGAGTTTCATTAGAGAGTTTCATTCAGAGAGCCGCTGAACAAGATACTCAGAAAATGGTGGGCGACAGACGAGGAGAGAGGAGAGAGGAGATGGGTGAAATGCCACTCGATAATCCCCTCTGGTGTATATAATAAACACCCTATAAATACATGCATATAAGCTTCGATTGACTTCCAAAAACAACCAGAGACGACTTGATAGACTTTTGATGTGCTACTGCAATAATACTACCTATACTGATAATAATATATAAATATATATTTATCCGTTTTCTCACGATTCCTATGCCATTTTTGGCCAGAGAGGACCATGACAGTTATTTTGCGAAAGATTTGACTATGGCCAGGGGTAGCATTTGGGTTTTCTGATCTCTAGTGCTACCCATTGCACGGTTTAAAAACAGCTGTTTTTCTGGCCAGCATTGGGAAAAACTTTGTTAAAACAGAAAATCCCTTTCTGTTTATCCTCTCTTTATTCAAGAGATCAGCAAGTTATGGAAACAATTGGAGTGAAGCGGTCGCTGAGATTTATTAGAAGGATTCAAAATGGCGGCGTCAAAAGTGGAATTTAAGCGTATTTAAAGGAAATCTTCGTTCGGAAGGTTCGCTTAATCCTTGGACCAGCAAAGAGTAATAATTTCATAACTACTTTTCAACGGTGGAGAAAATTAATCATAGGGTTCCTGAAGAGCAACTCTGATTTTATTGAAGAATGCCTCCTTGTAAAAAGGTTAACCCCCTTCTATGATCTTGCAAAGAGAGTAGGAATCATTCTTCCAGTTGGTTGATAAAGACTGCAATGAGTCTAATGATTTTCAACCTGTTTGAATTCGCGTGATGTATCGAAGAGAGAAAAGTTGGTTTTAATTCGAGCGACTGGTCGCACCGACAAAATTCTAACGTTAACAAAAATCCTCCATATCACATGAGACGAAGCGTTGCGGCGACTTTTCCAAGTGCTTTTCGCTGGGAACTATTCTTACCTAAGTTGCTGTGACTTTGCCACGCAAATGACGTAAATAATGACCTGTCTTTAAGAAATAAACTGAAAAATTTAGCGTAACTCGTTGGCATTTTTCATTTTCTATTTGAATCAACTTCTTGGCCATCTTTTTTGCCATTTTTCTTTCTTCTTGTACCTTTTTCGTCAACTTTCAAATTTGGTCAACCATTTTTCAAAGTTCTATCATCTAATCCAAGATTATCCTTAACTAACCTGATAATTAAAAATATCATGACGTCACTCGTGGTGTACTTAATTGGTTAACGATTTTCATAATCAAACACTCGCTCTTTCACTCGAACAAGTTTCGTGTCATGCGATGTACTGCATGTCATTTACGTCGACCTTTATTTGAACAGGCGCATTTGATTCCCAGGCAAGGTCAATTTTTCTCTCCTCTTTGTGAACAGTTATGCGTTCCCGACAGGTAGGTTTTTCAATAATTTTTTATGCATTATCTTCAAGGTTTCAAACAGTACTTCCCTTCCTCAATGTTATGTCCCCTTCGTAGAAAATTCACAGCGACCTTTCGCTTCGGGTGACACATAGAATTTCCCTGAAATCATCGTCTCTGCGAGAAAATTCTATCTTTGCTATGGTCACACAAATCTCAACTGGTTCTTATTGCTGCGCATGATCGCGACTTGTCGTCAGTTAATAATGCACACGAAGTGTTTTTTTTGTGTGTGTCATTGCAAATGGTCCTCTTCGGCATTTAGACTCCTCCTTTCATTTGCATGAAATTTTCCGTCTTGAGATCTTTATGACTGCCTTCCGAAGATCGCGAATTCGCCAGCAGTACAAAAAAGGATTGATGGCAGAGTTTGCAAACACCAATGTTACTGTGAAAACCCAAGCTTCCTGGAAACCAACGGGAAACTTTTCTCTATAAAATATCCTATAAATAAACCATGGAAGATAACAAAAAATTGTACTAATATAGAATACGAACGTGTTCGTAGCAGTTCGTGTTAACATGGCTAAGCTGTAGACATTTTGGGCACTGGGATATTCCAATGCTTGCCTTTGAGCGTATATTTCTGCATTATGTCGGCGAACTATGCGATATATACCAATATACGAAACAGTGGACGCTGAGATATAAACACCAACTAATACTATGGCTAAATGAAAATTTGTTGGTGTATGCCATATGTTAAGACCGGAGTTTATTAGCTAAATTAATATCAGAGTTAACTTAACTCGCGATTTAGTAACCAGAGTGCCGTATGTCATGTGAAACTGTAAAGCCAAAAATCTATCGACACTTATTGCTGACATGGTAGCGAAAGAAATTCCGCAGAATATAGTCCCAAAGCTTCTTGTCAGTCTGGCAAAAATGTAAACAGATGTAAGATCCCTGGCTATGAAGATCGGTTGGACTATCAAACCCACGACGAAATCGGAAGCAGCGAGACCACACAGCAAAATTATGGAAGGTGAACGGAGCGAAGGTGTCTTTAGAACGGCTGTTAAAACCATAGTGTTACCAAGAATGGACAACACTAGCAGCGGAACGTTCAGAATACAGTTAACAATGGTGAAAGTTGATGGACCAGTTGGAATTTTGTCGTCATCAGAATCTTGATCAAAAACTGAATCATTCAATAGATCAAAGCTAGCGTTGAGCATCTTAGGGAATTTAGCTTTCCGACACACCTTTGCTGAAAATTCAAACTTGTTGCAATGAGAAGTGACTTTTTCTGAAATTGTGTCCGCCTTGTTTGTCGCAGTTACTGAGAGTTCAGTATTGACAATCCAGTTTGTTGGGTTTATAATCAGTTTAGCAGGTGCACAGTTTTAACAGTCAACTTATGACGGTACATGACAAGATGTCAATTTCTGCATGAGTAAAACGAATTTTGTAAGCAAGGTTTTCTCTTTCCACTTTCATGTTCAATTTAAATTTGTTTTTTTGAAATATACCCTTCATAAAGCCTGAAATTTGCGGCATCCAAATTTTCACATGGGGAACAATTGTTGTCCTCCACTTTGGGAAATGTAGCTGAAGAAAGGCGAACTGATTAAGAACGCTTCTTTAGATGTCATATAAGAGACAACTGGCGGCTTTATTATACGCGGAGAGTTCGCTGTTTTAAATATCTAATATGCCGACAAATTTTCAGAGCTTTTTCATAACAGCTTTTCATAAGACACTACTAAAGTAGCACTTGGGACTGACAAGTTGGCGATGAGTCATGAAGTTGGCGTCATAATTTTTAGAGCATTCAGGATGAGATGACAGAAACACTTGAGATGGACATATAATTTACGGTAACAGCAAATTTCAGATATGTATGGGTTAGTGCCCTCATCATTCAAAAATATACCTCGGGATAATTGTTCCAAATTTTGCTGAGCGAAGTTTTAGGATGTATTGTTGTCGACTATACATCATTTAATGTAATGAGGTACTTTAGAGGCCGAAAACGCACGCATAATAAAAATTATCAACCATGAAATGCACAAGGGGAAACAGATGGTATTACACTGCGCAATTTATTCGTTCTCGTTTACATAATATTCGCACTTTTTAATCTGTCGGAAGGGTGATAAAACACTAAATTATCACTTAATTTTTAGAGCGTACAAGTCTATCTTATTGAACTGTTCCTAATCAACAGAGAACATTCATTCCGGATAAAAGTGCGAAAATTTAGCGAGAGTAGGAGTCCTGTTTAAAAAAACCTATTATGAAGATGCTTGATTGTTCATGATAGCGGACACCAACTTGCAGCTGTGCAAACAGACAAAATAATAACTTTCTATTTTAACTGAACTGAGGTGACAGGCGAGCACAATTTAGACAGTTTGGCATTTTGAAAATTTGTCTTAAATTTCTTTGAGGTTATTTTGTTTCATTTAACCTTTTAATGATGCTAGGAAGATGCTAAAAAAATTACATGCGACGGAACCCTGACTGAGAAGTTTCCTAAGAAAATATTAATCAGTATGGATGTGTTTGAATGCGAAATCTATTTTCGAGTGTTATGGTAGAAAATATCATAATACCTAACTCGGAGAAACATGAAGTAAGCTCTTTGACTAAAGACAACTGTCTATATATATTTTTAAGAAAATAGTCCGTTGGTGCCGGAAAATTGCTCTCGGCGAAGGTTCTAAAAAACATAAGTTTGATAACATTGTTACAGCGTTGATGAATTTAAGGTGCACGGCAAGAAGAAAAGTCAAACTTACGATAAATAGACCTAATAAATTCGCCTAAAACAATAGTTATCCAAACAAGAACCGTAAAAACATCAGGAGCGGTGATAATAACCATTCATAATGGACATATTTATGTATTTTGGCCTTGTAAGGCATTTTAATGAGCAGTTGGCACAATTAGGGATTCAGTTTCGTCTGGCACTTTAATAAATATCGCGGTACGATAGATTTTTATTTTATTCTCAACTATGACACGGTTGAAGCTGTAATTTAAAGACAAAGAGACGGACAACTAATGTTCATACAATTCTGTTCTCCAGTTGAAGATTTTTAAAATATTTTTCTTTTTTTTTTCTTTGAGCGTGTGTGTGTAATGGAAAAATAGGAAAACTTTAAAACATATTTACTTGGACCATTATGGACTAAAATTTACCCTCTGCATGCAGAGACATTCGGCAGGTGAGAGAAAATTGCATGGTTTTCTCTTTTGTTATCACAGGGTTTAAAAAGTAAAAACGTAATATTTTTGTTTCTCCTCAAATGGATGAAATTTATCCTTTTTACATGCTTTTCGGTCCCTATGAATTTATTCAGCAGTGTGTACTATTTTCTAGTCAATCAATTAATTTCAGATGAGATTTTGTGGCCTGATGTAAATCAAACGCGCAAAAACATACGAATCAATTTGAGGAAATTACTAACTTTAAGAACTGCGCATTTTCGAACTGAAAGCGGTCTTCGAGAGATAGCAAAGGTTCATTTCCTTCCTGCTTTTTCACGATTTATGGCAAGATATTTGCCTTAATAACTTCAAAACCGCCCCCCGAAGTTCACGAAGACGCCAGCAATACAGTACAGGATTGATGGCCGAGTTGGCGAACACCAAAGTTCCCGTAAAGATCCAAGCATCGCTGGCATCTTTGAGAACGATATTTGTATAAAAAAGCCGATAAATGCTCCATGGCAGATAGCAAAAAACTGTACATATGTAAAATACGAAAGTGTTTACTGCCGTGCGAGTCAAAATAGTCACGTTTGCGCTGATTTTAATACTTGGAACTCCCATTGCTTGCTGCTGAGCGTGGATCTCGAATTGGTGTCGGCGAGCGATTCGATAAATCCCAACATAGGCGATGGTGGAAACAACCATATAGAAACCCACCAATCCAAACGATATATAAAATTGTTCAGGTGCATACCAGACGTGAACTCCGGAGAATATTGAGAAGTTTACAAGCCAAATAAATATCAAAGTGAGTTTAACGCGCACTGTGGTAACCAGAGAATTGTAAATCATGTGATATTTCAGAGCCAAAAATCTATCCAAGCTTATCGCTGACATGGTAGCGAGTGAAATTCCACAGAACGTAACACCCAAAATTCTCGTCACTCCGGCTAAAAATTTCACTGAATCGAGTTCTTTCGCGATAAAAACCGGCTGCACTATCAAGCCCACGGCTAGGTCTGAAACAGCGAGACCACACAGCAAAACTATGGAGGGTGAACGAAGCGAAGGAGCTTTGTAAACGGCTGCTAAGACCAAGGAGTTTGCCAGAATCGATATCAGCATTAGTGGAATATTTAGAGAGCAGTTCAGTAAGATGATAGTCGAAGGACCAGTTGAATTTTCGTCTTTCTCAATATCTAGATTATGCGTTGCATTGGAAATTTTGAGGTCGTTGTCCTCCATCTCGAAGCTTTGGCAAATCTAGCATATTTTTAAAAGTTTCTGTCGTTTTAGTTTATCATTGTCGTGAGTTTCAAGTGAAATGCTGTTCAAGTTCGTAGATGTCCAACCTTATTGGCAGTTACGTATATATTAATTGTTAAAAATTAATCACGTTTATTATATGGATCTTTCAGCATGTAAAAATTTCACCTGCAATTTAAGTCAATCACCTGAACCAAATAGCAAAAATTAACATTAAATTTGTTTATTTTTCCTTTCAATGGACAAAATGTCGAAATTTCATTTAAAAAAAAACTGGACTGAGCCTTAATTAATTGCTGAAAATTAAAAAGGTTGAAGCCGGTAGCTATTGTAAAGCTGTTTTACACTCCAGGGTAATCGAAATGAAAACTGGTCCGCCATGTTACAATTTTAGATTAGCGGGCGCGTTTCCTAGTCAAACCATGACAGGAGCCAGCGACATCAGAAATATTGAGCTGAGGGTGACCTTTTGTTCAAGGGATTCAGATTTTAAGTAATATAAAATCAAATTGAAGACAAAATACCGTGTCTTAAAAATAGAAGAAAATAAATTAGGTAAGATGAAAAGGCGAGTAATTTTCACTGCATCGAGGGAAATTTGTAGTACTCATTTTGTGAAAATCCTATCTCTCGTACATTGATTGCAGCCTCAAAGTCAATATACAGTGACGTTCATCAAAGTTCGTCACATTTTAACGGAGCTAGCTCATGTAGTACTGCAGCCACCGCTCCCTAAGGTTTGTTTGGGTACACCGTGAATCTTATACTCAGACCTTCCTCGGCCGAACAATAGAGGAGACAACAGCGTTCAAATGTCTGTACATGCGCACTCGTTGTGATTTTTCGACAAAGTTCAGAACGAAGCGGTAAATTAACAGGATACCCGTGTTTGAAACGTCGCAAGTTTTCCCTTTTCCCTTCTTTAGTTTCCTTTCACAGATTTCTATGAACGATTCAATTCTTTTATTCGCATATTTTGAGTGACAGCGGCTTTTTCTTATTCCTTAAGCGGGGAAAATATTGATTGGCGCGCGCGCGGACATCCCCTTGCGCATTCCTGACATTTCTCCTGGGTCGCGTAACAAAAGTTGGTCAAAGTAACATCGATCAACAGGGAGGTCACATGTTCTGATTTCTTTTACGAAGGCATCACTTGTACGGCCCGATTGCACCGGAAGTTGAGAAGTATTGTTGGCGAAACAATTTCGTTCTTAGACGGTCTGGGTTACATTCACGTACTTTGTGTCATCCGGTGGGGTCCGACTTACTCATTTCCAAGTGTACATTTCAGTAATCGTGCGACTTCGGAAAAATTTATCGCATATTTGTTGTATTCGGCGTTGTATCCATGAAAGTATTATTATACTATCTACCGAACGGAGGACACGCTGGGAATGAACATCGATGTAAAGGGGGTAAGATAAATTTTTTAGTTTTAAGAAACCTTTTCCGACCTGAGCTTAACGTTGGCCGCGGTTAGTTCCGTTTCTTTGTCAAGCCCTAGTTTAAGAGGTTCTTCATAAACATTTTTCAAAAAGCGATGCATGATGACATCCTGAGCAGGGGAGGGGGGGCGAGTGAAATGAAAGAGTGTTGAATGAAAAGCGCTCGTTGATACCGTGGGGATTAAGAGTGCCGATTTGGAAGATAAATTTTTGTTTTAGCGTTTTGCTGCTAACAAAAGGGTTAACGCTTGAAACGTCGGCTTCTTTACTCTTTACGGTGGCCAATTTACGTTTCAACTCAGTTGTTAACGCTAAATTACCTGTTATACTCTCCCACCGACGCATCAACACAGTTTCTTTAGAAACTTACCCCCTTTATTCATTTGCGTATAATAAAGTTTTGAATAAAGTTGTCAATTAGTATCAACATCATCAATGCTATGAGGATCTATCACAGATTATTATTATTGTTATTATTATTGTTATTACTATTACTAATAATATTATTATCATTATTATGTTGTAATGATAATAGTAATAATAAAAATAATGCACTTATACGGCGCAAGTTCAACGTAAGTTCTCGCATGCCCCTTACAATTCCTTACAAATATCTCAAGATAAAGAAAAAGTAAGACATCTATCGTTGATAGATAAAGACAGCTATACGCGATGAGGAAATTTTTTTAAAATTTCAATTTTTGATACTAACAATATAAATACTTGTCCGCTTTCCCTTTCATCGTGTTTTAATGGTATTTTAAAGAAATTTTAACCTGGTGCCTTTTCTACGGCGTAGCCTTGATGGTCAGTAATATTAGGCAACTTTATATGGAGTCTCCTTTCTCCAAAAGCCGACTTTTTGAGACTTGGTCCTAAATGCCTGAACCTTTCTTTTCTCTTCCATTCTGTGTTCTTTTCCGGCCTCGATCTATTTCGAACAGTAAGGTAAATTACAATACATTTTATAGACCCAACACTTATTCGTTGACTTTGCTTTGTTTTGTTTTGCTTTGTTTGTTTGTTTTGTTTGTTTGTTTTTTTCAATCAGGAAAAGTTTTGTGGAATAGAAAGAACTACAATATAAACGGGTTGCAGTGTTGCGAAAATCGTTTCGTTTCACAGCGCCCTACCTTAAATGACGGGAACATGGCCACTTCCCTCACAGTGATCTGCTGGACAGGCCAGTTTCTTTGTATGTTGTGGGACTCTGTAGGAATGGCCCCTCCATAATGATTTCCAGATTTCATCTTCGAAACGAAAAGTAAAGATAGATTAAGACTAAAGATTAACCTTTTTTATTCAAATCAAGAGCTAATGCATTAAAGTTTTCGATGTTTAAGTTTGGAGATTTTGCTTCTCACCCTAGTTTTTTTTCCTTAGATGCGCTTCTTCAACGCCACATTTCTGTCTTTTCCCTGATGGCAGTCATATACGGCTGTTCCGATAATCATAAAAGGAATGCCGTCAAAATTTAATTTCGGTCCCTTGACAGGCTGCGGATCTTCCCAGAAAATTCTGTGGTTCGGTGCGGATCTCTATGAAAAAGTACAAATCAGATTAACTACTTGCGACAGACGTCTCTGCTACTGAAGCTTGCTATTCGGGCTACGGAAGAAGTCGACATGCACTCAAAGAAACAGCCTTAGGATACGACTTTATACCTCACTCCACAGTGTTGTTGAATTATAAATGAATGCATCCAGATATATTGCATGGATTACGTTTCAAACAAAAAAATATATATTTCCTTTTTTTTTATACCTTCATTGGTAGAACTCTGACGTAAGTCTGATCAAGTCTTGTTCTCCTGTTTGTCTGACCTTTAACCTGAATACCTTTAAGTGGATGTTAAATGAAACAGCGACCCCTAGGTAGATGTTTTCGAATGTTAATTTGGTAATTACTTTTTTTGAAGAAAAAAGTTTCCTTTCTTTGTTTGTCTGACCTTCCATGAAAAGTATTTAATTACAATTTAATTTCCTTTAACCGACTCTGAACTGCTTTATTTTCACTTCAAAATTAGGACTGCAGCTTACATTTCCGCCCGAAATACTTTGGAGCTTTGAGCAAAGCGAACTTTGTTGTCGTTTGTGGCTTCAAATAATTCTTTTAACGTTCTCAAAATCATAGACGTAACCATAATTCGCAGAAATCGTAAAATCGAAGTTTACCGCTATTTTTCGACAACGCGGCAGTTTTCGTCGTGACATCGAGACAGTTCATTTAGTTCACAGTTGATTTTTAACGTTTCAACTTCCGGTAAATTCGTGCCGCCCGAAAATTTTCGTAACGCAACACCCAAAGCCGTGACCTTCTTTTGGTCTCGTGACTCCCGTGGTCACGCACAAAGGTATGACTAATAATGTGAAGGCGTGAAGGGAAGATGGCGGGCTCTCCATTTGAGATTTCTGTCGTGAAAGAGAGTTGTTCACAGCTTGGAGAAGGCCCCCATTGGGACGAGACGACACAACGGCTCATATGGGTGGATATTCTGGGGCATAGCGTTCATCTACTTGATACTGTAACGGGAAAGGTGAGATAATTTTATGCGTCTCTGTGTTTAACGATATATAAACAAACAACCTGCCCTACGCTTTGTGGTAGTTGACGTTTGACATGACATAAAGTGAGTATTATAAAGGTAACACCTTTGGAAAGATTTCCGTATAACTTCATTTCGGTTGTCTCTTTTTAACCCTTTGTTAGTGAAGATTTCAGTCGTAAGTTAAATAGGGGATGAGGTTGTAGTTACGCTTTGTTGATCGAAAAAAAATGGGACCTACGTCTTTGTTGTTCATCATTTGCAAAATTATCTGCTTCAATATTTTACGCCTTGCGACAATTTTGTTCCTTCTTAGTTTGCGATTTTTTATTTCGTGTAAATCTCTGATCATGTATTTTGTGATATCGAAATCTGACGGGTGAGGTAGTTTTGCAATCGAAATTGCCTTTGGGCTTTTTGGAGCCTACAGCCCTATCAATTCCTTACAAAGATCAAATTCTCGGGAGCGAAGTAGAATGCTTGGCAACCGAGGAAGGCAATATGATTTTATTTATGTACTCGCTGATCTTTTTGTCTCATACGTGATTGTGTCAAACGATAAGAATCAAATTAAACTGTAGAATCCAAAAGCTGAGAGGATTAGTTAGTCAGTGACAGTGGAACATTTTAGATTTTTTTTATCTTTGTTTGGAAATTGTGTCAAGTTTTTAGCCCTGAACTAGGCCAAAAGACAGCGATAAAAAAATCTCTTCAGCTGGTTTTGCTTTAAGGGTTAAGGTAACGTACAGATCCATTTGAAGCTTCAATTCTCCCTCTCTCCTGAGCAAACCCCAGGCTTTTTACTGCTGTCTGTGCCCAAAGGGTGAGGAGTTTGAATTTGTTTTAATAGGGGAATTTAAAGGTTAAAGAGTCTCCTTTCAAGAGGAAATGGCTAAGAAAGACAATTTTCTCATCATAGAATGATGCTTACAAGTGAGACCAAACAGCAGTACCAAAAACTAATACATTGGATCACCAAATATTGGGTAGGGCATTTTGAATGCAATTTTGGCCCAGGGAAGGTGTTAAATTGAACAAGCCAATCTCCAAAAGTTCAATGCCAGGGAGGGTTGCATGGGGGTGGGAGGGAGAGGGAGGTTGTTGAAGCTTTGAATTGATTGATGCATAACAACCTTCTGATGTGTTCTATCTTTAGGATGTAAAATATCATTTTGATGGACCAGTTGGAGCAGGTAAATGAAAACAATAACTCAGTTGTAATTAAAATGCAACTTCTCCCATCACTTTCAATCTGTTATCCAACAATCAGCTGATGAGAATGAATAAACATATCTTTTAATTAGTGTATGGTAACAAGATATTGTATAGTAACTAGTGGAAAGTTTGAAGTATAAATCTTATTTAACCCTTTAATTCCCAAAGGAGATTAACATGTAACCTCTCCCTATAATATCTATATATTATCTAGCAAACAGGTAATGAGAATACTTAAACTTATCTGATAGAAGTTATTTTGATCTAACACCAACTTCTCATTACTAACCTACAAGGAAATCTGTAGCAGCTAGAAGGGAGAATTAACAATCAGATCTAAGAGTTAATCTAACCTTTATCTATGAAGTAACAAGAATGGCTACATAGGAATCCTTCAGAACTTTCATAGGAATATATTTAATTAATGCTAAAATATGACAGTTTTATTGAATGGATTAAGAACAGTTTATTTTTAAACTTTAAAAAGAAGTTTGCGTTTCTAACAGAGAGTTTCAATGAGATCTTTAACAAGAGGGCCCCAGAATTATGACAAGAGGTCTTGCTAAGCTTAGGGTCCCTGGACATGCACTCAGTAAAGACTTCTTTATAAGGAGACTGTTGGATAGTTTTCTAGAAAAGACAAGGACAGTAGTATACATTTTTATACATTCAATGAGACAAGCGTACATTGAATTTGGGAAATCAGTGCCTGGAAAGTCATCTAGCAGCAGGTCATACAATAATCAGGTCAAGGACACTCAAGGTCATGGTTAATCATGTCATGCATGACCACAGTGCATGATTTCTATGGATAATCATGTAAAGCTTGCGTGCTTTGTGTTGCTTGCCGATTTATATATTTTTACACATATAGAAATAAATTATCAGTTCCACTTACTACCATGACCATTTGTTTTTTGTTTAGTGTATAATAAAACAATACATGTAATTAGATTCAGTTTTTGTGATATCCAGAATTATCAAGGTCTCCATGAAGGTTATCAGCCTCAGCCTTTGGCTTCCTCTGATAACCCCTACCTCAACCTTGATTATTCTGGATATCAAAAAAGCCATCTTACAATAATTGTTTAAAAAATGATAAAGCAGCTGGGCAAAGTTCAGTCCACAGCTGGTCAGCTTTTTCACTGCTCAGCCCTTAATGAGACCCTTGAATTTAAGTTAATACTGTTCAACAGGTTTATCATCACTTTTTAAATTTATTGTAACTCTTTAACCCTTAAAATCCCATGAGCGACCAAGAGAGAATTTCTCCTTACAATATCAATACGATATCAACCAGACAAGTGATGAGAATAAAGAAAAATATCAATTTGGGGGTAATTAATAAATACTATATTAAATTCTCTGAACTGACGTTATAAGAATGGTATTGTTGACAGTAAGGAGAATTACAAATTTGATCTGGGAGTTAAAGGGTTAAACCCTGAGAGTGACCAGCATGTGATTTCTCCTAACAGTCATACTGCTGAATCATTCATTAAGATCATGATAATGAGAATAATCGAAATGATCACCAACTTAAGAAGCTTTGATTGCGTGACAAATTCTCCTTTCCAACACTGTAAGAAATGTATGGAAAAATATATTGGAAAGAGTATGGAGAACATGGATACCGATGTTTTGGTTAAGGTTGTCAATTATTCTCTACTTTAGCTGTGCCAAGGAAAAGAGGTGGTTCTTTGTTGGTGGCAGTCAATAGAGATTTTATATTCCTTGATCTTGAGGTTAGGACCATGAATTATTTGAATATGTTTATTAAGTTACATGTAAGTGCTTTGCTTTTGAAAAAAGAGTGTTTTTAATTTCTAATTTACATTATATTCTGATTTTGTTTTGCCAAATATTCACCATGTAGCATGCTCCTTAATATAAATTTCAGAAAGAGTTATTTTTTCCAGCAAGAATTACAGTATGTGCTGAAAAATTGCACCTCTGCTCTATCAGATTTCATCAAGAGAATCAGTTTTTTATTTCATGCCTACTGAGATTTACATGTACACTGCAAAGTGTACATATAACAAAGCACTTCACATATAGTCCCTCAGGAAACTAGTTAATTTTGTTTTCCTGAGAGTCCTGATGTTTCCCTCAATGTCATCTCAGGAAAGATCAGGACTCTTGGGAAAACAAAGCTAACTGTTTCCCTCACAACCACACATTAAGTGTATAATATTCTCTTGATTGTATTTAGCCTGTAATCATACCCTCATCGTAAGCCCTTCAACAAAAGCATTTCTTCCCTAGTGGGAAATTGAGAGGCCTTGAATGATATGAGTTGGTGAGAGATCCACAAGGGTCTAGCGCTGACGATTGTTAGTGCTGCACCCCCCCTGACAAACCTTTACCTGACTCCTCTGATATTTTCTCAAGGGCTGAGAAACACATGTCTTCAGTGCAGTGCTAATGAACAAAAGATCTACTATCTTAAGATTCTTTGGATCATAGCTAACAGTGCACTGGAAACCTGAAATGGCTCAAAACAAGCATCAGAAAATTCATAAACAATGCACCCTGATGAAGGGCTAAAGCCTAAAAGGTCAGCTTTATAAACTCTTAAAGGAGGCCAATTTACATTATTAACTCAGTCCATAACGCAAAATTATCTTCTAATACTTCCTGCAGATGCAGAGTCACAACTTCTTTAGCTTCTGAAAAGGTAAGTTTCTAAAGAAGCTGTGACACCTGAAGGAATTTGAAGCCTGATTATCAAAAATGTTTGTTCACTGTCTAAGAAATCAATATTTCATCGACGCACTCTAGTACCCATTGTGATAAATATGTTTAACAGACAAACATCCATTTCAATCACTTATTTCTCAGACAGGACAAAAGGAAGTGGTAGCTTCAGTTGATAGTGAGTATTGCTTAAGAAGTGCCTCAAGTTTGTATTTTGTAATTCTTTTTTCTTTTAGTTAACTGTGCTTCAATTGAATACTAAATAGTCTATATTAAAAAGATATATATATTAAAAATGTATTATCGTGAAATCAAAACATTATTATTCTAAAAACAATTTTAACCACTTTTGCATTTAGAGGACAAGCCAGAAAATCGTTTCAATGATGGAAAATGTGATCCAGTAAGTATTTTCACTTTGCAAAATACGTACATATTTTTGCCATAAACTGAATCAAATTTGTTAAAATAAAGCAAAAGGTGTTGTTTCTTGTCTGATATTACTAAAATATAATTAATATCAATTTTTCTTGGATTTTTTTTTCAGGCTGGGCGATTTTGGGCAGGTAAATCACATGGAAAATACTTTATATTTAATATGTCCAGGATTATTCCGTGTTCCGGTTCTGGCTTATGTGACTGTGTTGTATTCATTCATAAACTGTCTAATATGTTAAATTACTAAATAAGTAAATAAAGTGTGGGCAAACTTGGAAGGTAAAATGCCAAGATGAGACCTTTCGTGAAGTAGAGAGTCATGCAATAATTTGTCTTTATTAACGTAACACTTTATTTACAAACACACCCTTAGCCAGTATACCAGTAGAAGGAAGAAAGAAATGAGAATTTGATTCTTCTTGTCTTAACAGGTACTATGGGTCCAGAAGAAAGGCCAGTGTGTGTAAAACCACATCAAGGATCTCTGGTATTGAACATGTGACTTGATCATAATGATAGCGGAGCTGTGACTGCGTGCATCACGCGTGCAGTGTAGCTCCATACTTAACAACATTTTATTCCTTCTAATAAGTGGCCTTGTGAGGAATAATGGCGGCTATGCTGGTACGATAAGAAAGGAAATAAAGTTAGCGATATTTAGGGTGAGTAGGGGCTGACTAGGATTTCTTTAAAGGAGGGGGATTCCCAGCGACGAATTTCCACGAGCCTAATGTGATGTGACTTATGCCGCTACTCTAGCTTAGGTATAAGCGGTCTCGTAATCATGCGGCGGGAAAGACTGACTATGTGTGCTTTGAAAATTGCTGACTCGGCTCCGCGTGTTTTTCGGATGTCTTAAGTTTGCCTGCGTAGCTAACGGTTTTGTGTACGTTTTGAGGCGTCAAGCAGTGGAGCCGTGATGACCAGCAACGAAGCCGCGTGAGGCTTGGGTCTCGCTTGTTTTAAAGAGCACAAAAAACGGCCGGCTTCACTGGCTAACCTGAAGTATACGATTTGATTAAAAGGAAAAAAGGATCTTTTTTTCCTTTTTTTCCCACAAAAGAAGAAAGGGGGCTCACAGAACACCCCATTACTCTCTTCGGACACCCCCTGTGGATTGATTGGTTGAAAATCCAACTAGCCCTTGCTTATTGCTGAAGAACAGCAAAGCTGTAGCCACTCCTTAGTTTGCTCTTTGCATTTCCTACCAGCCCATCTCTCCAGTTTATATGTGAGACCTATTCCACCTCCTTAACCCCACTACTGCCGCGTTCCACTCTTGTTTTGACATTCTGCCTCAACTTGTTTCTCAGTTCTCTTTAGATTGCAATATGGCTGTACGAAATTTGGTTGACAAGGTTAGTTGATTACAAACAGTTGAATATAGTTTTGCACAAATATGCTCTGGATTACGGTCGCAGTAATAGTATCCTAAAACTAGAACATGTGATTGTAACAAGGTGGGACAGTATAAACTGAACGGATTAGTTTATTGATAACTAAAGCACATTTCTAGTTAATGTTGATGTTTTACAAAAGTAATTGACGCGTGCGGAAAGCATGAATTTCCAGTAGCGCGATGAAAAGGCTTGAACAGAAATCCTCTCCCTTCTGAAAATTAAATGAATGAAAACAATTCACGATTTTAACATTTTGTGGACTTGAAACGTGTTGTGAGAGAAACGCGAAGGAAAAAGATCCTACTGGGGAAAGTATGCAGCTCAAAAGCACGACGTGAAGCGGATATTTTGTATCTTCCTGGACGTTTTTAAAATGATAGTTAAGTTTTCATTCTTCCATTTAATATTATTAGATTTATCTACTAATTTATCGTATTGCCTTCTTGTATTTACATATTCTGTTGTTAGCTCTCAATATCCAATGGTATTGCTTGGACTCCAGACAAACAGACGCTTTATCACGTTGACAGCTTTGAAAAGTAAGTACTAGTGAACTGCCAGAAAAACTTGAAAAAGTTATTTTGGCAATATGCGCTGGACTAGCCTTTTTTGACCAGGAGGATCAGTAATATTTCAAATCGCTTCACGTTAGAGATCACCTTAGATTGTTTAACCGTAGATAAAAAGTCACCCCGAGATAAGCATTTCTTATTACAGGTTTTGGTGAGTAGTATTGCTGAAACTGTATTTGTACGAGTTGCGCTGCATTTTGACGCCGAATACGCAAGGCAAGGCAAAACACAAAGAACGAGTAAAAACACCCAGCGATACGCGAACCAAAATGTCTAATAAGTTATCTATAATCCAGTTGCTTTAATTTATGTGCATTTCATATATGACATTTCTTACTAGATACAGTCCGATTGAACAGATTTTTTTCCGGTACAAAATGACCAACTGTTTAAAGATCAAGTGATATTTGTACTGGATTCGTGCGTTTTTTGTACCCTGCTTAATACAGATGGATAATAATTCCAAATATTATTACGAGACAGTTAAATATTGCAAGTGTACTTTTTTTTTGATCCTATAGCAAAATCGACGCTTTTGATTATGACGAATTGAGCGGCACGATATTTAATAGGAGAAATGTTATAGTAGTGGACCATTCCCTCGGGGTAAGTTATTAGCTTAGACCTTGTTTTGAGACTCCAGCGAGCAACTTCATCTTTCCAAAACTATCTTCCAGTGTGCGGAAAACTCGACTATGGACGCCGCCATTTTTAAAATACCTCAGTAACTGCGCTAAGCACAAATTAAGCAAAGCTCAATTGGCAGGATTCATACTACCCGGAGCACAAACAGCTGTTGCTCTTGTTATCGTAAAAGTTTTTGGAGGTTTCATCCCATGAAAAGCTCGCCTCATGACAACTTCGCCCTCTACCGGTTAGCCCCCAATTCGTATCGTTACAGCGAAAGACCCAACGTGGATTTCGCGATTTTATGTTCCGAAATGGTGTAAGATTTCGTCCTAAAAGGAACATATTTTCCTCGATGAAACGCCGGGGAAACCCGACGGAATGCCGGGAAATAACCTACGAGGTACTAGCACCTCATATAAGAGTAGTAGCAGTGCCTCTAGTTGCTTCCTGGTGCCACAGAAACCAGGAAAGATATGGGCAATGTAGCTGGCATTTGGCTCGCATGCAGATGTCTGTTATAAAATCGTGTTTTTGTTTCAGGCTCCAGATGGAATGACCATTGATGAAGATGGAATGTTATGGGTTGCAATGTACAACGGATGGAAGGCGAGTATTCATATGAAGATATGAGTGTTCTTTACTTTTAAGGCGACTGAAGGCGACTTAGCGTCCCAGAGTAGGCATTAAACATTTTGCCAAGAGCGTAACTACTCGTCTCACAAAATCCGATGATTAATTCCCCCTTCAGCTGCCTGAAAGTCAGATAAGGTCTGACTGGATGGGCCACTTTTTTCGATCATCGGTTTTTTTTTATACCATTATCAAGAATTACTTTATGTTTCCCCGTCGTTGAATTTAAAACGGTATATATACATATTTTTGCAGGTGGCAAAGTTTAATCCTTGTAGTGGAGAATACTTGACCCATGTAGATCTTCCAACAGCTAAAGTTACCTCTTGCTGCTGGGCCGGCACCAATTGTGATGAACTGTTTGTCACTAGCGAAAGGTTAGTCGTAGCTCAGTTCCTTGCAGCGTCGCTGAGGATTTGCGCTGAGTCATGGAGTGATAAAGTAAAACGAGAAAGGGTAATTCTCGCCAAAATGGTGTGAGGTATGAGAAGACCATTGTGAAAGGTCTTTGCTCCGACTCTTTTGCTTAGGTAGCAGTCTTAGACGTTTTTCTTGAACTCAGCGAGAGTCACGTGGACTGCATGCTGCATGAACGAAAGTCGCGTAAAGGCGTGGGGCGAGAAGAAGCAAAAATGTGACAGCATGGGAGGGAAGGGATAGGTTCTTTTTCTTCTTCATTGTCACTTCTCTTTCCTTTTCTTTTTTTTTTTTTAACTTAAATCTTTCTTTAAATTTTAGTGCTCGCTTGACGCCAGAAGAAAAACAACAACAGCCCTTGGCAGGTTCGATTTTCCGAGTGAAAAATTTAGGTACCACAGGCTCACCAGCAGTTGCTTTCCATGGTTGAATACATGAAAGCTGTTTTACACATGAAAAGGAGTATAAATGGGGTTTTCATAAATTTTTGATACCTTTCGAAAGGAACGAAAGTGTTTTAGGAATATTTTTTTTATTACAACTGAGTCTGTTAGTTACAAAAAAAAAAATTTGCTCACGAGTCCACGAAGTGTATTTAAAAGAATTGAAGAAACGTTCCAGGGCTAGTATTATTAAAATTGGTCTTTTTAAGAAGTTTGTCTTGTCAGATATTTTTCAGTCATCGAAATTCGGTGGGGCTTACAAACTGGCAACGGCGAGGAAATTTATAATAGAGTCAATTTGCATGTATTTAATTACTAATAAAGTGGTGAATTCGAAGTCTGTATACAAGACCGTGCACTCCACTGTTCCTTCCGCGTGAAACGGACCTGCTTCTCTGAAATCTAATTAGTTATCAGTCCGATTCTCGAAAAGCTTCTACGAACGTGACAAATGTTTCACAGCCTTCTTTCGCAAGATAGCTTCATCAAGAAGAGCTTATTCGATATTTTCCCCTTTTGACTATTAGAAACTCAAGAATTCCCTAGCGGAGCCATTTTATCTTCTTAATGGTTTTTGATTCTATTCAGATCCAAACTCTATGCAGAGTGAATGCGCTTCATACGAGTACAGAGGAGTAATCGCGTGGTCAGGACGCTAGGGGGTTGTCGCGAATGCTGGGAAGGTTGTCCTTTAGATCGTTTTTGGCGGGAATTACCACGCATTCACTCACGCGTTCTGCTAAGTGTCCATGTTTTCGTCATTTTATCTAATGTTGAAAGAAAACTTGTGTTTACATATGACTTTCTCACTACTAAAAGATGCGGAAGTGGGTCGAAAACTAAAAGGCTAGTAGGTTGGGGGTCAGTGGAGTAAAAAGGTAACTGAATTACAACTTTTCAGGTAGGAAATTGCTTCCAACTTTCAAGAATTTGTTTAGTTTGGTTGCTCGGTCGTCGATATTTGGGCAAATTCAATGGTTCAAAAGCTTCCTAAAATGTTTTCTGCGTTTGAAATGTATAAATACGTTTTACATGAAGAAAAACCATCGACAAAGTCTTGATTTTTGGAATTCACCAATATTTCATTATTTGGATGCTCCCCTTAGAGGAGACAAGGAATTTCTCTGCACCTTAATTCTAGTGCCCGGTCTCTCTCAGTTCAGCCCCTTCAATATGGCGGATATTTCGGTCGTATCCGGGGACATCTGTACCAAGCTCGGAGAAGGACCAACTTGGGATGCAGCTACGCAAAAATTATTTTTTGTGGACGCCTTAGCCTACAGTGTGCATGTGTTAGATGTTGAAACGGGAAAGGTATTGAGAGAAACAAAAAAAGTAGCTGCAAAGTTTACTTCGGAGGAAGTGATAGTTGTACGTCTAACAGCATAGAGGAGAGAAGTACTGGCATTTGATGCCGTAAGATGACTTTCTATTCTATAGTTTTACCCAAATAGAGTTTATTCCTGCTGAGTTAAATGCGATAGAAGGGAGGTGTACCTAAATACCCGGATTGATAAACTTCCGGGGCAGGAAAACCTCACCAATTTAATATAGTAATATCTTTTCCTTGTTATTAGGCTAAAAATTATCAGCTGGATGGAATAGTTGGATGTGGTAAGCCTCAATTGAATATCAGAAGTAAAAAATCATGTGATGTACTTTTTATCTTTTTAAGAGTTTATTTGGCCCACAACTCGTACCCTAAATTGGAGACCATGGTAAAAAGTTTTAAAGCTAACGTTTTGGGTGTTAGCCCTTTGTCAGAGGAAGTAGAGTAGTTATGGGTTGTGTGTGGTTTGTAGAAAGATGGAGCTACGCTGGTGACATGAAAAACAAAGAGATAAATTAGTGTAACTTAGTATAATCAATCGGGTTGATTACATAAATTGGCCACCGTAAAGAGTTTCAAGGCTGATGTTTCGAGCATTAGCCCTTCGTCAAAGTGGAAAACTTGAAATTCTTTACAGTGACCAATTTACGGTGGCCAATTTGCATTATCAACTCTGTTGATAATTCTCAGTTAACCTGTTATACTCTCCCACTGATGCAGATCACAGTTCCTTTAGAAACTTAATTACCCCCTTTAAAAAAATAAGTTCATTGAATGGAAAGCATTTGAAGATACAGTGGGGTTTATAAGATTGCCAATTTTAGAATATTAATTTAGCTCAAGAGTTTTGTTGACATGTACTGTAGAATGTTTGTTTGTTAATTACAGTATGTTGATTAACAGAAAAAGTTTTGAATTTTTGTTTGGTGATGGTGGTTATATAATAGTTTGACTCTTGTCCCATGAATGCCTTTCATTAATTTTTTTTCCACATTTTTTTCTCAGTTGTTCCTAGAAAGAGAGGTGGTTCTGTTATTCTGGCATGTGAGAGGACTATAAGGTTTTTAGATCTTGAGGTAGGCTGAGTTTTATACCATTTAGTTTAATACCTTGTTCAAGATATTCTGAATGTGAACACTTGTAGTATGTTTAAATATTTCATCGATAATTTTTTACAGACTGGGCAGCAGGAAATAGTTGCTACAGTTGACGGTAAGTTTGTAAGTCTTAATTTCAATTTTGCTATGTATTACACCCTAACATCAATATCCATAATCTCAATACTCATCTCTACACATCTCCTTTGGTATTAACCAGGAGAATTTGTTCAACAATCAAAGCTTCTCAGATTGGTGATTATTTCCCTTATTCTCATGATCCAAATGGATGATTGAGCAAAACTGCTGTTAGGTGAAATTAGATGCTGGGTTTATATGAGGTATTAGTAGTGGTTAAGAAGTGCACTAGAATTTTAGAATTTTTTTTTCTAATGTGTTGTCTGTTCTGCAGAAGATAAACCAGAAAATCATTTTAATGATGGAAAGTGTGATCCAGTGAGTAACCAGATTACTACAAAAGTTACCGCCTAGCTGTACTTGAAATGTTGGTAGTTGTCAGATATGTTTGTTTAAATTATTATTTTAAACAAAGCCAATAGGCATTGTTTAATGCAACAAAACTGCATTCTTAACCACGTTCAATTTAGTCAAATCTTTTATCTGAACATTTATCTTTTTGAACTGTGTCAAGGGGGCTGACAGCTAACAGTAGAAAGAACATTTATTTGGTTAACCCTTTAACTTCCCAATCAAATTTGCAATTCTCCTTACTATCAACCATACAATTCTTATAATGTTAGTTGAGAGAATTTAGTATTGGATCAACTCATTATCCCTAACTAATTTTTTTTTATTCTCATCACTTGTCTGCTTGATCAAATTGATATTGTAAGGAGAAATTCTGTCTTGGTCACTTTTATGAGGTAAAGGGTTAACTCAATCCTCTTACAGGGAAAACCTAAGGCCCACTGATTGGTTAAAACCATGGTCTCAGTCAGACCTTGTGTAAATAACCAACCCTTTGTGTTTTTCATACTTCGTTATCTATTGTGCAACTTGTAAATTTTGTGGGAGTTACAATTATCTTGAAACAGAGACAAATTTGTAGGGTGCAAGATGTCAGAAATGTCTGTTGGAAAATAATTTTTGCAATTTCTTATTCAAGCAGAAGAATATCAAGGATTAAGGAAATGCAACATTTTCAAATTTTGTTACCTGGGCAGTCATGAGGATGGTAGATAACTTGTAGTTAGACATTTCTAGTGCTCATGCATGCAGGGCATAGTTTTGCAGATAACGAAAAATCTAAAAACAACGTAAAACATGCGAAATCTTTTTGCTTTATGTTTAAGTGATAAGATACAGAAGGCTTACTATCCTGATGTGAAATATAAATCCTCTTTTTTTTTGCAAGGCAGGAAGATTTTGGGTTGGCACAAAAGGCCGGGAAACAGGTGCAGGAATTCTCCCTCCTGAGCAAGGGTCTCTGGTTAGTATGTATGATGCTGAATGCCTTCTAGTTAAAACTGAATTAAAACTGTGAATTTTTCTTTGGAATTAAATTGTTAATTCCAGAAGTCAGTGGCTGGAAGGGCAGTTAAGATTGTTTAATTGTTCATTTGCTTATTGGCCATTTGTGATATATGTGTTATCATTTTTTCCATTTCAAGGTCAAAGTGTAAAACCCTCTAACCCCCAGAAGTGATTAACGTGTAACTTTTCCCTTCACATGCACACATTAATGAGAATATTCAATCTTATCAGGTACATGTGGAAGTTATTATAATTCTTGACCTAACAACAAATTCTCGTGACTAACTTTCAAGGAAATGTGTAGCAGCAAGAGGGAAGAATTAACAGTCAGATCTTGGGAGTTGAAGGGTTAATGCCATGTTGTGGCTGTAAGTGAATTACATTAGGAAATCTAAATTAGGCAAATATGACAATTATTTTTATTAAGTTCTAAGTGTGTTTTGCAATTTCAGTTTTCACTCAATGGTGACAGAAAGCTTACAAAGTGGATAGACAAGGTGCCTAATTTTAATTGTGCATGTTAGAGATTTGTTATTACATCATGCATGCTAGGTGCACCATGCATCTCGGGTTTGGTTAGAGCATGATTTTGTTTGCATGGTGAATGTGTTAGTGAATCAAGTTAAGGAAGGTCGCATTCCATCATACTAAGCCAATTCTCACATGAAACAGGTAACCAATTTACAAAACCCTTTCCTTGAGGGATGCCTAACATGTGCAATTTATACTGTGATGAATATTAAGTTAGTGTATAAAATCATCCATTTATTGCACTGCTGTGATCACAAACTTCATGGAACAACACATTTACCCAGAGACAAGTTCAGTGTTCCTTTTTCATGAGTTAAATCAATATTGTGAAGAAATGGACAGATTGATGCAAGGCAGCAAATTAACTTTAAAAGTTAATGGAAAAATTGATCAATTTTAATCATAGATATTTTTTTTCTAGATAACAATATCTAATGGCATGACATGGAGCTTGGATAAGAAGACATTTTATTACATAGACACAGTGACTAGGTATAGTCCTTTTAGTTTTTTACCCAATTCAGTGTGTTTATATGATTATTTTTATGATAATATTAATTTTTCTTTTTTGAAGTGTGTCTTATTGGTGCCACATATATCAAATTGAAGAACTGCAGTGCAGATTGATGGCATGACTGAAAATAATTTTTAATCCCTTCTATAGTAAAATTGATGCTTTTGATTATGATCATGAAGCTGGGGCCATATCAAATCGCAGAACTGCAGTGCAGATTGATCCAGCGCTTGGGGTAAGCTTGCAGATTATGTGTCATGCACTGCGTGAAAAATGTTTAAAAATGTGGGACAGAAAGATGTTTCTTTGACTTGTTGTGACCTTCTTACAAAGAAAAAATTATTAATCCCTTTAAAGAATCAACCCTCAGAGTTCTACCAAAGAGCCAGAAAGACTTTTCAGAGAACTAGGTTGATAATTTGTGCCATGCATTTCACATACTGTCAGAACTGTTATCAGATTGCTCATATACCAACAATATTGAGAGCCTTGAATATAGAAGGAGACTTGGAAATCTTTAATGTCTCCAATCCTGTTTGACCTACATGCACAGATCTCATGAAAACTGTTTCAACATTAATTCTTGTCTGTAAAGTAACTGTATGCAATGGACATTATGATTAATTTGTTGGGGTTTTTTTTAGTATCCAGATGGTATGACAATTGATTCAGAAGGAAAGCTTTGGGTAGCTATGTATGATGGATGGAAAGTAAGCCAATCTTATAATCAAATATGTAGTAACAGAAGATAAAATATATATTTTTTTATCTATGGTGATTATGTTATACGTGTACTTGTGGTCCTGACCTTTGATCAGATTAATGTACAATTGCTGTTAATTGTTCAAATGTATCTGAAATCAGTGGTCTCAGCCTTGAAGGAATGTTCACAAATGTATATAATTTTAAGACAGTGGAAATTGTGAGATATCTTGACAAGGCGGGGGCAGGGGGGGAGGGAGGTATTCATATACATCTGTCAGTGACATGAAGAAGGGGAGGGTGTTCATATACATCTGCAAATAACATGAGGTTTCTATATCTCTGTCCCTTTATATTTAAGCCAACAGGTCTTTTTGATTTAGATTTCAAACAGTTTTCTTTTGTCAATGATTATTATAATACCACTTCCAATAATTACTCGTACTGTACCCAGGTTTGGGGGCTTCTCATTATATAAGCTAAAATTGTAATTGTATTTGTCTTTATTGTTTGAAACCAGTAATATTGTCTTTCTCATCCCTTTTTATAAAGGTAGTGAGTTTCAACCCAGTCTCTGGTGCAATGCTTAGAAAAGTAGATATACCTGTTGCCAAGGTGACATCTTGTTGTTGGGGTGGACCAAATCTAGATGAACTATTTGTTACATGTGAAAGGTACAGCATCCAACTACTTCTTACATGAAATTATTTTTGAATTTAAGGTACATAAATAAAGAGTGATGCACATGTATAATATTTTGCCATTCTCTATCTTCTGTAGAACGCTATTCTTTTCAAATTCTATTTATTTAGCTGAGACAATCACTAATCTTGCGTAGTACACACAACTGTGATATTTATTGAATTCCTTTCTCTCCCTCTCTCCTACTGTTAGAAAGTTCATTTCATGTAACATTTTTTTCTCTATTTAGCTTGAGGTTATCTCCAGAGGAAAGGAAATCTCAACCTCTGGCTGGTTCTGTATTCCGAATTAAGAATCTTGGGACAGGTGGATTACCAGCTAAAGCATTTGATGGTTGAAAAGAGTGCACTAATTTTTAAATATCTTATTCATCTGATTAAATGCCACCCTTGAATAAAGCCACTTTGACTAAATGCTTCATTTTAAAGAAAACATATTAATAAATGTGGCCCTTAAATAAATGCTGCATCATGATGCATGATGTGGCGTTTATTCGAATAAAATTCCAAAAAATCACACAATCAATGATTCAATTCCAATTAGAAATTTTGAATGAACCAGACACAAATCCTTAGGAATGCACCAGTTCTGGTGTTGAGAAAGTATATCCAACATTAGTTCTTTATTCACTTTTTGTATTGCAGTAGTTACATTAACATGCAAATTGTGAAATTGAGAACAGAAGTAGAAAAGCATGGTGAGTTTCCTAGGGTTTCAGGGAAACCACATTATTTTAAATTGAGAGGAGATATTCCACTTGATAAAGGAGTAATCACAATCATTTATTCAAAACTTTTGTGGCAAAATGAAACTCATTTGAGAGAGACTAAGTTGTGCTAAACTAGACTTGTACATATGCAAATGAACACTCACATGTTGGAGTATAAAGAATGCAATTTTAGTCCAGTTCATTGTTCAAAGGGTGCACATCTGGTTTGAATTTTTTAAAAAATTAACTAAAATTTTAAGGATATTAATGAAAAATTATGAAATAAATATTTAATTCAAATCCCCCTCCTCAAATCACTAATAAGTATGTAATTGGTTTTTAATCAAATTATAAATAACTGTGATTTGGCATCCCTTCAGTTTTCATGCATCAGGAGTCTTCACCCTTTAACCCCTGAGAGTGACTACCATCTTATTTATCAGTTTAACCCCTGTATCACACAGTAAGGTCATGAGAATAAAGGAAATGATCACCAACTAAATTTTCTCTTGATCGATAAACAAATTCTCCTTATCAGCACCTTAGGAATTATATAGAAAACAGTATGGAGAATGTGCATATTGATGTTAGGGTGTAAAGGGTTAAGTATCACATACACATACACAGACACATGATCAGTTTAACAAATTCTTCGTCACTAATCTGTGGAAGAAGCAGTGGAAAAGCCAATGCTTTCAAAGCTAGTTGTCTCACTCTTTCCACTCTTGTTGCACACCTTTTTAATGTAAACCAACCTGGTTATAATAAGAAACATTTGGAATTCACAATCCACCTTTAATCATATATCTTTTATTATCACAACATAACTTTGTTTCTGTACTCCAAAAATTCTAAGAACAATTAACTTGTCAAAAAACTATTCAACAACAGTGAAAAATTAACTTCTATATGCATGCCTGGAAATTCATGTCTGAACTTATGTTTACATGTAAAAAATTCAGTTTATGACATGTTGGGAAAATAGCCTGGCATGTAATTTAACAAGGTGTTTTCATACTAATAATTTAGTTTGTGCTGGGTACCACTTAATTCTCATCTAAAGGATAACCAAGATAATTAGATAAAACATTTTTATTGTTTCTACCATCTCCAGCCTTCTCACTCACGAATGCTTACTTTTTCCAAGCTGTTACAACTTGAGACTTGGTGTTACTTGCTTGAAGCAAAACAAATTCTTATAGAAAAACATTAAATTATGCCACAGATCTGTTTGAAAATCATTGAAAGTTACCTAACCATACTATCTTCTGCAGATACTGTTAGTAAAATTAATCCATGTACAATGTGCATGTACTTAACTTACATTGTGGTTATTTGCCAATTGCATTGGCAAATATTCTAATGATGTAATGTTTTACAATTGAAAATAAGTGTTACTGCCTTGGAGCTATAGGCACTCCAAACATGAGAAGGCTAGTGGGTAAAACTCCCCTTAGGGTGAAAGCATCAACATTTCTTTTCTTGAAACAACAAACTAAAAAGACCTTCACAACATATTCAAACTATAGTCACATTAAATGTCTAATGACAAAGTTTTAGAGAAATTAATTCTTGTATTCTTCTTTATCTTCATTTGGTGATTATGTCCAAGCAGAAAATCAATCACCAGTGATCATTCAGCTGAGTGATGGGGAATTTTTTTGCAGCAAGGCCACAAAATCTCTAGTTACTGGCAAGGGCACATTAGGGTCAATGTGAACGTCGAGAAACATCTTGCGTTCCCATGGTGGCATCAGGACCCCAAGGGTGACTCGCATCTCTTGCACCTGTGAGCGAGTCACAGGTTTTGTGTCCCACTGCTTCATTAAGTTTGAATCCTGGCAACAGGTCAACTGAAAATTAAATATAAAAGTTGCAGTTAACAGACGTTTTAATTTGGTGATGTTATAACACATGTATGTATGATAAATAAGTAATTAATTCTTAAGTTTTTTAAGTTATGCCCTCATAACAAAATCCAACGAAACAAAGCAGAACACAACACAAACACCACTAAACAAACAAACAAATTTCAATCTTTTTTTGACAGAGAGCTAAAATTCCCTAAGTCACTTAATCACTGGAAGACTAATTATTAGGATACTCATTTTAAAGGACATTCCCAGAATTGTTCCATGGGATGTTTTTTGATTGATTGATTATTTTTAAACACTTTGTCTCACATCTTGCCTCTTAGGTACAGGTGTGATAGGATAGCTTCATGGTTGAGAACTGAAAACAGTTCTGAGTTACAGTTAACTGTGTAATACTATGTTACTTGATTACAAGTAGAGAAAAGACATTTATGGGTAAGGACACTTGCAGGTTAAACTATGGGTAGCTATGCAATATGACATGCGTAGTCAAGTACATCTGAAATTACATGCTTTCTGTAAATTTCAGAAAGGAAAAATCTTCATACCCCACAAAGTCCACACCACCCAAAGCAACAAGGGGGATTTCCATGGACTGTTATCTCTCCACGCACACCTGTCTCCCCACGCATCTCTACACTTCGTAGACAACGCAGTGGGATTGGGAGGTAATAAGTGGTATCATTGCATGACGTCTGAATGCTGTATCCTCCTGGCAGCTTCTTTGCATCACCCCACTCTATCAGGGATGTGCCTGCAAAATAGTGGTGACAGTCATTACTAGGAGGCAGTGTGACCAAGTAGTTAGAGCGCTGGGCTTATAATTAATCTGCTGGTCCCAGTTGAAAGGGTTCCACCCTGCTACTCACTGGATTTGTCTGTGGTAAATGTGCCAAGTTCAACTTCTTGGCTGCACTTTGTGTTTAAAACCAACTGGTCTACTTCCTGTTAGATTCCATTTTTTAACAAAGTGCTTCTTCAATCATTCATTTGGACCCTGAAAAGCCCCACTAGGGTCATGGTCAATGAAGTATACTTTCACACAGATACATGTATAGGATCTTGTCCCTATTACGTTGCGACATTCACTAATCCATATCCTTGTAACATTTTACCATTTTACCATTAAAATTTTAACAGAGAGGATTGAGAACCTTCAAGTTTGGCTCATGAAAATGTTTACCAATAAGTTGGGTTCAACACGCTAAAAATTGCAACTGATTCAGTTAACAAAATGTTCACAGCTAAAAGTTTTGAGTTCAAAATTGGGAACTAGATTGTTCAAGGTAAAAATCAGTTTATTACAAAATTAAATCTTGTTGTAAATTTGTCTTGAAGAAAAGGTCAAACTTACGGAAACTGTTAATTTAAAAACCAAATGTTGCATACTTCAATTTATCAGCCTCATGAGCCAATTTGAGATCCCTTCGAAATTGTTTCACTTAAGAAAAATCTAATTAATGTTGTGAAAGTTGCATGTACATGTACTCTCTTCCCCCTTTTTGTTAATTTATTGTTCTAGCTTAAAATGAGATCAAAATGACTCATACAGTACCTGTGCTGTCTCATACAGTGTAACTCTAAAAATGAAAAAATTAACCTACCCACAGCAAGTTGTGAAGACAAAAAGAGAATTCTCTTGTTTGTTAAAAGGCAAATGCCACCACTTCTCTGGCTAACATGCTTGAAATTTTCATCAGAGAACTGCACATGCGTGTAGTTCATGAAAGTGAACTGATTCAGAGCTTGAAAACTTTCCCCTTCATAGATCAGTCCTGCCAAGAGATCTCTATAACTCATATTTCCCTGTAGAGGAAAATAAAAGTAGAAAAGTGAAATTTAGAAATAATAACCTGTTTCTCCATAAGAGTCCCTATTTTGCTCACTAGAAGCTCATATGCTAACCTTACTTCACAAACCTTAAGAGACACAAATTGGCCCTGAACAGTGCGTTGAAGCTGATCCGCATTATGCCGCAATGTCCTTTGAAGAGTTGCTCCACTCATGTGTTTGGTGGTTAATGATGTCATAAGGCCTCTGGAAACTGGATCCAACATTGCATCTGTGAAGGCCTGTGGCTGAGTGACCACAGGAGGGGCAATGGTAGCTAAGAAATCCATGTCAACTGCAAATTAGAAAAAAAAAATTAATATTGTCACCTTGGAATTTCATTGGTGCTTTGCATGCAGCTGTGAGCTTGATCTAAAGCTAGAATCATATGGACGCATCTTTCACAGTACCCTTTCACTTGCAAGATCTGAAAGCTAATTCTCTAAACTGGTGGCCATGCAAACAGTTGTTGCCTACTCCTGAGAATTTGGTGTTTTATCAAGACACTAGCCCTGAGCTGATAATTCTCTTAATTCCCAATAACTATCTACTAGACATTTAATTAAAAATTACAAGGAGACTTAATATGTTGGTCACTCCTGGGAGTTAAGTGGTTAATGAGGGGCATGAACAGGTAAATTGGGAATTAGACATTTGTCCATATTTTCCTTTGTAAACAGGAAGGAAACAAATTAAAAATGTGATAAGTACAGAGATCATTTGGGTAGAATTTGGGCTTGGTTTTTAAATGGTATTTATATCCTCCATAGACTATAGCTGGTCTACCAGAACCAGCTTGGACAGCCAAATAAGGAAAGGGGAAAGATCACTTTTGCACACAATACTGATTGTTCAAACATCAAACGTTTTACAAAATTAGTAAGGAGATAAATACTTCTCTACCGATAGAACAACTTTCAGAATAGCCAAATTTTGTTCACAACCAAACTTTCACTTGACCAACACAGACGTAAAGTTTGCAACGACTATGGACTAATTATTTTGGCGAAATCTTTGTTGCTTCAAATCTCTACAGCGTTAAGATAAATGAATCTAGCTAAGCTTCGATTCGCGTCAGTGACCCAGCTTGCTTCGATCTTAATAGGAAAAAAATAACATAATGAGACACTAATATAAGAACAGAAGTAGATTTGTTCCATTGACCTAAGTGCAAATTTCCAATGAAATTTCCCTTGGAATTCCAGTCGAAAGATGAGTCCAAATCGAATTGACAACAAATGATATTTCTCTTTTAAAATAAGCGCAGATTCGTATGGAAATAACTATCGCATGTTAAGGTTTTGGATCAAGGCGAAGTTCAATAACAATCAGTTGTTCCTGTCTAACCCAAGATATTGTGATATTTCCGACGTGTCTCACTTCGCTGCGTGACCACATGGATATTAACTACAGCGTAGGACAAACTACACGAACTTCGAGATTAAAGATTCATTTACTGCAAGTTACCCATGTGATTTACGACTCAGACTAGGAGCCCAAGGTTTATACGATCGTTTTTTAACCAGTTTATAGACAATTCAATACCAGTTGCAATATCATATTGCATCATGACGCTCGCAATTAGAAAGACAGCTTACTGGATCCAGTAGTGGCAAGGGAAGGACCGTCGAAGTTTGCATTGCTCTCAGCCATTTTCAGCAGAGGTATTTTGCACGGCAAAGGAACTTCTTTATCGTCTTCTGCAAATTCACTGCTACTCGAACTTCCACGTCTCTTACTGTCTGAGATTCGTTCGTAGCTCATGAGCGCTCCGATGAAATTGCCCCTCTGTGACGAGCGCGCAAGATGTTTCTTAGAAAGAATTGGAAACCCACGCCGCCGTTTCTCAGAAAAATTGAACAAACTGCTATTGTCCAGGGTGGGAAGGGGAGAAATTAAATCCTCACAAGCTTCTTTATTCATAAAGTTTATCCAAACATTATCATTAATGTTTTTCTTTCAAGTAGGAAAAGCTTTTCAAGTTTTAAGAAGGCTTGATTTAAGGATTTCGCAGCTTTCTGAAATCCAGCTCACTCTCGAGGAAACTGATAATTCGACCTGACTGGGGTGTGGAAAGGTAAATCTTTCAAGAAAAAATAAAAGGAAACCAAATACACATGTAAGGACCTTCAAAATGTGAAGATCAAATGTCCTTTCCAGTGTCAAGTTAGCCTGATGGTCTCCTAATCGTAAAAGCAAGTCGAAGCATATTAATCAATATTTGCTGCTTTTAATTTGGTTTTGTTCAACTTGAATGAATCATCGAAGCCGGCGATGTGGAACAAAGATCGATAGATACCCAGGTTGTATTGGCTCAAATTCTAAGAATTCAATTATTTTTCTACTAATTCGGATAGCCCGGCAATTGAAGAAAACATTCTCACAGTTTGAAAAGCGGTGAAGGAAATAAATATAAGTTAAAGATTTTGCTGTTATGTTGTTTTCGAGCAGTCATTAAGAGGTTGATCAAAGCCCTCACTCTGTGTTTTATACTCAAAAGCTGGCTCGACTATTAACCTTCTGCGGACGTTTCAGGCAAGCATTCAGTCGTAATATCGAATACTTATGAACTTTAAACTCACCAGGAGAGGCCATAGCTTCAAGTTGAATGGGAATGTCCTCAGACACCACTTTAGAACCAACAAGTTCCTCTTTAACGGTGTTTTTAAGCCGTTTGAAGCTCATGCTAACAGAGCGCTCCGCCGACTATCTTTAATATAAGGAACGGAGAATGGGGGAACGGGGATTGGGGAATGATGAATGGAAAAAAAACGAAATTCTCGGAAAAGGTCAGGAATTTTTATGAGCATAGACACGTCCGTGATATTCAGTATCAACGCCTCTTCAGATTAAGGTCTCATTGGAGTAAAGCTTTAGCTGTAAAATAGCATAAAATAAACTAGCCGTTAATTAAGCGTAAAACGTGGCAAATTTTAATCGTTGGCCGTAAAAGCCGTGACCTTATTGGAACCCTCGTGTTAGAGCGAATTATAAAAGCTCGTAAATCTTTCGATGAACTCGGTAATAAAAAACCGTATTTTAAATTCTGTACTGAAATGAGTAAAACAGTAAGGTCCGATTTTGTTTTTTCGAAAAACTTTACCTTGCTCTCATAATTCGAGGAAATTGCTGAAACAAATGCTTTAGTTAAGAAGCGCCAGAATAATATCGCTTTGGGTTAATGAAATGCAGAATGGTTTTGTCTGAAGAAAACGTCTGCAAAGTTTTTAATTAAGCAAATACTATAACTCGAGCCAACGCGTACAAATTATTTCAGTATTTATTTATTCTTGAGTCTAAGGTCCAACGACCGACCTGATTAAGTCGCGATTAAAAAACATTGTGCTCCGTTCGGCTTGATCACGCTCAGAACCCAAGTTACACTCTAGAGGAGACATGGCGGAGAATTTATTTAGTGGTTCATCTTTCCGCCTGATTGGTCTTGACGTAATGACAGTATGCACAGCTCTCCAATAACAAAGATGTGTTAGCAGCACTTAAACAAGCTTTCAACAATTCTAAACCTGTCAAATTCGCCCCTCCCGAAACAGCTTCCCCCAAATGTGAGGAAACCAATTGTTGATCAATATTTGGCAAGAACCCGGCGAGGAGGGCAATTTTTGTGTGGGGCTCTCCGACAAAATTTAACTCTAAGGCGTGAAAAGGATTAATCATAAAAAAAATTATGTTAGGTTTAATGGGAAAAAATTAACCGTAAAATTGCCAAACTTTTAACCGTTAGCTGTAAAAACCATCACCCCATTGAGACTCAAACCCTCTTGTAAATGCAAGAGTGTAGAAAGAGTGAACAATAAAAGGTTATGAGGCCAGATTAGGAAAATAGCCCAAAGGGGTTGAAGAAGAACAGACTTGAGGTCCACAAAAAGGAACAAGGGAAATAATTATTATACTGTACTCTGCGATCGTTCCTAAGTTGATGAAACGAATGATTGACTCACTTGGCGGTGCATTTGGTTGTGGAGGAATTGACATTTCCTCGTACAGAGCTGTAGATTCTGCGAGTTCCTCAGCCAAAGAGTTTCTCAGCTTTTTGAAGTTCATCATTTTCACTTTATGAATAATTTTTAGCTGTAGTAGTTCACTTTAGTTGGCAGCACTCAGCAATGCTTCTCTCATGAAAAAAATGCGATGACTATTTGATACGAACAGCACTCTCACGAGTGACTAGTGAAGACTTTCTGTTAACAATTTCAGTACTTTTTCACCCGTAAAGGAAATGAGAAGTAGGGGGAAATAGCATATAGAGGAAGAAATTTGATAGAACCAAAATTCTAAGAGAAAGCAAATATTTACAATTTGTGTTATACATTGTAGAGAATTGATCTTTAGATCGAGGTTGTAAAAGAGTTAAAACCATCTGATCCACCCCCCACCCCCTCAAATATAAAGACTAGTCCCTAACAGTGACCGATAAGTAATTTCTTACTACAATGTCAATGCATTCTCAAGTATAAGGTAACAGTGATATTAAAGTGAAGTTAAACGTCAGCTAGAGGTCACTTTTAGACGAAGCATTAAATTTTCGGATTAAATTCCATCGGAAATTTCGCTTGAGTTCTTGGGAGAGAAAAGCTGAACCCTTAGTTATGTCTTGGTGACGGAAATTTGAAAAAAACTCCATTTAGATGGAATTAAATTTTTCGTCGAGCACGTGTACTGAAATTCAGATGTTCTTGAGTTGATAATATTCTACTTGTAATCATTCTACTGTATCAGCCATGACTCAAATATTTTTCTTTAGATAAACGGGACGAAAGCTTCGGAAAATCTTGTTCAGTTTTAAAATAATTGACCAAAACAATTTTAATTGTGGTCCGACGCTAACGGAAATTTGCCCAGCTGTTGAAATAATATACTACGATCAAGTTTGCCATTAGCGACAAAAATTGCTGACTTACTATTAGCAATCCATTGACGACTTTGAGAACTGTAGCCGGTAAAAGTCTTTTGGAAAGAGAGTAATTCAAAAATTACAGTGGAACATGACAGTTTCCATAGAGCGCGCGTGAAGACCTTTATGCTTGGTTGCCACCATTAAAATATTTCTGTGTAAGTGACGGCTTAGAGAGCGAGTGTTCAGACACATGCTTGCAATTGTTGGTAATCCCAGCGTTAAATTATCCTTTTCAAAAGGTTATCCATTTTTCAACTCGAATTAAGCTTAAATTACGTCAGTGTAGGCTAAAACGGGAAAAAGAACTTTAAAATCAAAACCCCTACGACAAAAATTGCTGACTTACTATTAGCAATCCATTGACGAATTTGAGAACTGTAGCCGGTAAAAGTCTTTTGGAGAGAGAGTAATTCGCAAATTACAGTGAAACACGATAGTTTCCATAGAACGAGCGTGAAGACCTTTGTGCTTGGTTGCCATCATTATAGGTTTCTGTGTAAGTGACGGCTTTAAGAACGAGTGTTCATACATATGCTTGCAGTTGTTTGTGGTCACAGCGTTAAATTATCCTTTTTGAAAGGTTATCCATTTTAAACTCGAATCAAGCTTAAATTACGGCAGTGTAGGCTAGAACGAGAAAAAAACTGTCAAATCAAAAACCCTTACGGCGTTGACGAGAGGTCAGCGTGTAGGGCGCGCATTGTGGAGGTCCTGGGTTCGAATTTCGCTCATACTTGTTACCGGAGTTCGAAGTAGGGACCATAGCAAACATTCATTCCAGCTAGTCAGAGATGGGAAATCTAGATTTTGTTTCACACGCGTTCGAGAGAGCATGCTTCAGTTCCCTGAAATTCAGTTATACAAGGACTACGCCCAAGAACACCATTTTCGAAAGGATATGTATCTTTTGAAATTTCAAATCGCAAACCGTTCGATTGCAGATTTTAGGGTTACTTTTTAATTTTTAACAAACGAATGACTGGATTTTTCGGTTATCCTTCTTCATTAAATTATACCTTGATAGTTCAAATCATGGTAGATGGCCTGACCACACAGGAGATACGGAGATAAAAGATTTCCTTTCCTTTGAAACTCATATCTGACAATAACTTCTGGATGATTTTTAATGTATTCAAAACTATGTAATTTGTTTACAAATTTTTTCTTTACCAGTTTAAACAAAAGATACTCTGTTCGAAAACAAGCATAAAATTGATTGTTTTCGATGACTACCTATCTGAATAGCATAATTCACATCTCATAGGCGTCCAAAAGAAATTTTAAAAAATTATATATTTGACCTCAATTATCTTAACCATGAGCAATGACATCATGGAATCCGTAACTTTTTCCTAAGACGAGACGCAGCCTTTACGCATATAAACCCTTCTTTACAAGTCTTGGTTCCTAAATCAGCATATGTTGAACTCGAACGACCCTCTTCAGGTAAACACATCGTTCCAGGTCCATCACAAGTCATTCGGCAGCATTTCAGCCCCCTTGCATCACACATTGTTGCTTCAGGGACAAGATCATGATGGGGCTTACACTGAGGGGCAACCAGTTGGCAAGACGACAGAGCCCCTCTATGGTCGCACTCGCAGTGGTCACAACCTGTGAAAATTATTCCTGTTATAATCATTCAATTAACTCACGGGAGGCTTCCAACAATACTGATTTTAGCAGTCTGTAGGATGAGTGTTAGATATGGGGACACTGTATTAGCTAACCGCAAAGTCTCTGTGGCTCAGCGGTAGAGCTCTTGAATCCTCCGTTCAAATTTTCTTGAGTCAAGCAATTAAGGCCCAAATTGTATAGTTAACGCAACCGACGCAAGTTCTGGTCGAATTTACTATAGATTTCTCTAGCTGTGGCTCAGCGGTACAGCGCCGGAGCACGGACTGAATCCGAAGTTCTTAAGTTCGATTCCTCATGGGGACTCAAAATTTTCCCTTTGTCCCACGCTCTAGATAAGAGAAAAAATTACCTTCTTAATGACTCATTACAAGATATCCTTCATAAACTGAGCAGTTTATAAACTCTTGCTCATAAGTACACGTGCTTTAGGTTGAAACCGTCAAAGCCCCAAGAGATGGTTTCTGTGAGAGAAATCATCGGTAGAAGTTTCCTTTATATTCTTTCAATGGTTGTAAGTTACGTGTGCAGAATGTGCTACACTAGGGTCACTCAAGCGCGCAAGCACTAACCTTTCACAGAGAGAATTGTGTGAAGCAACGCCAAAAGGCAAACTAGTGTACGAGCTGTCATCTTTCGCAGAGGGTCAAACCGCATCAAAAGGCACAGAACAAAATCAAGTCAGCTTTTTCCTATTCCTAGAATACAATCAGCGACAATATTGTTGACACTTTTCCGTTGAGATGGCAATATTCTGGTGTAGCAGGAGGAAGAAGACCCATGGAATGGGGCGAAAACTCCGAGGGAACGAAATTGGTCCTTTCGGTTTGATTCTCTCGGGTTTTCACGAGAGCTTGTATTGTACATGTTGTAGTAGAAAAAAAAAAAGAAGAAGAAGAAGTAAAGAAAATAAAAGGGAAACAAGGAAAAGAGGGGTCCAGCCTAAGCCAAGACTGTGAGTGTTCTTGGCTTGGGTCTTGGCTGTCTTGGACCTTGGACTGTGAGCCCATGTGCACAGAGAGACACTCCCAGATCTCGCTCGAACAATGAAGTAAAAGAGAGGGCAGGAAAGGTAGAATTTCCCTAAAGTGTGGCGTACGGCTGTGTGTAATAGTAGCAGCAGGTATTTCAACTTATGCCTCGTTTTCGTATTTATACCAGCAGTGACACCTGCTAACTGAAATCACTGTCGAAGGTTTTTCTATTTGTAATAAAATTCAATGAAAAATTCTTAAGAAAGCTAAATATATAGGGATTGATAGAGTAATTTTTCCAAACGTTATTTGAAGTTTATTGGGTTGGATCAGCCCTAATTAAAATTATGGAACGTAGCAGAGTTTAACCTGTCATAGTCTCAACAACTCGTTTTATTTTGGCTCGTTGTTCTTAGAAAATCAGCTGGATAATGGAATAAAAGTTAAAAATCTTACCTTACTTCTTGCTTGCTTTATCTTTGTCGAAATGTTTTAGGAGTATAAAGTACAGTATGAAGCGTGATGGCGAAATTTTCACCGACGAATCGTAGTGCTTTTGAACGGCGCTTTGCCTCTGCTTCAGGTAAATAGACAGATAAATTTTTAACGAATTAACGTTGAATTCGATTTGTGACAGGTGTTCATGTGCTTATTCGAAAAACCTCAGCTTATTAATGATCAAATGCAGGCGTTGTTATGAGGAGTTAGTGTTTCACCCAATCAGAGATGTGCAAGTCACTTTTGTGTAGACGGAAAATTTTCAGTAGGAATGAGGAGTATGTAACATCTGCTTGTAAGCCCCTAACTGACATTCAAAATCACAAAAAGAAACGAGGGAGAAAATTTTTATAGAGAATGTTGTTGTTCGATGTGATTTTGTAGAAAAGTGACCATTCAATCATTTGTGTCATCATGAAAGACGCAGGCTACAACAGATATAAAAGGGCTACTCAAATGTTTCGACTTCTTTAAAAAAAGCGCTATGTTTGGCTGCTATTAAGGCAGTTGTGTTTGAAGAAGGAAAATGTCTTTTGATCATGTCAAAATTGTGGAGTAAAGGACAAATTCTGAGTCCTGGTGAGGAATCGAACCTCAGAAGATCGAATTCCGTGCTCCGATGCTCTGCTACTACTCTGCCACTGAGCCACAGGGAGCAGCTGGGTCATTTCATAGGTGACACACGTCCTGCATACTGCTGGGATCAGTAATGTCGAATGCGTTATGAGCGTAAACAAGAATACGGAAGATGGTAAATTTTGAGCTTGATAAGATATAGAAAAATATGTTTTTTTGTATTTTCAAAATCGCGAAACAAAGAAGAAAATCTGATCACCCATCAGAATTTGAACCTCAGGGGATCGTATTCCGCTCTCCAATGCGCTACCACAGCGACAGAAAAACTCTATTGTGAACGAAGCCAGCTGCGTTGCTGTATTTATTTATCAACCTCGGCCACAACATGAACCGATGTAAATACCTCAGGAAAAATCAAAACTTAGGACATAACAGCCTGAACAATGAAAACAACGAAAGAATGGTGATTTGGACCCATGACCGCTCTATGATACTTGTGCAGTGCTCTTGGTTCTAGACCCTTCTCTTACTAGCCTGCATGCTCACGTGCCTGCAAATGAAAATTCTAGACATTGTTATTAACCATGTTGTCGAGACCAGAGAGGGTAAATTACGCGAATGTAAAAAATGTAGCAGTTAGCCGCGCCATTTATGAAAGAAGTCTGTTCGTTCGTTATGAATATACGCTGTAATGTGTTCATCTATCTCACTTACTTAAAACTTAACCAGTGATAAGCTGCCATTTGGTGCGATATCTCAGTGAATTAGTGAGAACGCCACATTACCATCCAATGTAACAGTACTAAGTAGAGTACAAACAATGCGCGAATCAAGTGGAAATATATGGACGATAGCCTCTATCTGTACCAAGATGTGATCAGTTTTCCGAGATCGAAGCTCGTGAAAAACTGTAAAGTCCAAGGAGAAATATACGAGCATATTTCCGCACAAAATGAAAAATAAATATTTGCCCTCTTCTGTAACAAACATAAAACGCTCTCTCATCTTGAATAAAGTTCGAAACGAATACTTGTCTTAATGGACGTAAGGTTTGAAAATTTGGGAATATCGCTTGGGTGATATTCTCGTATATCACTTAGTTTCAGCTGGGGATAATCGGTCACGTGCTGCGCTTAGACCAATCGCGCGCGAGCAAATTATTTATTGTAAAGTTGCCTGTTTCGTATTGTAGTAAAAAACCGGTTTAACCGGTCGGCTGCGCGCGTTACGCTTCTCAAACTGCCTCGTTTTCACTTTTAAGAAATGTGTATAAACTAAAGCAGCTGGATAATAAATAATTACTTAGACGTTTTGGTCTGCAGATCGCTGAATTTTTTACTCATAGTTAGGGCTCATCAGAATACGGCAAAACTCGTAAAAATACTCAATGATATTACACCTCAAAACGTCTAATAAGATACAAATATATTGCAAGATGATTTTGGTTCGGACCCCGTTCGACCCTAAATTTTATTCAAGTTTTAAAATCTCATCAGCTTATAGGTTGCGTAAATATGATTGCTATGACCTTTGCCCTGTCAAATTTTTCTCTAAAATTTCTCTTGCTTCCCCTTCCTTTATTGAATATTTGATCAAAATAATTGTAATGTACTCTTGAGCGCAATACATATGCAAACATTTACAGACTATACCTGAAATGATTTTGAAGAGAAATCCCGCAGTTAGTTCATTCAAATCGCATTACCAATGTGACAAAAAAAAAAATAATATAAAATAATACTGAGCTACAGGGAAAAAGAGGAAAGAGAGAAAGAAAGTGAAAAGTAGCTGAGTTTTTAAACTGACGCCAACTTAATGATTAAAAATAAGGATAAGAAATATTTACTTTCTGATACAATTCTTTCTCACGTGTAAGTTTTCTTTCGTACGTGGACAGGCGGGGGTCAACTTCATCTCATGTTGTGTAATCAGTAATAAGTTTTATTTTTTGTTTTTGCTTCCGTTGAACCAAGAAGCTCACGTTTTAAAACACCTTCAGTTTGTCATTAAGTTTAAAAATAGCCGCAGCTGGAGATGAAAAACACTGAGGTAGTTTGCGCGATCTAACGTCAGCTAAATTACCCGCGCGTGATATTTTCCATTCCCGACACAAACCTTCCAATCCATGAAACATCGTCTCCGAAAAGAATAGTTTATTACTTTCGAGACAATATACAACTTAATGCTTTGCCATTTTTGTTTTCTTTTGTTCAGCATTCTTTTGATTTGTTTCTCTGTTTCATATTGCTCTGTCTGTCTCACGTTTTAACATAACATTAGCAGAAATTGGCAGTGAGGGGGTGCTATCAGCAGAGATTTCGTTACATAACCTTTTACCAAACTGCTTTCAGCTTATTATTAATCGTGTAATCATTAACAAACGCGTGTTAAAGCCGGTTTCTTTGAGTGTTTTGTTTTATGAAAAGGATAAATGAAAAGTATACATTTATTCGACGGTATATGAAATAGCGCTTATATTACAAAGACGAACCGAGTTTCGCTCCATGTTGTGGGAAATATTGAATTACTTGCTCGCGATAAGGCCAAAGAGCTAAAGACGAGTGAGAATGAAAATTGTTTTCAGCAAAACAATGCTACAATCAGTCGCTGTAACACGGAACGTATGTGTTATATAACAAGGTAATGGTGGAACTCACGTGTAAAGTACACCTGTCCATTGCCCGTTGCTTCCTGATAGAGAGAAATAAAAAGGATTCATAAACACTACGAGCTTTAAATATCAAGAATCATGCTAAGACCAGCTCTAGACGATCGTCGCATTGAAAGTATTTAGGTTTTATCAGAGCATTTTCCAGAAATGTTTACTTCTACCAACGGTACCCGTATTGTCTTGACCAAAACTGAAGAAGTCTACTCCAGTCCAGAGAGTAAAGATGCAGAGAACCGCACACAGCGGTCATCTTCTAATCTAATTCCGAACTATGGAGGCCTTCCAGAATCGAAGATGTTTCCACCTTTCTTGAGATACGCAAAAAGCACAGATTGCGGTAGCTACGCGAACAGAGGGAAATATTTAGGAGGAGAATTCGCCGATTTCGAGAACGCAGCTCAGGTAGTAACCTACGCACATAGCATGGGAAGAGGCTTCAAAACCTCAGGCGCTAAGTATCTCGAGAAAACAGATGAGGTAACAGAAAAACCGTCAGAGAAAGAAATGAAGGAAGATTCATACGACGAAGATGATGCAAATAACGGAAAAGAGGGAAAGGAGAGCTACTGGGAACGGCGAAGGAAAAACAATGCCTCGGCGAAAAAGTCGCGTGATGCAAGGAAATTTCGTGAACTGCAAACGCAATTAAAAGCGGCTTTCCTTGAGAGAGAGAACTTGCGAATGCGTACAGAGCTTATGATCATCCTAAAAGAAAACGCTTGTTTGAAACGAGTTTTATGCGCCAAAATGACATGATGGATACGTGTTACTATGTTTTGGTATTCTTGCGAAAAAAAAAGGATTTGCGATTGTGTTTTTTTTTGTCTTTATTAATGTTTACATTAAATTAGGTTGATATGTTGCGATGTAATGCTATGCGAGATAGCAGTTTGTATATTGTTAACCTTCACCAAACTGCGTTCAAAATGTCAGTTTTAAACGCTTTGATTTATTCAAAATTCTTCATTAAACTTGAAATAACATGCTTGTTTTGCGGTCTTTCTTATGTATATTTCGTAACTTCGCGATAGCAAACTTGGGAGGGGAAGAAGGATGGGAAGGGGGGTGGAACTTTCCACCGATATTAGAAAAACAATCTAAAAAAAGCTGCAACGAATTTTCGAGGGATTAGACAGATTTAACAACTGTGTCTGTCAACAAAGTTTCGAAACAAATATGGATACAATTTGGCAAATTTGAAAGGCTCAAAATCGTCCAGAATTCTGTGGAAATTTCGCGAAATGAGTCAGAAAACGCTGCATTCGTCAAATGAATCGCTTTCAAACGAAAGGACGACCGCGCAAAGTCAATATGAACATTGAAAATAATCGAAAAAATCTGAGCCTTCAATAAGCATCGAAAGTGTGTGAACTCAACCTGAAAACAGACAAAATCTTCAAATCACGTGCGAACATCTTCACCACTTATTAGTTATAACCGATGCAATTTTTGTGGCATTGTTATTCATGATCCTTTAAAGCTGTTTTTGAATAAATAATGAAAGGAAAGCTTTTGTTTAGTCTATGCCGGTGAAATTCGAACTTCTTGATCATATTTAACCTTGAAACAGGCTAAGAGATGGCCCTTTGTTAGAGTCATTTCAGGGTGTTTATGACTTCGAAAAAAAATATATGAACCTACTGAATCTGCCGAAGTTTTAAATAAAAATGTGATAGTAAAATGCTTTTAAGAGTAAAATGCTTGTGGTATATGTTTCCGCTTTCGTGACATCTCACGTCCTATAAAAACGGAAGACAATTCATAGATCACTTCTCGTTTAAACATCTGCAAAACTATACGATAAATTTGCACCAAATTATGAAAAAAATTATTCTGAATAAGTAGCTGATGAGATTTTTCAGCGTCGGGCTAACATTTCATCTGAAGGAAAGAAAAAATTGTAAAATGCTCCTCTCTGTACGTTCGAGATTTAAAGGAGGAGGAGAGGGAAGTCACGTGATTCATCTTCATCGAACTTTCCAATGTCTCCATATTTTTCCCAAATTAAGACAATTTTTTTTAGATTAATTCCATAAATTTCTATAGACCATAAACACAAACAAGTCAATCCTAACACTTTCTAAACCATCCTTATGTTCGTGACAAGGCTCCAAAATTTCACCTTCAATAAATGTCTTTAAGATTGAACAAAGGCACAATGTATGCCCTAGATGCAGCTCCATACCAGCTCTGTCTGAGGTTCAAATCCGACTAGGTATGCCATTTCGCTCAGCCCTGTTCTCACGATTCCAGGAGGATTTCTCTCCTTTTTCAATTTGGCATTTTCCATTTATGGGCATTGGAGATTTTTCTCACAGGTTACCCAATAGGCTGGCAAGAGAAAGTTTGTTTACGAATTCTTACAGAAAGCCGTAGCAATTTCACTAGGTTCAATTAGTAAGCACAGGACTGCTATTTAGTCCTGTAAATTTTTTAATATTGACATTCAGTCAGCAATGCTGTAAGTGAAAACACAAGTGCTCTTAAATTAACAATTGTAATCATCCCAACAGACAACATAATAGCAGCGAGAGAGTAAACACTGTTATTAACAGTAATGGCTAAGTGGCATTTCAAAGTTATTTAGATCTCTTGCTGTCTATTTTGAAAACTTTATTGACTAATAAAGATGATAAAATAAAAGAGCTTCAAATTCCGCTATCTAAAAAAGTCTGTAAAATGGTCAGGTCATATGTCATGTAGAAGTCATGTCATAAAATTTCCTCTCTGGCTAGTGAATAATTAAATATATTTGTAGTGTTCATGATTGCGATTTCCTGTGAAGGAAATGAATGCTGAAAGATAAGTAAAGTCGGTTCTGTCAGCTGCTTCTTATTACAAACGCTTGTACAACAAAGGTAACTGAATGTATTGATCATTCTTTTTCTAAGTAATTATAGTATCTATTTTCAGCAACAATCCTACTGTAACAACAAATTCTTTTCAACTTTTTTTGTTTGGCGAAGCAGTCAATAGAACAGGCACCCTCTCTTGTTTAGAGAATATGTAGAAGCTTTTTTGTTTTTTGACAAACTCTTGAAAAGGAGGTGGATAACAAACATTAACAATGGAAAGAACTAATACATTCTTGAAAGGACTCATCCAGTGCCAATTTAATATTTTTCCTTTAAGAGTTTTCATGTCAGAAAAGCAATTTTCTGTAATCAAAATTTGCGAGATATCTCAAAGGGTTCTTTGTAAGACTGCTGTTAAGCTTTCCCTGCACTGCCTATGCTTCATTTTAATCCTGTATTGCGATCATCTCTATTTTTAGGGCAGAAATGTTTTTTTTGCCTTGACATCAAACTTACTCCTTTCAAATAATTGTTGAGAGACAAGTATTTTTAAAATTGACAACTCTCTAGGTCATTCTTTCATGCTAATTTTTTAAATTAATTCTTAGTGATATCGATCGATGGTCTGCAAACGCTAAGTCTATGAAAGATGTATCTTTGTGGTGCATGCATTTTGAAATACGTGCATCTATAGAGACTTCTTACTTTTTCTCTACAGAAGCAAATAATTTTTTAATTAATCATTAAGAATCAAACATTTTCCTACCAATTTCATATAAAGTTAAAAATGATGCTCTGTTTTGAAAACCAAATATTTCAAAGTGCTTGGCGTAATGTTCCGTTCTGAAGGCAAGTGCACGCTAAAATAACAGGCTCTGACAAACAATAACTCTAATCTGGCGTTTTTTTTTTTAACGAATAAATAATTTATCCTTTTTTTAAGTTTACGGATGAAATACATACATCGTCAAAGCTTTCCCAGTGGAGAGCAAGCTTTTCTTTCTCAGGAAACTAATTAAGGAAATTGAAATTCGGCTAGTTGTTATTTGAGGAAGAAATATTAAGCAAGGATGGTTTAGATTCACTTGGAATAATGTTTGCAAACGGAAAAAAAGACATGTCTTTGATGGAAGGAAAGTTCGGTGACAGATTAGTTGAGTGTCGTCTAGATCCGTTATCGGTTGGTATCGAAACTGATGGAAAATACGCGGGATAAAATTTTTTAAATGTTTTGAAAATTTGACTAAAGACTTGAATTGCTAGGGCTAATGGTTAACGTCGTTGACTAATCCTTTTCCTTTTAATAATGGAGACAATTTTTCACAAATCCTAAATGTGACAACTAATCAGGCCTAAACACGAGCAGGCATTTCGGTGTTTGTTTTTTAAAATAATAAGGTTTCTATTTGATTGCTATTATAATTTTAGTTATTGGAAAGATCGCTTTTTAAGACAGATCAACAGAACGTCTTATCCAATCTGTTTAATGTTCCATACGCTTGTCAGCCCTGGTACTTTGCAAATTATTTGTGCTACATGCTCAAGAAACCTGGTTCCCCTTTGGAAAATTCATTTCTGATGAGCTTAAATCACGTCTAAGTGACAACGATATGTGTTCAGACGATACTAAGCTAGCCACTTACCCCAGGTGACCAAGTAAGTTTAGTTTTAAGTATTTTTCCATCTCCGTCCTTCGTCTTTGTCGTAATTCATAATGACGTTACTTTAATCAGTGTAACTCCCGTTAAAAAACAAAACAGTCACGTAGCTGCTTAACTCCATGACGAATATCTCGCATTCTCCAAATGTAAAGCGCTGGGTTGAGAGACGAAGACAGAAATAAAAACACTACAGATACTCTAAAGGAAAAATATGTTTCCAAAGTCATTCTGCTAACTCCATAGTACATCACAGTGGAGATAATATAAGGCACGAAACAAATAGAAAACAGCAAGAGAATATAAATCATAGTTGCTATCGATTTCTTGTACTTCGTCAGATCTATCGCCGGCTGACCAAAATTATGACAAGTTGTGCTCGCTCGGACCTGGTGCTTATGTAGGCGAATGATTTGGTAAACTTTGAAATGTGCATATATTGTGATTAGATAACAAAACAAAATCTGGGCAATGAAAAGTAATCTCGTTGTCCGTCCATGATTATTCTCTAAAATCCGAACAACAACCATAGGTATCCCAAAAAGCAACACGATGAGGACGGTGAGACATCCGCTATGCCATGTTATGAGAGATCGCCGTGACATGTGGAGCCATCTTTCAATGGACATCACTGCGATGGTTAGAATCGTCATGGTAATGAAGGCAACTGCAGCGCTCTCGCCGATTGTACGTATCGTTATAACAAGCACTGGTGTTTGACATATTACTGTCGAGCTTATCGAGTAAATCAAAAGCGTTGCAGCGTACAGAGGCTGAGCAATGAGTCCTGTGCACAAATCATTAAACGCCAATCCACTCAACAGGATATGAAATGGTGTACGCAAGAAGTTCCTCTTCCAAATTGCCGCCAAAATCAGAAAATTTGCCACTACAGCGACTGGTGACAAAGCAGCAACAATGATAGAGGTGGAGAGAGAGACCTGTTTCGTTCTGAAGTCATCATCGTTAGAAGTAGTAAGAGAAACAAGCCTTTCTTCACAAGAGAGAGTCGTGTTGTTCGTCATATCAACTCGACTAGATCATGCTGCGATACTAAAATCAAAGTTTGCTACGAGATGATTGAATCTGAAGGGAATCGTAAAAATATATTTTTGTAGTGTTCATGCACGAATCTGAAACCTTGAAGGAAAAGACGAAACAATCCAAATTCTGTCCATGTGTTCAAGATAAGCAAGCTTTAAAAGGTTGGAACGAATAAAGCTTGATTGATATTTGCATTTTTATTTTATTTGCTCACAGGTTTTTTAGCCTCAAACAATGACTTGGGTAAATAAGGTATCAACATTTCCTTTAAGCAGTTTCTTAATTAAAGTTTTTCGGAGCATTTACGTTATTCTTTCTGTGTTGATGGAAGCAAGACATTATTATTCGCAAATAATATTGTTTTGCTTTTCGGCATAAAAATTACTAAAATTATAAGTGAAGACGATATATAGAAAAAAACTCAATGATCCCCTATCGCTCTGCCGTTACACCTTGAAAAAATTGTGTTTGATTTCGACAAATTAGGTTACCCTTAATAAAAGCTTCATTAGGCTAAAACCATCTGCCAATAGCAGCAGCAGTTAGATCTTGCTTTTCCATCATAGGTCGTTTCATGTCACTCAGCTATTACATGTGCATTGTGCGGATTCTTTTCAATTGTGCATTTTAGTGTTATGAACCACTTACTTGTGAAAAATTCGTGGCTGGCATGATGCGGCGTTTCGTCGCGGCCAAGAGAATCATCAGATACCTTTCATAAATTAATAGCGAACTCATAGGGCATCGCGCTCAAAGTCCCGTTCACGGAGACAAGATATTAGCAGTCTGGCCCTCAATCGCAGAGGGATGCCCAACCGTGTGTTCACGAGTTACCGTAACTCGCAAACACACGGTTGGGCAAAATTCTTGGGAATTGTTTAGGCCTGTTGGATTATTTTGAAATCCTGATGCTAGTCTTGCGAGCCTTGGTTTGTTATGAGTAGCAAGACCATACATTCATTTTTACCCTTTGAATGATGTGTCCTTCACCTTTGTATAATGACTTAATTCTAGTACGATAATCTTCATCGCTTGTCGTGTTTGGGTTTGTCCTTGATCTTTCTTAGAGTCCTCAACGGGAAGTTTTGTCTAGGTTTTAGTCCTCGAAGATTGCTTGTTTTTCAAGTATTTTGTTGTTCATTTCGAATGTTACGTGAGATTGTTTTGGTTAACGTTCTAAAAATATGTGAACTCTTCCAAGGTCAGTTGTCCCGTAAGTCCAAACATGCCTACATACGGCATTTAATTACCCTTTAACTCCCATAACTGTGAACAAGACAGAATTTCTCCTTACTATAGCAATATTGTCAAGCGAACTATTAAGGAGAATGAAGAAAAAATACCAATAACAGGATTATTAATTGATCCAATACCAAATTCTCCGAACCAACATCTTGAGAATTGTATGTAAGACTGTGAGAATTACTTTTGATATCTTGGGAGTGAAAGGGTTAAGAGCGTGTACTTAGGGCTGAATTTTAGAGAAGAAAGAGACAGAGTCTCAGAGAGTGAAAAAAACTGTTCCTGATCAGACACCAGGCGCCTCCCGTTTGCACATGCGCGTGGTTTTCGAACTACTCTTCCACCAACATTCCGATATAAGGACATTTCATTATTACTCATTCAACTAAGGTACAGTAAAACTTTGCAATCAGGCATTTGAGAACGCTTAAGAAGTGAGATAACTCTGAGACAACCCGTGGATCTCGGCTTCCAAATATTCCACTTTTTAAAACCGATTCTGGCTGGGCAGATCAAATCAAATCAAATCAATTTGATTAAGAATTGTTTTCTTATCGAACTAATTAGGCGATTTCATTAACCTTCGTAAGTCAGTCGTAGGTTTTAAGCACAGATTTAGAGGTCAGCTCCTAGAGCAGTTCTTGCAGTCAAGGCGGTGAACTCCAAACCACTTGAGTTGCGCCGCTGTGTTGAGTGTAGGGTGGCTCAGCGACTGCCTTTACAGCTGCAATATACCAGAGTTTAAGGGAAAAGAAAACATTTAAACTGTCGATTGATTTTGAAATTACTTTAGTCACAAAGTTGTTAATTTTAATTGTAATTATCACGTAAGCCTCCCCCATGGCGATGTGTTAGTATAGCTCATTGTTTATTGCTCATCGTTAACTAAACAGTCACTTACTTTAACGTTACTTTGCAATCGTGCCTGATAAACCGTTCTATGTTTAGGACGCTTGACAGTCATGCATTGCGAGTACACTTCATAATCATGCCTTGCAAGGACACGTTACAACCATCTTTTGGTGTCTTCTGAAAAATGTATTTTAACATCATTTTAAAGATTCAGTGGCTTTAGTTATCTAACTTAAGATCAGGCAGCTTCATTTTTCGTTTATAATCAGCACTTAACCTAAAAGTTAATAGGAGGTTCTCAACGGGGTTAACTGATATCCGTAAAACCGCCGAAACATTTAGCCGTCAGGCGTAAAAATTGACAAACTGTAACCGATACTCGTCATAAAAAGTTAACCGTAAAGAAACAAATGAACAAATAAACAACAAATGGCCGAAACTACAACCGATAACCTCAAACCATAAAAGTAACCGCCCCATTGAGACCCTCCAATAACAACACAAATATTATCAAGTGATAAACAGCGGGTTTTTCTATCATCAAGATTTATCATCGACTTGACTTGTCCGCGAATGAAAAAAGACAAACTTTTAGCTGGGCTGCACATTAACTGAAATAAAGAGAGGATCCTTCGGAGAAAATCTTCACAACACCAAATTTTGGAGTGCACCTTCTAATAACGTTTAATTTAAAGAGTAGCACAAAGACACAAACAGAAGTAACTGTTTAATTTTCTGTTGATTAAGCCAGTACGAACAGCGCTTTTTGCTCTAAATTAATCCGAAGAACTCTCCAAAAAATATCCCTTTCCTCGCAATTTTATGACAGAAGTTAGAGCTTCTTAATTACTGCTTGTCGCCCTCATGCGGCTCTTGATAAAAAGTTGCTTTATCTTTTTGTCATGGATTTTAGAAGACGCAAATTTGATATAAGCAACTAGACAGCATTTGTATAACTTATCTTGAAGAGCGATATAGATATAAAACTCTCCAATGAGCTTAGGGGATATTTTTGGCTCGTGACACTGCAGTTTAAGTAATTGAAAACCTGCACACACATTCGAGCACAGGTAATAAATAGGTTATCATACGACATTTGGAAAAGACCCTAAGATGGTCCATATAATGCGTTTTGAGTGAACAGTTACACGGAATCTAACAACAGCTTGGCGATGTCAAAAACTTACCAGTACTTGTAAGGTGAACTCTAATTGATAAATCTTATTAATTAACTACTTTCGGCGAAAAGGTTTTGAGGTGGTCTTTTCCATGCACCATAGCACCGCAATACAACATGTTAGACAACAAGAATTGTACTTCTCGATACCAAGAGTTTGGTAATTTTAGTTCAGATGATTGTAGCAGAGAACACCCGGTTTCTTTCCTCAATTCAGTTGATCTGTCTACATCAGTCATCATTGCTGTTTTATCACCATCGGCTGTGGTTGCTAATGCACTGATTTTGGCCACCATTTGGAAAAGAACTTTTACCAGGACTTCTTTCCATGTTCTTTTAAGCGGACTGGCGTTAACTGACTTTTTCACAGGACTTCTTGCCCAACCTTTCTTCGCTGCGTCGTGTCTAACAAATTCGATAAACATTCGTACAATTGGCGAGAGCAGCAGTGCATACTTCATTGCCATAACACTTATTATCATAACGTTGATGTCCGTTGAACGATGGCTGTATATGTCTCAAACATCATTTAGTGCATCACGTCGTAGATATTTCTTCCTTATCATGGTCTTTTTTCTCCCAATTCCAGCAACTGTTATTCGCGTGTTAGCTAACCATAAAGATCCGGCGTATGAATATGTGTTTGCTGTAACTACAGCCGTAGAGATGTCGTGTTGTTTTCTTGTGACATTATTCAGCTATTTCAAAGTTTACCGTATTCTACGCCATCACCAACAACAAATTCGTGCCCATTGGGGGTCTCAGAATTTTGGTCAACCCACCATAGACTTTTCAAAGAACAAGAAATCTGTGGCTACCATGGTGTACATTTTGATTTTGTTTTCTGTCTGTTTCATTCCTTACATTGTTGCAGCCCCCCTAAAATTTACTCTTGATTCCAAATATGAAGAAAGAGCCTTCGCTGCTGAGAAAGTGTCAATGGTGCTTATATTTTTGTCTTCTACACTCAACCCAGGCCTGTATGTTTGGAGGATGAGAGATATTCGTACTGGCCTTAAGCAGCTGTTAGGCAGAAGCAATTAAATAAGTTATTCCTGCCAGGTCCATGATCTGCCGATGATCAATTTTAAAACCGGAATAGCTGTTGCCTAACATGAATAAACCTAGTGATGACTCTTGCTAACCAAAGAGTTTCCTACCGGTTACTGGTACAGTAACAGAGCACGGAATCCGAAGATCTGACGTACGATTCCTGTTCGAAACAAAGATTTTGCTTTCTTTGTCTTGCGCTAGAGACAACGGGAATCTACCAGTGAAAACAGTTTTAAAGACACCTCTCTTTATTGCCTAACAATATTCATAAAAACATGTTTCCACATATATGAATATATTATTGACCGTCCTAAAACGCAGTCGACGAGCAAAAGCAACTCAAGGAAATTCACAATTATTTAATGAGGTTATGTTATCCATGACAGCCGGGAAGATTTAGTACCACGGAATAAGCACCCAATACAATAGCCTCTTATCTTCATATCTCATCAACTGATTAGCCGACCAGAAATTTTTTAATTAAGTTTTTAAGTATTAAGTTTCAAATAAATGTCTTGTTTCGAGCCTAAGACAAAACAGGCCTTAAAAGGCCTTTTCCTTTTCGGCCTCCAGAAGCTTATTTATTTTATTTAAAAACTTGCTCAGTAACTGTAGGACGGCTGGAACAGGTTGTAATACACAAGAAGATCATATGTAGCGTGTGGGTGCATTTGCGTATCGAAGACAGGTGCAATCTTGCTTTCATATGCAAAATAATGTTGATTAATTTTTCACAGAGCCGTGATCCAATTACCCTAAGCAAATCAATTTTTATTACAGAAGGATTCTGTGCGAATGAATAATTAAATAAGTTCAAAACTCTGCTAGATGTCAGTCACCAGCATTAAAACTAACGCGTCTCAATATTATATTTCTGGAAGGCAATCAGTAATATCAGCGGGGATAGCTTCTGTAGGGGCAATAGAAATGTTAACCATGAATAAACACACGTCTATAGAAAAGCTTTTGTATTCGCATAAAACTTTCACAGACCATTTAATTATACTAAGTGTGGTGTAGTTTACCATGACAGATGAATGTTCAACTTCAAACCATTCTAAAACAAAGCCCAAGTCCCAAAGATAATCTATTATTTTCGTCATTGTTTTATTTACTAAAGAATTGCATGCAACGTAAATCTTGCCTTCGCAGTTTTGACGTCGCTTAAATTAGATAAGGTTCAACGTGGTTTGAGATGCAACATCACACCATACTTGGCAAACAATACAACCTGAAGTCAATTAAAAGCTCCCGCCGGGTCAATTTACAAGCATATTGATTATAGGAAAGGATTCGAGGGAAAGAATTAAGTACACAGAAGCCCACAAATATCTAATTCTGTAAGTAGGAGAAGCAAGCAGAAAAGGTGTTGAGGATGAGCAACAAAAGTACGTCGACAGTGGGTACGGTGAAAAATAATACTCTTGGAAGAGTCACTCTCCTCTGAAATTTGGTAGCAGAGTAAAGCGAAAGTAATTTGGTTCGGTTTTAGCTTTGAAATGCAAAAAAAATTGGACGAGAACTGATTATTTCATTTTCTTTGTAAGTATATCTGCTTTATGTACCCAAAAAGTTAAAACTGAAGATAAGAGAAGATATTAATCGAACTCTGTGAAAATCATTCCCACAATTAATATCGAGTGAAGTTTTGAGCGGAAAATTATACTCTGTTTTTCATTGTGAATGTCATTATGTCTAGAGAATGGGAAAAAAACTATGAGCAATAACTCTTTGTAACAGTTATGACAGACCCTATGTGGTATGTCTTCTGCTAGATAGTTTTAATCTAGGACAAAAACAAGGAGCACTTAAGGTACTTTCAGGATCAGAATATTCCAGAGCTCCCCAACCACATAGATCACTCTCGGCATTGCTGATTCAAGCTGTACTGACTTGTGTCACATGAGATCCTTAGAATATCATCAAGATCTTTCTTCGCTCGATCGGCTACAAAGTCGACTCATAAATTGTATCTCAGTATGAGAAGAGATTAATACTTCTAGTAACGTTCGATGAAAAGTTTAAAACGTCTTTCGATAACTTTATTTCAAATCTTAGTAGATCTCAGAATCATTATCATTCCAGAATTGATTATGTTCATCTTTACACTTTTTTTCCAGCAGGGTTACTGGACTATTCTCTCAGTTCCAGAGTAGCATTCTCGATCCTGACGGGTGTGCTGTTTCTTTTCTCCTTCGTTGGTAACTCGTCGGTCATTCACATTGTTAGGAAAAACCAAAACATGAAGTCTACTACTTATCTGCTGATACTCAACATGGCGTGCGGAGATTTGGTGATATCGACTTGGACTGGTGCCACGTTAATTAGATATTTGCTCTTTGGATCAGTTTGGCCCCTCGGGAGTTTTGGAATAGTGTTATGTAAAACAAGCCTGTACATTGCTTTGGTTTCCTTTCTTGCATGTATTTTTAGCTTGGTTGGTATAACAATAGATCGCTTCATGGCAGTCAGTCGACCCTTGAAACACAAGCCTTGGTCAAAATGGACCAAAATAACCATCCCGGTCATATGGGCAACGTCCTTTCTGCTGCCAGTTGGTACTCTTTTGGAAATAGATGAAATACCCAATCAGTCAGGGAACACTACGTGTAGTGCTACAATATCTCATGCCAATTCCATGATACTTGCGTCATGTTTTCTACTGCCGTTTACGTTAATGTCAGTTCTTTATCCCCTGATCAGCTATCGTCTCTGGAAAAGGAAGGTCCCTGGAGAGTTCAACGCCCGGCAACAGCAAATAGCAAATCACACGGCGCGAAGAGTCACATTTATGATGATTACAGTGATAGTCATCTTTTTTATATGTTGGGCGCCACAATTTGTTTTTTCGTGGCTGCATCCATTTGCTGAGCAGCTCGTGATGAAAGCACCAATATGGCTGATTCCTTTTATCATTTTGTTGAAGATATTCAACAGTGCAATAAATCCTTTTGTCTACGCGGTATTTAATGAGTCCTTTCGAAAAGGCTTTAGAGACATTTTCGGTTGTGACGAGTTCCTTGAACACAATACAAGGGATCTGGGACTGCAGCAATGCGCTAATACCCAAACGAAACGTAAGCCAGCTCAACATGTCCAATTACTAAACTTCAATTCTAAAACTTACTGTGAAATGTATGACCATTAGAATTCCTGTTGCCGTAGGCGTGTTAAGTGATAAACCACTGATGACTCCAAAAGGAGATTAGAACAAAAACGTGGTTCACTGACGAGAAGTAGCCGAGTATGTCACTGATGTTCTTACCACATTTTGACGTCTTCTGTGATCTACTACTGTTCAGATTAACGGCAACATGGAAGCTATTTGTTTTGTATGATGACAAAGCAAAATATTGTAAATAGTGGTGTCAGCTATGTGTCTGCCTTCCAATAGATGATATGTATCTATGAACCAGTCAGAGTGCATATAAAACTGAGCTTTTCATATAAACAGAACCTTCATTTCATTCTCAAAAGCTGTGTAAGAAATATCAAGCTTCACGAAACGCCAAACATCATGCCAAGCAAGAACCACCATCAGGGCAGAGTTTTTGTTAAATAAAAACAGTTTCATTTTATTTTGTACCTTGGCATTGTGATTATATATTTACTGTTATCATTACTGTGACTCGACAGGATAACTCTACAAATTAGCTTTAAGAGACAAGGAAACATCATGTAAATACTTTGAATAATATCATGGTAGTTTTTCTTCGTTCTGTTCCTCGTGTTCATTACATCACGAAACGAAAAAACTCAGAATAAACTATGCCTAATGCTTTTCATACAGTTACGAGGACAATCTTTATCATCTACAAATCCCTTCACGTTTTTCTCGCACCTTTTAATAAACGCTGCCATTAAATCAGGCAGATGGACTATATATATATGCGGAAACACAACTTTTGTGGTAGCATCAAATTGTAGCATAATGTAGTTGAAAAGGAATGATAGAAATAAAATCGTGTCATTTAAATTGTTCTTCTATCTGTGTATTGTTAACAGTTGCTTCAGACTATTCCGAATATCCCTCATTCTCCAAAAGTACAAAACTGGGCTGAGAGAAGAGGAGAGCAACACAAGCACAACAGACAGACTCCCTGCTACCATTCCAGCTTTCGAATGTGTACTAGAATCGACAGGAGCAGCCACAGCAAATGGTGTGAAACATAGAGAGAACAGCAATAAAATATACATCATGTTGGCCACGGATCTCTTGTATTCTGACCAAATCTTTGAGCTGAAACTTCGCTGGCTTTAATCTGCTGTTCATGACGTCGAATGATCTTATAAACTTTGTAATAAGCAAATAATACGATTGTATAGCAAAATGAAAATTGTGTGATTATAATTACTTCATATATTTTTCTATACCGGAAATTCTGGTGTATTAAAACCAGAATTACAACAGTGGGAACAGGCAGGAACAGCACCACAATTAGGGCGAAATACCTACGACGGCATGTGATGAAGGATCCTCGAGACATGTACAGCCATCGCTCAATGGACATCGCTGTTATGGTCAGAATGGTAACGGAGACGAAGAAATTGGCAGTTGCCTCGCCTACGGTATGCAAGATGGCAGCAAGCTTTGGATTATCCTTTACATTAGAATGCTTTGTTGGAGATATTAGAATGCTCGCTGCATAACATGGCTGAGCAATGAGTCCTGTGCAAAGATCGCTTAATGCTATTCCACTCAAAAGGATATGAAACGTTGTTCGTGGAAAAGTTCTTCTCCAAATTGTCGCCAAAATGATTGCGTTTCCTACCACAGCCACGGGTGATAACATAGCCATAACGATTGCCCTCCAAAAAGAAACTACCGAACGAAAGTTGTCATTGTTTTCCCAGTTGTGGTGGTCTGAGTAATACATTTGCTCTCGAGAAGGGTTAACGCTTGAAACGTTAGACTTAGAAACTCTTTACGGTGGTAATTTACACTATCGACTCAGTTAACAACAGCAAATTATATTGAGTTATACAACGTTATATTCGCAGCTTAATGAAGATTTTGAAGTGAACGTTAGATTAAAAGTCTTTTTTTGTAGTTGTCGGATGAACCTCGAAGATTGGCGATCTGCACTGAATTTTTTTCGAGTGGTGGGCCGATATTTCATCAGTTACTTCTTAGAAAGTAATCAAATAAAGTGCAGCCTTTCAAACAGATATATTGTTTTAACTTTTGCATCTTCACGCTGTTTCCGTCTTAATCATTTTTTTTCTTTAGATAAGTAAACATTCAAAGCGTATTGTAGATCCCTAACACAAATTAATGTATACATAATCATCCTGTAAGTCAAATAACACGCCATGTCCTCATTTTGATGAGATAGTTTTTGACATTGGTGTTCGAAATTAGTTTTTTTCAGTAACTGAGACGGTTCAACCAGAAGCCGTATGTAACAGAATACTTCAAATAGCAGCTCTTTCAAATTTATGCTAAGCCTCCCGAGGCAAAATGTAGAACCTAATTAAACTTTATATTCGATTTACTGTATAACTTTGAATCTGAATTGAATTGTAAGGCTAACTTATATTATCAAGAAAGTTACTTAATGAAAACCTCTACAATATTAATACTTTCATGCAATTTTTCGGAAACTACCTTAACTAAAATCAAATTTTGATTTAAAATCAATGAAAAAAACAATAGAAACGGTTTTACTTAACCTTCTGAATAGTTGTTCAAAACATAACGGATATCTCTCATTCTTCTTCTCATTCAAAGGATTGAGAGACGATGACAAAAACATTAGCACCACTGTAATGGCAGCAGAGATCTATCGTTTCTTCGTCTCTTGCCAGTCTTTGTAAATTTACTTGTTTACGTAACATAGTGGAAACAAAATACGGCAAGACACAGATTGAGAATAACAACACAACACAATATAGCATAGACGCTACAGGTTTGTTGCACTTCGTTCAGTCAATTGCGGGTTGACCAAAGTTCTGAAAAATTCCGCTGCCTCGAATTTGGTTATAATGACGGCGAACAATTCGATAAACTTTGAAATATGCGAGCATTGTTCCAGGAAAACACGTGACAATCTTTGAGTTCATCCCTATTAACAATAAAAAAGGGTGCCGTGAGGCTCCGATATGATTGGCCGATACCCGATCAGCCGTCAGTGTGCGTTTGTGGTAGCATGTTTACAATAGATCATGCGATGATCTGCAAGCGTGGAGGCCTAGTTATTCAGCGCCACAATGAAATTCGCGATCTTCAGGCCGAGCTGCTCGACATGGTCTGTTATGATGTGCAAGTTGAACCGGCATTGCAACCTATCACAGGCGAAGAGCTTGACAGAGGGGCCCCTGATGCACGCCTTGATGTCCACGGTAGGGGTTTCTGGGAGCGACAGAGGGCCGCTTTTTTTGATATGAGGGTGTGTCATCCTAATGCGGACTCGTATAAAGATCTTAGCCCCAAGCAAATCTACAGGATTCATGAGGATGAAAAGAAGCGAAAATACAACTCTCGCGTCATAGAAATAGAGCAAGGCACATTCACCCCATTGGTATTTACAACGACAGGAGGGATGGCTGACGAATGCCTGAGATACCACTCAAGATTAGCCGAGCTATTATCCGCAAAAAAGCAAGAGAGCTACGCCACAACAATTTCATGGGTCAGGGCGAAAGTGTCTTTTGCAATTTTGCGGAGCGCGCTCCTATGCCTAAGGGGATCGAGAACCCCGAGAAGGAGAAACTTGAATGTTAAGGACAGGGGTCACTGCCGCTGTCGCTGAAATATCAAATGCATTGTCAAGGGAATAGAGGTTTTTATCGTTGTGGTCGTCCGAAGAGCATAGGAATGTATAATTTTGCTCTATATATGTATGGCAAGAAGTCTTATTGAACATGGTGTAGCTTGGGGAGTAAGCGTGAAAATCTCAATCAGATTTCTTGCTAAACCTACGAGCCAAAAATGATGAACAAGAACTTTTTTCACGTTTACAATCTGGTGACTTCCTGCAGCTAACTGCTTAAATGATTTTTCCAGCAGGTTTTTAAATATTAATCTCACTGTTTCATTACTGCTTACGTTTAAATAAATAATTATTTTGTGTGTTTCCAGTCGCTTTTCATCGATTTGCTTCAGATATCTTTCAAATCAGCCCATCTCCACAGTAATACAAATACTCAGTTTTTTGACATGTGTTTTTTCTTTATTGTAGTAGTTGGTTTTTTTGTTTTTGACTTATCGACATCATGTTGAAAGAAATTATTATCTTTTCAAGACCCCTTATAGAGATGTTTAAATAAACTGAGATGAAATTAAATTCAAACTTAATTTCTTCTTTTCGTTTTCAGATTTGTTTATGAGTAGCATTACTTGATAACATTTTTAATTAATCCTTGCAATTATCATTAGGTTCATCTGTTCAAAACCTATTGTAGTTAACTCACGAAAGCCAATGCATAGATAATTAATACTGTAAGAAAAAGTGATGTAAGTTTACCAAAGCTTATATTTGTCGTTTTCATCCGTAATTACATCTTTCAATTATCAGGAAAGCTGACTTTAATGCCAAATATAGTTGTATATGTGTGCCATCTCTTAGGAATTTTTATACAGCTCCTTGGAAATACGCGTAAACACGAAATCAAATTTTCGTTCAGTTCATTAGCCGCTGTCTTTGCACATATATTTAAGAATCGGCATACATAACTAAGGCCTAAGTAGGACAATTTTTTCTCTGGAAATAATTTTTTTACTTTATTTTAGAAAGACCTCCGTCAAACATGACATTTGAATTTCTTGTGGGCTGGAATAGCCATGTACAATTAAATTCGTTTTTTCGACGGTTTATCGGAAGCTCACTAGTTAGTTCAGTAGTGTTTCTACGAATACCGCTAGTCAGATCAAGGAAATATTTTAATAAATTTATGTTCTTAGGCCAGCTTATAGCTGTTTAAGACCTCTAAGAATATCCCTCATTCACCAAATGTACAACCCCGGGTTGAGTGACGAAGACAGAAATACGAGCACTAGTGATAGCCTCATAGCGCTTCTTGTCAGCTCAGCTGTAGTTATAAGAGCTGCCACACTAGACACAAAAGAAGGTAAGAAACACAAAGAGAATAGAAAAAAGATATATAGCTTAGTTGCCACAGATTTCTTATACTTCACTAAGTCTATTGCGGGTTGACCAATGTTCTGAGATGTTCCGTTGGCCTGAATTTGAAGCTGGTGTCGACGAATAATTCGATAAACCTTAAAATAAGCGAGCGATGTAATAAAATAACAAAACGAAAAGTTTGCAATTGTCATTTTAAATAAGGTATTCTAAAAAGCTAGTTCCTTCAAAACTAAAATGTAGACAACTAGTGAAGGAATCGGAAAGAGTAATATTACGATAGCAGCGTAATATCGGTGATGGGATGTTGTGAGAGATCTCCTAGACATATGCAACCATCGTTCAATGGACTGTCATGGTAGCAATAGTGATTTTGACGAAGAGGTCGGTACTAAATCCAGCAATTATTCCAATGACTGCTAATCCACTGAGAATAGAATGGAATGATGTTCTAAAAGAAGTCCTCCTCCAGATTGTGGCTAAAATCAATGCATTTCCCACTACTGCTGGGACTGATAGGAGAGCGATGGCCACTGCTGTCGAGAAGGTGAGTTCATCACCAGGAGAATCGAGGTTTTGGTCGTTGAAGTCGTCGAAAAAGCTTGGAGAGGTAGAGTTTTGATCAATAAACTTATGATGACAAGAAGTGTTCACGGACATGGCGCAGCTTCAGTCATGAACGAGACGATGCCGATCGGATTTCTTGCAAACGCCACCACACCAAAAAATAATCAATGCACGAGGAAGAACTTCTTTTTCCGCCCACAACCCGAACGGCTTGAAACAGATGAGTGCGGCGTCAGTAAAGATTAGCTTTGAGGCCTGAACGATTTGCCCGACGGTTTTTCAATTCGTTTTCTGTCGAGAAATATGCAGCGCAAATTTGGCACGGTTCATTTGACTTTCTGTTCGGCTTTAATTAATTGATGGTTTTTCAAGCCAAGGTTGCATATTGATTAATGTCTTTTGAAGACGTCTTTTGAACAAATGCACCGCTGATATATCATCTCGAAAATAGCTTGTACTGATTACTCATTGATATCACGTTGAGAGTAAATACAATGTCATTCACGAAATTCCCAAGCTTTAAAATAATATGATTTTTCAAATTATTAATCAGGGGTCTTACATGTTTACACGGGTTTCAATGGGTATGGAGAGGTTTTCATAGACCATCTTGAGCCAGTTGCAAACACAATCTATATATCATAAATAAATATGTCATCATTCGGCAACTGCCTGGTTCCGTAACCTTTTTAAAACAAATCGGCTTAGTACTTTTGCAAGAAGGCTAATAGCTGTTAAAGTAATATTATCTAAAATGAAATGAAGCTGACCATGAATTAATTTTTATCAACTTTTCTTGCCATTAAGATCTCTAGCTAATCGATATAGCTGATGCATCTTCAAGACTGGATTTAAATCCCTCATGAAAGTCATTGCTAACGTAATTAATTCTATAAGAAAAGAAATAAATATTTACAAAAGTTGAGTTGGACATTTTTGGCAATAAATACAGCATTTTTAATAAATATATCATTTGTGTGCTGGTGACAAAACCGTCCAAGTTTCAATCATAAATGTGTTGAAAAGATCGGGTTCTTTATTCGGCTAACAGCTGTCTAGGCCTAGGCTTGAAAGGTGAACTCTATTTGGCAAATCTAACTAACCAAATACATTCAGCGGAAAAGTTTGGCGGTGGTGTTTTTCATGCACCATAGAACCGGAATACAACATGTCAAACACCACAAATTGCACTTCTCGATACCAAGAGTCGGCTAATTTCAGTTCAGATGATTGTGGCAGAGAACACCAGGTTTCCTTCCTCAGTGCAGTTGATTTCTCTACATCAGTCATCATTGCTGTTTTATCACCATCGGCTGTGGTTGGGAATGCCTTGATTTTGGCCACCATTTGGAAAAGAACTTTTACCAGGACTTCTTTCCACGTCTTTTTAAGTGGATTGGCGTTAACTGACTTTTTAACAGGACTTCTTGCCCAACCTTTTTTCGCTGCGTCGCTTCTAACAAACTCGATAAACATTCGCACAATTGGCGAGAGCAGCAGTGCATACTTAATTTCCATAACTCTTATTGTCATAACGTTGATGTCCATTGAACGATGGCTATATATGTCTCAAACATCATTTAGTGCATCACGTCGTAGATATTTCTTCCTTATCATGATGTTTTTTCTCCCAATTCCAGCAACTGTTATTTGCGTGTTAGCTAACCATAAAGATCCGGCGTATGAATATGTGTTTGCCGTAACAACAGCCGTTGAGATGTCGTGTTGTTATCTTATGACATTATTCAGCTATTTCAAAGTTTACCGTATTTTACGCCTTCACCAACAACAAATTCGTGCCCATTGGACGTCTCAGAACTTTGGTCAACCCACCATAGACTTTTCAAAGAACAAGAAATCTGTGGCCACCATGGTGTACATTTTGTTATTGTTTTCTGTCTGTTTCATTCCTTACATTGTTGCAGCTCCCCTGAAATTTACTCCTGATTCCAAATATGAAGAAAGAGCCTACACTGCTGAGAAAGTGTCATTGGTGCTTGTATTCTTTTCTTCGACACTCAACCCAGGGCTGTATGTTTGGAGGATGAGAGATGTCCTTACTGGCCTTAAGCGAATGTTGGGCAGAAGTAATTAAAGAAGCTGCTCCCTCCTGGTCAATGATCTGCTGATGTTTAATATTTAAACCGGAGTAGCTGCTACCTAACATGTATATACCTAGTAATGACCATGGCTACCCAAAGAGTTTCCTACAGGTTACTTATACAACAACAGAGCACGGAGTCTGAAGGTCTGACGATCCATTCTGTTAGGAACAAAGATTTTGCATACTTTATCTTGCGCTAGACTAGGAGTAATCTACCACTGTAATTAGTTTAAAGACACCTTTCTTTATTGCCTAACAACCCCAAGATTTTTATAAAAACATGTTTGCACATACATGGATATTTCATTGACCGTCCTAGAAGGCAGTCGACAAGCAAAAGCAACTCAAAACAACTCATAATTATTTAATGAAGTTGGGTTATCCATGGCCACGGAGAACATTTAGTGCCGCGGAAAAAGCACCCAACACAATAGCCTCTTATTTTCATATCTCATTAACTGATCAGCCAACCAGTATAGGCCTGTTTCATGTCTTTTGCCCAGAAATAGAAGTCTCCCCTTTTTCTCCATTCATTTTTGAAACCTCTGCTCAGTAACTCTATCACGACTTGAACAGGTTGTGGTACTCAAGAAGATCATGTTTAGCGTCTACGTGCATTTGCGTATCGAAGAGAGATGCGACTTTGCTTCAATATGGAAAATGATATTAGTTTTAATTTTTCGCAGAGCTGTGATTCAATTACCCCATACAAACCTATTTTTATTACAGAAGGATTCTGTGCCAATGAATAACTGAATAGGTTGAAAACTTCGCTGGATTTCGCCAGCATTAAAACAAACGCGTCTCAATATTATATATCTGGAGGGCAAACATTAATATCAGCGGTGATAGCTTCTGTAGGGGTAATAAAAATGTTAATTATGAATAAACACACTTCTAAAGTAAAACTCGCATAAACCTTCACTGGCCATTTTATTATTAAGAGTGATGTATCGAGGCCCATTGGTGCAAGGCGTCATTGGTTTTTTTTTTTATCAAAGACTTGCATGGATGATGAAATATGGGTTCAACGGAAATCTTGCCTTCGCAGCTTTTACGTTACTAAGATTAGATAAGGTTCAACATGGTTTGAGATGCAACATCACACCATATTTGGCAAACATTCGAACTTGAGGTCAATTCAAAGCTCTCGCCGGGTCAATTTGCAAGCATAATGATTATAGAAAAGGATTCGAAAGACAGAAATAAGCACACAGAAGCCCACTCATATCTAATTCTACAAGCAGGAGAAGCAATCGGAAAAGGTATTAAGGATGAGCAACAAAAGTGCGTCGACAGTGGGTAAGGTAAAAAATAATACTCTAAGAGGAGTCAGTCTCCTCTAAAATTTGGTGGCAGAGTAAAGTGAAAGAAATTTGTTCGCTTTTAGCTTTGAAATGCTAACAAATTTCGATTAGGACTGATTATTTCAGTTCTTTGTCAATATATCTGCTTTATTTTACCAAAAAGATAAAACTGAAGAAAAGAAAGATATTAATCGAACTCTGTGAAAATAATTCAAACGACTAATATCGTGTGAAGTTTAGAGTGTAAACTTAGACAGTTTTTTATTGCGAATGTCATTATGTCTAGAGAATGAGAAAAAATTATGAGCAATAACGTTTTGTAACAGTCATGACAGACCCTCGGTGGTATGCCCTCTGCCAGAGAGTTCTAATTTAGGATAAAACAAGAAGCATTTGAGGTACTTTCAGGATCAGAATATTCAAGAGTTCTCCAACCACATAGATGACTCTCGGCATTCCTGATTTAAGCTGTACTGACTCGTGTCACATGAGATCCTTAGAATGTCATCAAGATCTTTCTTTGCTCGATCGCCATAACTTGTTTTTCCGTGGCTGCATCCATTTGCTGAGCAGCTAGATATGGCTGATTCCTTTCACCATTTGGTTGAAGATATTCAACAGTGCAGTAAATCCCATCGTCTATGCGGTATTTCATGAGTCCTTTCGAAAAGGCTTTAGGGACATTTTCTGTTGTGATAAGTTCCTCGAACGTAACACAAGGGATCTGGGATTGCAGCAATGCGCTAATACCCAAAGGAAACGTGAGCCAGCTCAACATGTCCAATTTCTAAATTTTCATTATATAATTCACTGTGCAATCTATGACAAATAGAAGCCCTGTTACCGTGCACGTGTTCAGTATGGGACCACGCAAACCACGAAGGCGACGGTAACGAGTACATAGAAAAACAAACGATTTAATTGGCAGAACAATAGCCTAGCACGTGCGTTTTAAAACTTTGTTCATTTCTAAGCCATCCCATGCAAAACAACAACTTGAAATCTCCCCAATTTGCTTCGTCTGCGAACCGAAACCGCGACGGCAAATTATTTTAATTTCCATTTGGAACTCAATATTTCTTTTATACGTTATGGTGAAGTTGAAGTGTGACGCCGTATGAGACGGTAAACAAATGCAGCCATTTTTAAATTCTAATTAAAGGAAGAAATTCATTTTTAAATCGTTGCTGTCCTGACTGTTAAAGGTCCCTAGTGATAAACCACAGATGACGTCAAAAGGTGATTTGAACAAAAACGTGGTTTACCGACGAGAAGCAGCCAAGTATGTCACTGAAGTACTTACCGCATTTCGACGTCTTCTGTGATCTACTACTGTACAGATCAACGGCAACATGGAATCTATTTGTTTTGTATGATGACAAAGCAAAATATTGAAAAAAGTGGTGTCAGCTATGTGTCTGCCTTCCAATAGATGATATGTATCTATGAACCAGTCAAAGTGCATGTATAATTTAGCTTTTCATATAAACAGAACCTTCATTTCATTCTCGAATGCTGAGCAAGGAATATCAAGCTTCACGAACCGCCAAACATTATGCCAAGCAAGAACTACCATCAGGGCAGAGTTTTTGTTAAATGAAACAGTTTCATTTTATTTTTTACCTTGGCATTGTGATTATATATTTACTGTTATCATTACTATGACTCGACAGGATAACTCTACAAATTAGCTTTAAAAGACAAGAAAACATCATGTAAATACTTTGAATAATATAATGGTAGTTTTTCTTCATTCTGTTCCTCGTTTTCGTTACATAACGAAACGAAAAAACTTAGAATAAACTATGCTTAATGCTTTTCATACATTTACTAAGACAACCTTCATTATTTACAGATTCCTTGACTATTTTCTCGTAACTTTTAATAAACCCTGCCATTAAATCAGGCAGATGGACTATATATCTGCGGAAACACAATTTTTGTGGCAGCTTCAAATTATAGCATAATGCAGTTTAAAAGGACTGATAAAAAGAAAATGGTGTCACTTAAATTTGGTGTGAACTTCTTCTTTTATTTGTGTATGGTTAACAGTTGCTTCAGACTAGCCCGAATCTCCCTCATTCTCCAAAGGTACAAAACTGGGCTGAGAGAAGAAGATAGAAATACAAGCACAACAGACACTTTCTCGGTGACCATTCCAGCTTTCGAACGTGTAATAAAATCGACAGGAACAGCTACAGTAAATGGTATGAAACATACAGAGAACAGCAATAAAATATATATCATAGTGGCAACGGATCTTTTGTATTTTTCCAGATTTATTGCATTCTGACCAAATCTTTGAGTTGACACTTCGCTGGCTTTAATCTGCTGTTGATGATGCCGAATGATCCTATAAACTTTGTAATAAGCAAATAATATGATTACATAAAAAAATGAAATTTCTGAGATCATAGTTATCTCATATATTTTTTCAAACCGGAAATTCTGGTGTATTAAAACCCGAATTATAACGTTGGGAATAGGGACGAATAGCATTAAAATTAGAATGAAATATCTACGACGGGATGTGGTGAAGGAGCCTCGAGACATATACAGCCATCGCTCAATGGACATCGCTGTTATGGTTAGAATTGTAACGGAGACAAAGAAATTGCCAGTTGCTTCGCCTACGGTACGCAAGGTGGCAGCAAGATTTGGATTATCCTTTACCTTCGAATCTTTCGTTGGAGATATTAGAAAGCTCGCTGCATAACATGGCTGAGCAATGAGTCCTGTGCACAGATCGTTTAACGCTATTCCACTCAGAAGGATATGAAAGGTTGTTCGTGGAAAGGTTCTTCTCCAAATTGTCGCCAAAATGATCGCATTTCCTACCACAGCTACAGGTGATAACATAGCGATGGCGGTTGCCTTTGAAAAAATAACAACCGAACGAAATTTGTCATTGTCTTTCCAATTATGGTCGTCTGAGTTATACATTTGCTCTCACGAAGGGCTAACGCTTGAAATGTTAGACTTACAAACTCTTTACGGTGGTAATTTGCACTATCGACTCAGTTGGTAACATCGGCCAAATTATCTTGAGTTATACAACGCTGTATTCGCAGCTTAATGAAGCTTTTGAAGTGAACGTTAGAATAAAAGTCTTTTTTGTAACTGTCGGATGAGCCTCGAAGATTTACGCTCTACATTAAATTTTCATCGACTGATGAGCTAATTTTTCACCTGTTTCCTCTTAGAAAGTAATAAAATAAAGCGCAGCCTTTCAAACGAATACATTGTTTTAACTTTTGCAGCCGCATGCTGTTTCCGTTTTAATCCCTTTTTTTTTCTTTAGATAATTTAAAATGCAAAGCGTATTGTAGATCCCTAACACAAATCAATGTTTGCATAATCAATGCTGTAAGTTAAATAACAGATCATGCCCCCATTTTAATAACATTGTTATTGGCATTAGTGTCCGAAATTAGTTTTTTCACTAACTAAGATCGTCCAACCAAAACCCCTATGTAATAGATTGTTAGGAAAACTTCAAACAGATTTTTTAAATTTATACTAAACCTCCGAAGAAAAAATGTAGAAGTTAATTAAACTTTGGATTTAATTTATTGTACAACTTTAAATGTGAATAAGGCTACTTTACCAAGAAAGCCTCTTAATGAAAACCTGTACGATATTAATACTCTCTTTCGGAAATTACTTTGACTAAAATCAATTTAACTTGATTTGAAATCAATCAAAACGCAACAGAAAAACCGTTTTCCTTAACATTCTGAAAAATTGTTTTCCTGAGACCACTACGACTATTTCTTATTCTCCAAAGGTACAACCCTGGATTGAAAAAGGATGACAAAAACATTAGCATCACTGGTGCCATGGCAGAGAGCTGTCATTTCTTCGTCTCTTGCCAGCCGTTGTGAATTAACATATCCACGTACCGTAGTGGAAATAACGCACGGCAAGACACAGATTAGAACAGAACAGAATAACAATAAAATACATAGCATAGATGCTACAGGTTTGTTTTACTTTGATAAGTCAATTGCGGGTTAACTAAAGTTCTGAAAAAGTCCGCCGCCTTGAATTTTGCTATAATAACGGCGGATAATCCGATAAACTTTGAAATAAGCGAGCATTGCCCAGGAGAACAAAATGAAATCTCTGAGTTCACCCCTATTAACAATATATTAAAAAAAGCTAGATCGTTTGTATATAAAAATAAAAGGAAAACGGTTGGAATCGGAAGGAATGATTTCTTAAAGGATCATCGAGACATCTGCATCCAAGTTTGAAGCACATCAAGGTCATGGTAAAGATAGGAATGGTGGCAAAAAAAAACAAAGCTTCACGAACTGAGGACAAATGGGCTGAGTTATCCTGTGATAACGTCGAATCTGTAAAAGCTTTAACCAATATGCTCAAAGCATGAAGGGGCCCACCGATTAGATCACCCAAAAAGTCAGTCATTGTCAATCTACCGAGAAAAATATGGAACGAAGTTCTCGCAAAGTTCCTCTTCCGAATCGTCGCTGAAATAAACCCATTCTTCACCACCGCCAAGGGCGATAAAACTGCCACTATCGCTGCCGCTGAAATATCATTGTTAGGGGAATAGCGGTTTTTATCGTTGTGGTCGTCTGAAGAGCATAGAAACGTAGACTTTTTCTCTGTACATGTATGGCAAGAAATATTATTACTTGGGCTTCCCAAGGTGGATCGAGAAACAATAATAGAAGGATATCAGTACTGTGATATAACAATATAACATTAAATTTTTAAATTGAAAGCTCATGAACTCCTATTCCACCTTCAGAAATTCCAACTTTATTACGATTTATACAATCAAGTGTCACAAATTTTTTCATCAGAGCATCGGTTGTGACCCTCTTACAAGAAAGAGTTCTTTCTAGTATCTGATACTTAGGTAAACAGACATCACCAGGGTATGGCAACATAACTTAGTTTAAAATTATTCATTGTTAATGTTGCTGCTGATGAGATTCCATTTGTTAAAAACATATTTATCGTTTTAGCGTTTAGAGTTGCTACATTTACAATTGTCATTACAGTGTCTGTTTAGTTGTTTCTGATAGTAATTGGTGAATTACATGTGAAAGTCGCTGGCCATCAGGTTGAGTTGTAACTTCAACTTAGTTCTTTTAGGTTTAAGAAGTAAAACATCGAGTCTTAGAATTCTTTGTTTGCCAACATTAATTACCATCAGTTTCAGTTGTAACTTCATAAAAAGTAAGAAGTCTTCATAATTTCAAAGAAAACATCAAAATATTGGGATATCACTTTTTATCATATATTTTGAAAACACAATTATTTTTTGACATTCACCAAGAAAAAGAAGACCACTCTTACATTTTAACATAGATCAGAATATATAAGTAATTATTTTTTAAATAAACATTGTTCTTCATTCAATTACCTTAAAGTACTCCTTAAACATACTGAAAACGACAAATTCCCACGAAACACCAAGTTCAATCAGAATTCCCCTCTGCAAGGGGGGATGAAGCCAATACATGATGTCCCTGCCCACTTTGATATCCTGTTGGCCACATAGATTGACACGAATGCAATCAAATAGATTGAAAGTTCGAATTTTACTGTCAGAACCTTTATTAGTTTCTAAAATTTATTACTTAATTGTTCAGTGTTAAATGCAGACTACGGACCAGGCGTAAACAACAGACAGGGTAAAATTTAGACCAGAAATATAAAATGCTTACTTGCTTATACTATGCTAGAGCTGTAAAACAATCTACAAAAGACAACTGAGATTTCATCAGTGTGAACTTTCTGGCATGGTATGGCTTGGGGAGTAAAAGTAAAAATCTCAATGAGATTTCTTGCTAAACCTATGGGGTAAAAATGATGAACAGGAACTGTTTTCACTTTTATAATCTGGAGACATACAGCGGCTCACTGCTTGAATGATTTTTCCTTTTGAGATTTGGTCATGAGTAGAATACTTGATAACCTTTTTTAATTATTTATGACTTTTGCCTCGCAAATGTCATTTGGTTCATCTGTTCAAAACCTATTGTAGTTACCTCACGAAAGCCAATGCATAGATAATTAATACTGTAAGAAAAAGGGACAGAAGTTTACCTAAGCTTACATTTGTCGTTTTTACCCGTAATTACATCTTTCATTTATTAGGAAAGCTGACTTTAATGCCAAATATAGTTATTCATGTACCATCTCTTAAGAATTTTTATACAGCTCCTTGGAAATACGCGTAAACTCATAAAGAATACTGTACGACGAAATCAAATTTTCGTTCAGTTCATTAGCTGTTTTTGCAATTATATTTAAGAATCGACAGTACATAACTAAGGCCTAAGTAGGACAATTTTTATCTTGGAAATAATGTTTCTACTTTGTTTTAGAAAGAACTGCGTCAACCATGAAATTGGAATTTCTTGTTGACTGAAATAGCCATGTACATTTAAATGCTTTTTTTCGACGGTTTTTCGGAAGCACACTTGTTACTTCAGTTGTGTCTCCACGAATACCTCTACTCAAATCAAGGAATTATTTTGATTATTTGACAAAATTTATGTTCTTAAGCTAGCTAATAGCTGTTTAAGACCCCTACGGATGTCCCTCATTCTCCAAATGTACAACCCTGGGTTGAGTGACGAAGACAGAAATACGAGCACTAGTGATAGGCTCATAACGCTTTTTGACACTTGAGTTGTAGTTTTAAGAGCTACCGCATTAGACATAGCAAAAGGTAAGAAACACATAGAAAATAGCAAAAAGATATATAGCATAGTTGCCACAGATTTCTTGTACTTCGCTAAGTCTATTGCGGGTTGACCAAAGTTCTGAGATGTTCCGTTGGCCTGAGTTTGAAGCTGGTGACGACGAATAATTTGATAAACCTTAAAATAAGCAAACGATATGGTAACATAACAAAACGAAAATTTTGCAATTGTCACTCTTAATAAGGTATTCCAAAAAGCTGGTTCCTTCCGAGCTAAACTGTAGATAACTAAAGAAGGGATCGAAAAGAGTAATATTACGATAGCAGCGTAATATCGGCGATGGGATGTTGTAAGAGATCTCCTAGACATATGCAACCATCGCTCAACGGACATTAATGTCATGGTATCAACAGTTATGTTGACAAAGAGGTAGGTGCTAAATCCAGCGATTATTCCAATAACATTTTCTACCACTGAATTATCTTGTATTGCTGCCGCGTTTTTTCTATGTATCAAGTGGAACAAAGCGTACGAAGGCTGGGAAATAAGCCCTGTTAGAAAGTCACTGACTGCTAATCCGCCAAGGAGAGAATGGAATGATGTTCTAAGAAAAGTCCTCCTCCAGATTGTGGCTAAAATCAACGCATTTCCCACTACTGCTGGGGCTGATAGGAGAGCGATGACCACTGCTGCCGAGAAAGTGAGTTCATTTCCAGGGGAATCGAGGTTTCAGTCGCTGAAGTCGTCGACAGAGCTTGGAGACGTAGAAGTGTTCACGGACATGGTGCAGCTTCACTGATGAATGTGACAATGCAGATCGGACATCTTGCAAACGTCGCCACCCGAAAACAATCAGCGTACGAGGAAGAACTTTTTTCACCCGCAACTCGAACGACTTGAAACAGCTGACTGCGGCGTCAGTTAAGAGTAGTTTTTAGGCTTGAACGATTTCCCCGACGGTTTTTCAATTCGTTTTCTGTCGAGAAATATGCAGCGCAAATTTGGCATGGTTCGTTTTACCTTCTGTACGGCTTTAATTGATTGATGGTTTGTCTAGCCAAGGTTGCATCCTGATTAACGTCTTTTGGAGACGTCTTTTGAACAAACGCACCGCTGATATATCATCTCGAAAATAGCTTTTACTGATTACTCATTGACGCCACGTTGAGAGTAAATACAATGTCATTCAAAAAATTCCTAGGCTTTAAAATATGATTTTTCAAATTATTAATCAAGGGTGTTACATGTTTACACGGGTTTCAATGGGTATGGAGAGGTTTTCATAAACCATCTTGAGCCAGGTGCAAACACAATCAATATATCACAAATATATGTGTTATTATTCGGCAACTGTTTTCCGTAACCTTTTTATAACAAATCGGCAAAGTAGATTTGCGTGAGGACTGATGGTTTTCAAAATAATCTAAAATAAAATGAAGGTGACCATGCATTCATTTTTTATTAACTTTTCTTGTCATTAAGATCTCTAGGTAATTGTTAGAACTGACTCATCTTAAAGACTGAATTTAAATCCCCGCGCACTAAAGCCATTGCTAACGAAATTAATTTTACAAGGAAAGTAATAGCTTGAAGTTTCAGTCATAAATGTTTTGAAAAGATCGGTTTCTTTACCTGGCTAACTGCTGTCTAGGGCCATTTGGGATGTTCCTCATTCTCCAAAGGTACAATCCTGGACTGAAAGACGAGGACAGAAGTACCAGCACCATTGTCACGTCAATACTTATCTTACCATTTAGTGCATTAGAAACAATAAAAGGCAAATAGCGGAGATAGAGAAAAGCAAAAATCTATATAAAATGGTCGAGTGGCGATTAGAAGCAGCCCGGATGGAAGTTCATTCACCAGGAGTATTGTTGACCAAACCTTAATTTTTGATCAAATGTGTCAACAACAGATAACTTAACTAGGATCCTAGGTAAAGAGCATTCGTATGACTTATCTTGGAGAACGATATAGATATAAAACTCTCCAATGAGCTGAGTGGATATTTTTTAGCTCGTGGTACTGCAGTTTTAGTAATTAAAAACCCACACATATTCGAGCACAAGTGATAAATAGGATATCATACGAATCTTTGAAAAGGCCCTCGGGTGGTCCATAGTATACGTTTTAAATGAACGGCTGCACGGAATCTAACAACCACTTGGCAATATCAAAAACTCACAGCCCACCTGTACTTGAAAGGTGAACACTATTTGGCAAATTTAATTAACAAATTACATTCAGCGGAAAAGTTTTACGGTGGTCTTTTTCATGCACCATAGCACCGGAATACAACATGTCAAAAATTGTACTTCTCTATATCAAGAGTCGGCTTGAATTGAATTGATTATGTTCATTTATGTTTACATCTTTTTCCGGCAGGGTCACTGGACTATTCTCTCAGTTCCAGAGTAGCATTCTCATTCCCGACGGGTGTGCTGTTTCTTTTTTCCTTCATTGGTAACTCGTCGGCCATTCAAATTGTTGGGAAAAACCAAAACATGAAGTCTGCGGAGATTTGGTGATATATTTTGGTGATTTTAGTGATGTTAATTGTTTGGTGATGTTTTTGATGTTTTGATTTGGTGATTTTGGTGATGTTAATCAGATATTTCCTCTTTAGATCAGTTTGGCCCTTCGAAAGTTTTGAAACAGTGTTATGTAAAACAAGTCGGTACATTGCTTTGGTTTCCTTTTCTTGCATGTATTTTTAGCTTGCTTGGTATAACAATAGATCACTTTATGACAGTCAGCCGACCCCTGAAACACAAGCCTTGGTCAAAATGGACCAAAATAACCATTCCGGTCATATGGGCAACGTCCTTTCTGCTCCCAGTTAGTACTTTGTTGCAAAAAGATGAAATACATAATCAGTCAGGGAACGCTACCTGTGGTGTTACGATGTTTCATGCCAATTTCATGATACTTGCCTCTTGCTTTGTATTTCCTTTTACGTTAATGTCAGTCCTTTATCCTCTGATCAGTTATCGTCTCTGGAAGAGGAAGGTGCCAGGAGAATTCAACGCCCGGCAACAGCAAATAGTAAATCGCACAGCGCGAAGAGTCACATTTATGATGATCACAGTGATGGCCATCTTTTTCATATGTTGTGCGCCATAATTTGTTTTTTCGTGGCTGCATCCATTTGCTGAGCAGTTAGTGATGAAAGCACCGATATGGCTCATTCTTTTTACCATTTTGTTGAAGATATTCAACGGTGCTGCAAATCCTATTGTCTACGCGTTATTCAATGAGTCCTTTCGAAAAGGGTTTAGAGACATTCTCGATTGTGACAATACAAGGGATCTCGGACTGCAGAAATATGCTAATACCCCAACGAAACGTGAGCCAGCTCAAGATGTCCAATTACTAAATTTCAATTCTAGAATTTTCTTTGGTATGTATCACAAATAGAAGCCCTGTTGCCATGCACGTGTTCAGTGATAAACCACAGATGACATCAAAAGGTGATTAGAACAAAAACGTGGCTCACTGATGAGAAGCAGCCGAGTATATCTCCGATGTTTTTACCACATTTCGACGTCTTCTGTGATCTACTACTGAACGGACTAACGGCAACATGGAATCTATTTGTTTTGTATGATGACAAAGCAAAATATTGGAAATAGTTGTGTCAGCTATGTTTTTGTTATTCTATAGATCATATGTATGAACCAATCAAAGTGCATGTATTATTTAGCTTTTCATATAAAGAGAACCTTCATTTCATTCTCGAATGCTGTGCAAGGAATATCAAGCTTCACGAAACGCTAAACATCGTGCCAAGCAAGAACCACCATCAGGGCAGAATTTTTAATTGTTAGATAAAATAGTTTCATTTTATTTTGTACCTTGGCATTGTGATTATCTTTACTTTTATCATTATTATGACTGTACAGGATAACTTTACAAGTTAATTCAAATAACCCGTGTCCAATGCTTTTCAACAGTTACCAAGACAATCTGGATTCTTTACAGATTCATTCACGTTTTTTTCATAACTTTTAATAAACGCCGCCATTAAATCAGGCAGATGAACTATATATCTGCGAAAACACAATTTTCGTAACAGCATCAACTTTTAGCATAATGCAGTTTGAAAGGACTGATGAAAATAAAATGGTGTCACTTAAATTTGGTGCGAATTTCTTCCTCTATCTGTGTATTGTTAACAGTTGCTTCAGACCAGCCCGAATATCCCTCATTCTCCAAGAGTACAAAACGGGGCTGAGAGAAGAAGATAGAAATACAAGCACAACAGACACTGTCTCGGTGACCATTCCAGCTTTCGAACGTGTAATAAAATCGACAGGAACAGCTACAGTAAATGGTATGAAACATACAGAGAACAGCAATAAAATATATATCATGGTGGCCACGGATCTTTTGTATTTTTCCAGATTTATTGCTTGCTGACCAAATCTTTTAGTTGACACTTCGCTGGCTTTAATCTGCTGTTGATGATGCCGAATGATCTTATAAACTTTATAATAAGCGAATAATATGATTACATAAAAAAATGAAATTTCTGAGATCATAGTTATCTCATATATTTTTTCAAACCGGAAATTTTGGTGTATTAAAACCCGAATTATAACGTTGAGAATAGGGAGGAATAGCATTAAAATTAGAGTGAAATATCTACGACGGGATGTGATGAAGGAGCCTCGAGACATATACAGCCATCGCTCAATGGACATCGCTGTTATGGTTAGAATTGTGACGGAGACAAAAAAATTGCCAGTTGCTTCGCCTACGGTACGCAAGGTAGCAACAAGATTTGGATTATCCTTTACCTTCGAATCTTTCGTTGGAGATATTAGAAAGCTCGCTGCATAACATGGCTGAGCAATGAGTCCTGTGCACAGATCGTTTAACGCTATTCCACTCAGAAGGATATGAAAGGTTGTTCGTGGAAAAGTTCTTCTCCAAATTGTCGCCAAAATGATCGCATTTCCTACCACAGCTACAGGTGATAACATAGCGATAGCGGTTGCCTTTGAAAAAATAACAACCGAACGAAATTTGTCATTGTCTTTCCAATTGTGGTCGTCTGAGTTACACATTTGCTCTCACGAAGGGCTAACGCTTGAAATGTTAGACTTACAAACTCTTTACGGTTGTAATTTGCACTATCGACTCAGTCGGTAACATCGGCCAAATTATCTTGAGTTATACAACGCTGTATTCGCAGCTTAATGAAGTTTTTGAAGTGAACGTCAGAATAAAAGTCTTTTTTGTAGCTGTCGGATGAACCTCGAAGATTTACGCTCTACATTAAATTTTCATCGACTGATGAGCTAATTTTTCACCTGTTTCCTCTTAGAAAGTAATGAAATAAAGCGCAGCCTTTCAAACGAATACATTGTTTTAACTTTTGCAGCCGCATGCTGTTTCCGTTTTAATCCCTTTTTTTTTCTTAAGATAATTTAAAATGCAAAGCGTATTGTAGGTCCCTAACACAAATCAATGTTTGCATAATCAATGCTGTAAGTTAAATAACAGATAATGCCCTCATTTTAATAACATTGTTATTGGCATTAGTGTCCGAAATTAGTTTTTTCACTAACTGAGATCGTCCAACCAAAACCCGTATGTAATAGGAAAACTTCAAACAGATCTTTCAAATTTATACTAAACCTCCGAAGAAAAAATGTAGAAGTTAATTAAAATTTGGATTTAATTTACTGTAACACTTTAAATGTGAATTAAATTATAAGTCTACTTTACCAACAAGAAAGTCTCTTAATGAAAACCTGTACGATATTAATACTCTCTTTCGCAAATTACTTTGACTAAAATCAATTTAAATTGACAGAAAAACCGTTTTCCTTAACATTTTGAAAATTTGTATTACTGAGACCATTACGATTATTTCTTATTCTCCAAAGGTACAACCCTGGATTGAAAGACGATGACAAAAACATTAGCATCGCTGGTGTCATGGCAGAGAGCTGTCCTTTCTTCGTCTCTTGCCAGCCGTTGTGAATTAACATATTCACGTACCGTTGTGGAAATAACACACGGCAAGACACAGATTGAGAATAACAATAAAATACATAGCATAGATGCTACAGGTTTGTTTTACTTGGCTAAGTAAATTGCGGGTTGACTAAAAGTTCTGAAAAAGTCCGCCGCCTTGAATTTTGCTATAATAACGGCGGATAATCCGATAAACTTTGAAATAAGTGAGCATTGTCCCAGGAGAACAAAATGAAATCCCTGAGTTCACCCCTATAAACAATATATTAAAAAAAAGCCAGATCGTTTGTAACTAAAAATGAAAGGACAACGGTTGGAATCGGAAGGAGTGATTTATTAAAGGATCATCGAGACATCTGCATCCAAGTTTCAAAGCACGTCAAAGTCATGGTAACGATAGTAATGCTGGCAAAAAAAACAAAGCTTCATGAACTGTGGACAAATAGCGATTAGATCACCCAAAAAGGCAGTCATTGCAAGTTTACCAAGAAAAATATGGAACGAAGTTCTCGCAAAGTTCCTCTCCCAGATCGTCGCCAAAATCAACCTATTCTTCACCACCGCCAACGGCGATAAAACTGCCACTATCGCTGCCGCTGAAATATCAAATGCATTGTCAGGGGAATAAAGGTTTTTATCGTTGTGGTCGTCTGAAGAGCATAGAAACGTAGACTTTTGCTCTGTATATGTATGGCAAGGTGGATCGAGAAACAATAATAGAAGGATATCAGTACTGTGATATAACAATATAACGTTAAGTCAAAAATTGAAAGCTGATTAACTCCTATTCCACCTTCAGAAATTCCGACTTTATTACGATTTATACAATCAAGTGCCACAAATTCTTTTATCACAGCATCGGTTGTGACCCTCTTACGAGAAAGAGCTCTTAAACTAGCTCTTTCTAGTATCTGATATTTAGGTAATCAGACATCACCAAAGTATGGCAACATAACGTAGTTTAAAATTATTCATTGACAATGTTGCTGCTGATGAGATTCCATTGGTTGAAAACATATTTATCGTGTTAGCGTTTACAGCTGTTACATTTACAGTTGTCATTACAGTGTCTGTTTAGTTCTTTCTGATATTAAGTGGTGAATTACGTATGAAAGTCGCTGGCCATCAGGTTGAGTTGTAACTTCAACTTAGTTCTTTTAGGTTTAAGAAGTAAAACATCGAGTCTTGAATTCTTTGTTTGCCAACATTAATTACCATCAGTTTCAGTTGTAACTTCATAAAAAGTAAGAAGTCTTTATAATTTCAAAGAAAACATCAAAATATTGGGATATCACTTTTTATCATATATTTTGAAAACACAATTATTTTTGACATTCACCAAGAAAAAGAAGACCACTCTTACATTTTAACATAGATCAGAATATATAAGTAATTATTTGTTAAATAAACATTGTTCTTCATTCAATTACCTTAAAGTACTCCTTAAACATACTGACAACGACAAATTCCCACAAAACACCAATTTCACTCAGAATTCCCCTCTGCAAGGGGGATGAAGCCAACACATGATATCCCTGCCCACTTTGATATCCTGTTGGCCACATAGATTGACACGAATGCAATCAAATAGATTGAAAATTAGAGTTTTACTGTCAGAACCTTTATTACTTTCTAAAACTGAATTTATTACTTAATTGTTCAGTGTAAAACGCAGACTACAGACCGGGCGTAAACAACGGACAGAGGGTAAAATCTAGACCAGAAATATAAAATGCTTACTTGCTTGTACTATGCTAGAGCTGTTAAACAATCTACAAAAGACAACTGAGATTTCATCAATGTCAACTTTCTGACATGGTGTGGCTTGGGGAATAAACGTAAAAACCTCAAATCAGTCTTTTGAGGATGTCGTTTGAACAAACGCACCGCTGATATATCATCTCGACAATCATATACAAACCGTCAATAACTTTTATTGATCACTCATTGACGTCACGTTGAGAGTAAATACAATGTCAATCACGAAATTCCCAAGCTTTAAAATAATATGATTTTTCAAATTATTAATCAGGGGTCTTACATGTTTACATGGGTTTCAATGGGTATAGAGAGGTTTTCACAAACCATCTTGAGCCAGGTGCAAACACAATCAATATATCATAAATAAATATGTCATCATTCGGCAACTGCCTGGTTCCGTAACCTTTTTAAAACAAATCGGCTTAGTACTTTTGCATGAGGACTGATGGCTTTCAGAGTAAACTAAAATGAAATGAAGCTGACCATGAATTAATCTTCTATTAACTTTTCTCGCCATTAAGATCTCAAGTTAATCGTTATACCTAATGCATCTTTCAGACTGAATGTAAATCAGTCACGAAAGTCATTGCTTGCGTAATTAATTTCATAAGGAAAGAAATGAATATTTTCGAAAGTTGAGTTGGACATTTTGGGCAATACATACATCCTTTTTTAAGAGCTGATGTTAAAACCGTCCAATTTTCAATCATAAATGCGTTGAAAAGATCGGGTTCCCTATCTGGCTGACAGCTAACTAGGGCCATTCAGGATGTCCCTCATTCTCAAAAAGTACAACCCCGGACTAAGAGACGAAGACAGAATTACGAGCACCATTGTCACTTCAATAGTTATCTTTAATTTACTGAATTAGAAACAATAAAAGGCAAATAACAGAGAGAGAAGCAAAAAATGTCTATAAAATGGTTGAGTGGCGATTAGAAGAAGCTTAGATCGAAGTTCATTTGCCAGGGGTTTTATTGACCAAACCATAATTTTTCAACAAATGTGTTGACAACAGATAACTTGACTTTCCTGCCGATAATCAATTTTTTAACCGGAATAGCTGTTGTATAAATAAATAAACCTAGTGATGATCCTAGCGAACCAAATAGTTTCCTACAGGTTACTTGCACAGCAACAGAGCACGGAATCCGAAGGTCTGATGTTCGATTCCTGTTAGGAACAGAAATTTTGCTTAATTTGTCTTGCGCTAGAGACAAGGAGAAATCTACCCCTGTAAATAGTTTAAAGACACCTTTCCTTATTGCCTAACAACTTCAAGATTTTTATAAAAACATGTTTGCACATATATGGATATTTTATTGACCGTCTTATAACGCAGTCGATGAGCAAAAGTAACTCAAGAAAACTCGCAATTATTTAATGAGGTTATGTTATCCATGGCAGCCGGGAAGATTTAGTGCCGCGGAAAAAGCACCCAATACAATAGCCTCTTATCTTCATATCTCATCAACTGATCAGCCGACCAAAAATTTAAGGCCTGTTTCATGTCTTGTGCCTAGAAACAGAAGCCTTTCTTTTTTCTCCAATTATTTTTTAAACCTTTGCTCAGTAACTAAAGGACGGTTTGAACAGAAGATCATATATAGGGTGTAGATGCATTTGCGTATCGAAGACAGGTGCAATTTTGCTTTCATATGCAAAATAATATTGGGGTTAATTTTTCACAGAGCCGTGATCCAATTACCTTAAGCAAATTATTTTTTATTACAAAAGGATTCTGTGCGAATAAATAATTGAATAAGTTTAAAACTTTGCTAGATAGCTTCTGTAGGGGCAATAAACATGTTAATCATGAATAAACACACGTCTATAGAAAAGCTTCCGCATTCGCATAAAACTTTCACAGACCATTCAATTATACTAAGTGTGGTGTAGTTTACCATGACAGATAATCGTTCAACTTCAAATCAATCTAAAAGAAAGCTTAAGTCCCAAAGATAATCTATAATTTTCGTCATTGTTTTATTTTACCAAAGAATTGCATGCAACGTATATCTTGCCTTCGCAGTTTTGACGTCGCTTAAATTAGATAAGGTTCAACATGGTTTGGGATGCAACATCACACGATACCTGGCAAACAATCGAACCTGAAATCAATTAAAAGCTCTCGCCGGGTCAATTTGCAAGCATATTGATTAAAGGATTCGAGGGAAAGAAATAAGTACGCAGAAGCCCACACATATCTCATTCCGCAAGCAGGAGAAGCAAACAGAAAAGGTATTGAGGATGAGCAACAAAAGTGCGTCGACAGTGGATACGGTGAAAAATAATACTCTTAGAAGAGTCACTATCCTTTAAAAATTTGCTGGCAGAGTAAAGCGAAAGTAATTTGGTTCGGTTTTTAGCTTTGAAATACGAACAAAATTGGACGAGAACTGATTTCGTTTTCTTTGTGTATCCAAAAAAGATAAAACTGAAGATAAGTGAAGATATTAATCGAACTCGGCTGTGAAAATCACTCATACGACTAATATCAAGTGAAGTTTAGAGCGGAGAATTAGACTCTGTTTTTCATTGTAAATGTCATTTTGTCTAGACAATGAGAAAAAACTATGAGCAAAAACTTTCTGTAACAGTTATGACAGACCCTCCGTGGTATGCTTCCTGCTAGATGATGTTAATTTAGGACAAAACAAGAGTCATTTGAGGTACTTTGAGGATCAGAATATTCAAGAGCTCTCTAACCACATAGATGACTCTTAGCATTGATGATTCAAGTTGTACTGACGTGTGTCACATGAGATCCTTAGAATATCATCCAGACCTTTCTTTGTTCGATCACCTACAAAATCCACTCATAAATGGTATCTCAGTATAAGAAGAGATTAATACTTCCAGTAACGTTTGATGAAATGTTTAGACCGTTATTCGATAATTTTATTTCAAATCTCAGAAGATCTCAGAATCATATCAATCCAGAATTGATTTGGTTCATATTTATATTTCTTTCCAGCAGGGTCACTGGACCATTCTCTCAGTTCCAGAGTAGCATTCTCGTTCCTTACGGGTGTGCTGTCTCTTTTCTCCTTCACTGGTAACTCGTCGGTCATTCACGTTGTTAGGAAAAACCAAAACATGAAGTCTACCACTTATCTCCTGATACTCAACATGGCGTGCGGAGATTTGTTGATAGCGTCTTGGACTGGTGCTTCGTTAATCAAATATTTGCTCCCTAAATCAGTTTGGCCCATCGGGAGTTTTGGAATAGTTTTATGTGAAACAAGCCTGTACATTGGTTTGGTTTCCTTTCTTGCATGTATTTTTAGCTTGGTTGGTATAACAATAGATCGCTTCATGGCAGTCAGTCGACCCCTGAAACACAAGTCTTGCTCAAAGTGGACCAAAATAACCATTCCGGTCATATGGGCAACGTCCTTTCTGCTGCCCGTTGGTACTTTGTTAGAAATAGATGAAATACCCAGTCAGTCAGGGAACACTACGTGTAGTGCTACGATATCCCACGCCAATTTCATTATACTTGCGTCATGTTTTCTACTACCGTTTGCGTTAATGTCAGTTCTTTATCCCCTGATCAGTTATCGTCTCTGGAAGAGGAAAGTGCCAGGAGAATTCAATGCCCGGCAACAGCAAATAGCAAATCGCACGGCGCGAAGAGTCACATTTATGATGATCACAGTGATAGTCATCTTTTTCATATGTTGGGCGCCACAATTTGTTTTTTCGTGGCTGCATCTATTCGCAAAGCAGCTAGCGATGAAAGCACCGATATGGCTGCTTCCTTTTATCATTTTGTTGAAGATATTCAACGGTGCAGTAAATCCTTTTGTCTACGCGGTATTTAATGAATCCTTTCGAAAAGGCTTTAGAGACATTCTCGGTTGTGACAAGCTCCGTGAGCACAATACAAGGGATCTTGGACTGCAGCAATGCGCTAATACCCAAACGAAACATGAGCCAGCTCAACATGTCCAATTACTAAACTTCAATTCTATAACTTACAGTGGAATGCATGAGAAGTAAAAGCGCTGGTGCCGTGGGCGTGTTTGGTGATGAACCACTGATGACTCCAAAAGGAGATTAGAACAAAAACGTGGCTCACTGACGAGAAGCAGCCGAGTATGTCACTGATGTTCTTACCAAATTTTGACGTCTATTGTGATCTACTACTGTACAGACTAACGGCAACATGGAATCTATTTGTTTTGTATGATGACAAAGCAAAATATTGTAAATAGTGGTGTCAGTTATGTGTCTGTCTTCCAATAGATGATATGTATCTATGAACCAGTCAAAGTGCATGAATAATTTAGCTTTTCATATAAACAGAACCTTCATTTCATTTTCGAATGCTGTGCAAGGAATATCAAGCTTCACGGAACTTCAAACATCATGCTAAGCAAGAACCAACATCAGGGCAGGGTTTTTATTAAATGAAATAGTTTCATTTTATTTTTTATCTTGGCGTTGTAATTGTATTTACTGCTATCATTATCATGACTGTACAAGATAACTTTACAAGTAAACTTAAAAAGACAAGAAAACATTATATAAATGTTCTGAATAATATCATGGGAGTTTTTCTTCGTTGTGTTCCTCAAAATAACCCATGCCCAGTGGTTTTCCAGCAGTTACTAAGACAACCTTGATTCTCTACAGATTCCTTAACATTTTTTTGATAAGTTTTGATAAACGCTGCCATTAAATCAGGCAGATGAACTATATATCTGCGGAAACACAATTTTTGTGGTGGCATTAAATTGTAGCATAATGCAGTCGAAATGGAATGATTAAAAGAAATTGGTGTCACTTAAAGTTGATACGGATTTCTACCTGTGTATGGTTAACAGTTGCTTCAGACCATTCCGAATCTCCCTCATTCTCCAAAGGTACAAAACTGGGCTGAGAGAAGAAGATAGAAATAGAAGCACAGTAGACACACTTTCGGCGACCATTCCAGCTTTCGAACGTGTATTGTAAGCGACAGGAACAGCCACAGTTAATGGTATGAAACATAGAGAGAACAGCAATAAAATATATATCATGGTGGCTACAGATCTCTTGTATTTTTTCAGATTTATTGCATTCTGACCAAATCTTTGAGATGAAACTTCGCTGGCTTTAATCTGCTCTTGATGATGTCGAATGATCTTAAAAACTTTATAATAAGCGAATGATATGATTATATAACAAAATGAAATTTTTGAGGTTGTATTTATCTCAAATATTTTTTCAAAATGGAAATTGTGTTGCATCAAAACCCGAATTACAACGTTGGGAATAGGGAGGAACAGCACCAAAATTATAATAAAATATCTACGACGGGATGTGATGAAGGATCTTCGAGACATGTACAGCCATCGCTCAATGGACATCGCTGTTATGGTCAGAATGGTAATGGAGACGAAGAAATAGGCAGTTGCTTCGCCTATTGTATTCAAGGCAGCAAGCTTTGGATTATCGTTTACCTTACAATGCTTCGTTGGAGATATTAGAAAGCTCGCTGCATAACACGGCTGAGCAATGAGTCCTGTGCAAAGATCGTTTAATGCTATTCCACTCAAAAGGATATGAAAGGTTGTTCGTGGAAAAGTTCTCCTCCAAATTGTCGCCAAAATGATTGCGTTTCCTAACACAGCCAAAGGTGATAAAGAAGCGATAGCGACTGCGTGTGAATAAATAACTGCGGAACAAAATTTGTTATTGTTTTTCCAATTGTAGTCGTTCGAGTCATACATTTGCGCTCACGAAGGGCTACCGCTTGAAACGTTAGACTTAGGAACTCTTTCGGTGGCGTTTACACCATAGACTCAGTTGATAACACCAAGTTATCTTGAGTTGTATAACGCTGTACATGTATTCTTAGCTTAATGAAGCTTTTTAAATGAACGTTAGAATAAAAGTCTTTTTTGTGATTATCGGATGAACCTCGAAGGTTGTCGCTCTACACTAAATTTTTTTCGAGGGATGAGCTGATTTTTCATCAATTGCCGTTTAGAAAGTAATCAAATTTAGTGCAGTCTTTCAAACGGATATATTGTTTAACTTTTGCACTCGCATGCTGTTTCTGTTTTAGTAATTTTTTTTAGATAACTAAACATTCAAAGCGTATTGTAGATCCCTAACACTTATAAATGTAAGCATAATCAGTCTTGTAAATTAAATAACACACCATGTCCTCATTTTGATGAGATAGTTTTTGACATTGGTGTTCGAAATTAGTTTTTTAGTAATTGAGACCGTCCAACTAAAATCCGTATGTAACAGATTGTTAAGCAAACCTAAAACAGCCCTTTCAAATTTATACTAAACTCTCAAAGGAAAAATGTGGAAGTTAATTAAACTTTGTATTAAATTTACTCTATAACTTAAAATATGAATTAAATTATAAGGCTACTTTATCAAGAAAGTCTCTTAATGAAAACCTCTACGAAATTAATACTCTCATACACTTTTTCGGAAATTACTTTTACCTAACGTTCTGAAGATCGGTTTTACACCATTACGAATATTTCTTATTCTCCAATGGTACAACCCTGGATTGAAAGACGATGACAAAACAATTAGCACCACTGTCGCCATGGTAGAGAACTGTCCTTTCGTCTTCTCTTGCCGGCCGTTTTGAATTAACATATTCACTTACCGTAGTGGAAATAACACGCAACAAGACACAAATTGAGAATAACAATAAAATACATAGCATAGATGCTACAGGTTTGTTGTACTTCGCTAAGTCAATTGAGGGTGGACTAAAGTTCTGAAATTTGGTTATAATGGCGGCGGATAATTCGGTTAACTTTGAAATAAGCGAGCACTGTCCCACGAAAACAAAATGAAATCTCTGATTTCATCGCTATTAACAATATATTTAAAAAAAGCTAGATCTTTTGTACATAAAAATGAAAGGACAATGGTTGGAATCTTGAGGAATAATAAGGATCTTTGAGACATCTTCATGCAACTTTCAACGGACATCAAAGTCATGGTAGCAATAGTAATAGGGACGAAAAAGACAAAGCTTCACGAACTGAGGACAAATAGCACTGGATTATCCTGTGACAATTTCGAACCTGTAAAAAGCTTTAACCAATATGCTCAAAGCAGGAAGGGGCCCACCGATTAGATCACTCAACAAGTCAGTCCTAGCCATTCTACTAGAAAAAATATGGAACGAAGTTCTCGCAAAGTTCATCATCCAAATAGTCGCCAGAATTAACCCATTCTTCACCGCTGCCACTACCGCTGCCGCTGAAATATCAAATGTATTATTAGTGGAATAGAGGTTTTTATTGTTGCGGTCGTCTAAAGAGCATAAAAAAACCGACTTTCGCTTTTTTGAACATGGTGTAGCTTGGGGAGTAAGCATGAAAATCTCAATCAGATTTCTTGCTAAACCTACGAGCCAAAAATGATGCATAGGAACTGCTTTCACATCTACAATGTGGTGACTTGCTGCCGCGAACCGTTTGAATAATTTTTCCAACAGTTTTTTAGATATTAACCTCGGTTTGTTTCATTAATTTTCAAGTTTAAATTATTAATTTTTTTTTTATTCCAGTCACCTTTTTATCGATTTGCTTCAAATATCTCTCAAATCAGACCATCTCGACAGTCATACAAAACATTTAGTTTTTTTACATGTATTTCTTTATTGAAGCTGATAGTTTTTTGATCGATTACTTATTAATATCATGTTGGGACTAATTACTATCTTTTCAAGACCCCTTGAAGTTGTTAACATAAACTGAGATGAGATTAAATTACAAATTTAATTTCTTCTTTTCCTTTAGAGATTTGTTTATGAGTAGAATTACTTGATAACATTTTTAATTATTTATGATTTTTGCTTCGCAAATATCATTTGGTTCATGTTTTCAAAACCTATTGTAGTTGCTGAGCTTACGTTTGTCGTTTCCATCCGCAATTACATCTTTGAATTATTGGGACAGCTGACCTTAAAGCCAAATAGAATTATGTACCATCGTGTAGGAAGTTTTATACAGCTCCTTGGAAATATGCGTGAACGCCACAAAGAATATTGTAGAACAAAGTAAAAATTTTACGTTCAGTTCATTAGCTATTTTTGCAGGTATATTTAAGAATAGGCAGTACGTAACAAAAGCCTTAGTAGGACAAAAAAAAAAATGTTTCTACTTTGTTTTAGAAAGAACTGCGTCAAACATGAAATTTGAATTTCTTGTGGTTTGGAATAGCCATGTACATTTAAATGCATTTTTTTTAAGGGTTTATCGGAAGCACGCTAGTAAGTTCAGTTGTGTCTCTACGAGTAACTCTACTCAGACCAAGGAACCATTTTGATAAGTTGATAAAATTTATGTTCTTAAGCTAGCTAATAGCTGTTTAAGACCTCTACGAATGTCCCTCATTCTCCAAAGGTACAACCCTGGGTTGAGCGACGAAGACAGAAATACCAGCACCATTGACAGGTCTATAGAGCTTTCTTTCACCTCACCTGTAATTAATAAAGATAACACACTAGATACAAAAAAAGGTAAGAAACACATAGAAAGAAGCAAAAAGATATACAGCATGTTTGCCACAGATTTCTTGTACTTTGCCAAGTCTATTGCGGGTTGATCAAAGTTCTGAGATGTTACAGTGGCCTGAGTTTGAAGCTGGTGACGACGAATAATTTGATAAACCTTAAAATAAGCGAAAGATATGATAAGATAACAAAACGAAAATTTTGCAACTGTTATTTTACATAAGGTATACCAAAACGCTAGTTCCCTCAAAGTTAAAATGTAGACAACTAGTGAAGGGATCGGAGAGAGTAATATTACCATAGTAGCGTAATATCGGCGATGGGATGTTGTAGAAGATCTCCTAGACATATGCAACCATCGCTCAATGGACATTACTGTCATAGTAGCAAGAGTGATGTTGATAAAGAGGTAGATGCTAAATCCAGCGATTATTCCAAGGACACTTACTACCTCTGGATTATCTAGTTTTACTGCCGCGTTTTGTCCATTTATCAAGTGGAAAGAAGCGTACAAAGGCTGGGAAATAAGTCCTGTTAGTAAGTCAGTGACTGCTAATCCGCTAAGAAGAGAATGGAATGATGTTCTAAGAAAAGTCCTCCTCCAGATTGTGGCTAAAATCAACGCATTTCCCGCTACTGCTGGGACTGATAGGAGAGCGATAACCACTGCTGTCGAGAAAGTGAGTTCACTACCAGCGGAATCGAGGTTTTTAGACGTAGAGTTTTGTTCATTTTCGGACATTGTGCAGCTTCAGTGATGAATGTGACGGTTGCCGATCGGATATCTTGTTAAAGCCACCACCCAAAAATAATCAGCTCACGAGAAGAACTTCTTTTTGTGCCCACAGCCCGAGCGACTTGAAACAGCTGACTGTGGCGTCAGTTAAGATTAGTTTTGAAGCTTGAACGATTTGCCCGACGGTGTTTAAGTTCGTTTTTTGTCGAGAAATATACAGCGCTAATTTGGCACGGTTCGTTTGATTTTCTGTTCGGTTTTAAATAATTGATGGTTTTTCTAGCCAAGGTTTACAATGCATCTTGATGAACTTGAATACAGACGTCTTTTAAATCAAACGCACTGCTGACATGCCATCTTGACAATAATATACAAAACAATAACTTTTACTGATTACTCAGTGACGTCACGTTGAGAGAAAATGCAATGTCATTCAGGAGTTCCTCGGGCTTTCAAATTATTTCATTTAAGAATTCAAGGGTTTTATTTGTATACACAGGTTTCAATGGGTATGGTGAGGTTTTTATAAACCATCTTGAGCCAGTTGCAAACACAATCTGTCTATGATAAATAAATGTCATTACTCGGCAACTGTTTTCCGTAACCTTTTCATAACAAATGCTTTCAGTAAGTTTACAAGAGGACTGATGGTTTCTCAAGTAATCTAAAATAGAGTGAAGCTGACCATAAATTCATTTTTTATTAATTTATCTTGCAATTCAGATCTCTAGCTAATCGTTATAGCTAATGCATCTTAAAGATGAATGCAAATATAGGATGGTATATCCCTCACGAAAGTCATTGTTTACGTAATTAATTTTATAGGAGAAGAAATAAATATTTACAAAAGTTATGCTGGACAGTTTTGGCGATAAATACATCACTTTTAATGTCTTGAAAAGATCGGGCTCTTTATCTAGCTAACAGTTGTCTAAGGCCATTCGGGATATCCCTCATTCTTCTAAGGTACAACCCTGAACTGAGAGACGAAGACAGAAGCACGAGCACCATTGTCACGTCAGTAGTTATACTCACTTCATTGGGGTAAACCTTTATCTGAACGTTTTCTGAATCAGATTGTATAAAAATTAAATAACAGAGAGAGAATAGCTAAAAAATGGTTGAGTGGCGATTAGAAGCAGCCTAGATGGAAGTTCATTCGCCAGAGGTTTTATTGACCAAACCCTAGTTTTTGACTAGATGTGTTAACAACAGATAATTTGACTAGGATCCAATGTCCTGCCTTAAGCCATGAAAATGTTGAAAAAATCAGTTTCTTCTGCAAACGAATAGTTGTTTGAAGCCATTACGGATATCTCTCATTCTCCAAAGGTACAACCCTGGACTGAGAGACGAAGACAGAAATACGAGCACCATCGTCACGTCAATAGTTATATTCAGCTCTCTGGGACCAGCCTTTATCAAAACATTTACCGTGTTAGATACAATAAAAGGCAAGAAACAAATAGAGAATAGCAATAAAATGTATAAGATGGTTGCAACAGATCTTTTGTATTTGGTTACGTCTATTGCAGAATGGCCAAAGTTCCCAGGTATCCTGTTAGCTTGAGTTTGATTCTGATGACTTCGAATAATTCGATAGATCTTAAAATAAGCGAAAGATGTAACACAATAGCTGATAAACATTTCTATGGATATTACTATGGGGAATGAGGATGGATTTAAAAAGTAAAGAGCAACCAAAGGAATTGGAAGAAACAAGATCACGACAAGAACCAAAAATCGGCGATGAGATGTGAAAGAGAATCCTCCAGACATGTGCAACCATCGTTCAATGGACATCAGTGTTATTGTCAGAAGCGTAATGGTGACCAAGTAAATTGCACTGATCACTGTGACTTTTCCTAAGACATTAGTTGGCTGTGGTGTATCTCGCACAACCGCCGAGTTTGTTGACAATATCAAACCATAAGAAGCATAGGTTGGATAAGCGATCAGACCGGTACAAAAATCACTCAATGCCAATCCACTTAGAAGAATATGGAACGATGTTCTCGAAAAACTTTTCTTCCAAATCGTCACCAAAATCAACGCATTTCCAACCACCGCCACGGGACATAAAACAGCAATGACCAACGATACTGTAAATTTTACTGTACTACCCAGAGTATCAAGGTCGCCTTGGTAGGGAGGACAAGTCGTGTTATTCAGCATGATGAAACTTCAATGGCGAACGTTAAGATCCAATTCTTGATAAAGTACAGCACGAAAATACTTCATGCGAAATAACCTCTTGCACCAAAATAGAGCTAGAGATTTATTGCAGCTAACTGCAATATCGATGAAAACTATTTCTGACCCCTTAAATTTCTCTGCTCGATAGCTCTTCGTTTCTGCTCGTTACATATATCCAGCACTACTTGTTCATTCCACTGCCCAGCCTTAGATCGCAGTTTTCTTTTTTCCAGAAACTTTTTATCTTAATCTCTATAGGTGGTATTTCAAATCAAACAGATCAATTCAATACATGCATAAACAAGTTTTGAAGATAGCAGTGTTTACCTCGCCGCTTGATTTCCGGAATCTTTCTTAATGGAAATTTGTTGATTACTTATGAACTTTACGTTTCATACATATAGTGGAAAAATGAATCACGCTGATAAGAACAGCCTTTGCTTTTAAAATGATCCAAAATGAAATAACGTTTGAACATTTAATTTTTTTTTAATATTTTTATTTACTCGCACTCGATTTCTGTCTTCATTTGCATGAGAATAGAATCACAAGGTAAAAGGAATTATTTAATAGGAAAGAGGAAACTTCGAGACTGAATCCAGCTACAGGTACTACTCTAAATGTAACTCCCCTTAAGCTACCGCTTAACCGATTGATCTCTCGAAAAGTAAAAATGTTAATCATGAATAAACACACGTCCAAAGTAAAACTTTTATACTCGCATAAACCTTTCACAGGCCATTTAACTATACTAAGTGTTGTGTAGTTTACCAGGAAAGATAACTGTTCAACTTCGCTCCAATCTAAAACAAAGCCCAAGTCCCACAGATAGTCTATTATTCTCGTCATTGTTTTATATTTATCAAAGAACTGCATGCAACGGAAATCTTGCCTTCGCAGTTTTGACCTAGCTTAAATTAGATAAGGTTCTGAATCCAGCTACAGGTCTTACTCTAAATATAATTCGCCTCAAGTTACTGCATAACTGAGTTTCAGCTGAGGGACGCAAAATGTATGTTCTTAAATGCTGACAAACGATCAACTAGCCACTATCTTGGTTTCACTTTCTACTTTTTTTTGCAATTAATTTTAAGACTATTTCTTCTAAAGAAAGTACCTTTATTGAAAAATATAGAACATAATTATACCATCCACAATTTTTATTTTTTCATCTCATGGAGAGGTTTTAATTATTAATGATCTTTCTTTCAAATTTTATCCGGTTTATTTGGGGTTGATAACATTAAATTTACTGCCTACCATAAGAAAACACGCAAAAGCCAATAAATATATGATTTAATTGCAGAGGAAGTGAACTATATTTAGATAAGCGTGGCTTTTGTAATCTTTCCCTTCAATAGCCTTTAGCTGTATGTTTTTAAGCAAAATGAACAGGTTTCCTCTTTGCGAAGAATCGAAGATTTTCACCCGTTCTTTCGAATACACTAATGCCACGCAAAACTAAATATAGGACTGAACTTGATGTTGGATTTATCTCATTTTATGACTTTTTAATGGGAACTGATAGGAAGCCTTCCACTTGTGAATACGGTAATTTACTTTAAAAGTCGAGAAAGGAAGTTGAAATTTAAGCAGAGCAATACAAAGAAAACAACGAATATAGGTGAAGATCCACAAAAAATCTGTTGTTGAATGCTTTTTTTTGTCACTAAATGTATGTTGTACCGAAAAAAATTTTCGAAAAGAGAGGAATAAACCCGGAATGAACCGTAACTTTGGCATCCTAGCTGAACAGAGAAGCTTTAAAAACAATCTTGATAAACCCGCTCCTTTGCTAAAGATTTAAGTCAGTCGCTACTACGTTCCTCACCCTTGGTCAAACTAATGTGTCAGACAGTGAGCCTCTAGAGCATGAGTGCAATATTCTACATTTTGTTATTAATTTTTCTTTTCAATTTGCCTTTGGGTTGTATTTTGTATTTCATTTTTAACAGCTGGAGCATTGCCTGCAGGCTATCTGTGGGTCCATGTATTCCCGTCATCAATTTTTGACATCCATTGTATACAAGTATGTGTAAAAAGTGGGTAAACATATTCCAATTTTGTTCAGTTACACAAGTCAAATGCATTGTCCATAAACCATTTGAAATTAAATATGAAATTGACCATGATGAACATGCTGAAAGGGAATTTTTTTTTTTCAAGAATCTCACTAGAGTGATGGCTTTTACGGCTAACGGTCAAACTTTGCGCCTAAGTAGTCTTGAGGAACATTCAAACGCTCAGAACGGTCGTAAGCCGTCTATTTTTGCTAGCGAAAGCCGGCAAATTCAAGACAGATGAGTTTGTCCAAGTGCCAAATAAATCTTTCTTGCTCGATCCGTACTGAGGAATATTAGCCCTCGGCTGTTTTTTTTACGCACAATCACGATCTCGAGCCGATATTGCATCGTACGCCCCCCGTTAGTAACAAGTTCTTTTTTCATAACACATTGACCACCGATTAAGTTACCTTTAGGCACCTGAACCAACTGTTCCACGATAGAATGTGTAAAAATAGTAACCGTATTAGCCACAAGCCAAAAACATAACGGTCTAGGATTTTAAGACTTTCAAAATGACACATCGTCATTTAGGAAAATTTTTTTACGGTTAACCATTTCGTGACTAAAGTTTAAAGTTTGTCAATTTTTATCCGTAACGGCTAGATTTTTTTGTCTTTTTACGGCTAATGGTTAACTCTATTGAGAACCTCTTTCTTTAGTTGCTAAATAGCTGTTTGAGGCTGGTGCGAATCTCCCGCATTCTCCAAAGAAACAACCCTGGGTTAAGTGAAGATGACAAAAATATTAGCACCGCTGACGAATTTCTAGCGATGATTGTCAATCTCCAGTTCGTTCTTTCTGTAAAAATTATCGCATTGCATACAACATAAGGTATAAAACAAATACTAAAGAAAAACATGATATACAATATGAATGCAACAGATTTCTTGTGCTTGGCTAAGTCTACTGAAGAGTGACACGAGTTTTGAGAGATGCCACTGGACTGAACTTGAAACTGATGACGAAGAATAATGCGATAGACTTTGAAGCGAGCGATGTGACGAGATAACACAACGAAATCTCCGCCATCATCATCATACGAAATATACGTAGAGAAGCAAAGAAGTAAATAGTTATTGAGGGGATAGGAAAGAGAAATATTGCGATAGCAATGAAATTTCGACGATGTGTTGTCATAAAGGATCTTGGAGACATGAACAGACATCTTTCAATAGCCATCACTGTTATGGTAACCAACGTAATGCTAATGAAAAAGGCAGCACTGCTCACGGTGATAACATCTATGGCATCAACTAGCAATTGATTATCCTGTGTCACAATCAAGTTTTTTGCATCCATAAAGAGGCTTGCAGTTAAAAAGGCTGAGCGATTAGACCTGTCAAAAAGTCAGTTAATGCAGTTGATGTTCTCGCAGAAGTCTTCCTCCAAACTGCCGCCAGAACGAACGCATTTCCCACCACTGCCATGGGTGAGGAACACGCGATAACCACGGCCGCGAAGAAACCAACTTCTTTGCGAAAGGATTCAATCATTTTTCCTTCGAAATCTTTCATGTTGCGAGAAGCAGAAAAGTTTTGATGAGAACGTAACCAACAGTCGTGTTATGAAACATTGTTCCCTCGATGGTGAAGGTTACATCTCCCATATGCTTTCTCAAAGGGCCGGCTTAGTGGCGATCAAGACAGAAAGTTAAACTTTCTGTCTTGATCGATATAATCGATCACAACTAACACTTAACGATTTCCTTCTCGCCAAGTGATGGGTATATCACACCTCATGAGGAAACGAATAACATTCTTTGGTCACTGCTCAGCTTTATGCAATAATTGATTCACTTCTTTGCACTTGCTTGTCTCGTAGAACAGGTGACGTTTTTCAAAAACTTGCGTTAAACGTTTTTATTTTCTGTGGAAATCAGCAAGTTGTTGTTGTTGTTGTTGTTTTTTCGGTACCTGTTTCAATCTGGGCCCAGGAGTTCATATATGGTGCTATATATCCACCGTACAGATATTTCTGCAGAGGTTAGCGTTATCCACCCCTCGAACAACCGGGGCCTTATTTGTGTTCTCTTATTTTTAAAGTAGAGCTTTCCGAACCTTACTCATTGAGTTCGATCATGCTGACAATATTGGCCTTTAAACAACTGCTATACAAACTCATTTAAGGTGCTAAAGCTAAACAAGAATTGAAATAGATGTTAAAACTTTCATCAAGTTTTCAGCTTACTATGGCAGTTTATTTCTTATTGGTAATTAAGACCTACAAGTGGGGAAAACTGAGTGGCAACCACGAGAGGGTGAACAAAATGGTAAAAAAAAATAATTCTACGGCTTCTTTTTGCAAGAAAATGTTTATTCATCCATAGCTCATGAAGATTCACGTTGAGTTTCGTTCAGATTGGACATGGTTTGATGCTACTCTGGTTTAAAGATTCAGTGAATGTAACTAAAAAGTTACAATTCAAAAACGTTTCGATGCACCTGTCTAGTGCCCTCATCAGGGGTGATCTAATCGTTGCAACAAGAGGTGCCTTTATACGCTAACTAGAGCTGCCCTTTTGTCGGACGAGGTGTAAATAAGCGTCAGGTAGTAAGCTGCCAACATCGTGATTTAAAGGAGCGTGGGCGGAGTTGATATGCCAGGCTTCTGAACAAAGACACTGTTGATAACGGCGATTAGTGAGAATCATTTTAGAATTATTCCACCCAATTGAATGGTTAATTAGTCATGAGTGCTCCGAAAAAGCTGAATTTTCTTGATTGCAAAAGAAGACCGCTTTTTAATGCTCTTGCAAACGTGTAGGGGAATTTAGAGACAGGTGTTTATCGTCAACCCACCCACACCGACCAACACCTTGTTTTCGACTCTCACCTCCCTATTTGCCATAAAAAGCCTGTAGCTAAAAAAATTTCTCAGGAGGACTGACTGTCTACCATCTTCACTTGATACGAAAACTGAGGAGAGAAAATATGTTTCGGACGTCCTAAAGGTAAATGGCTATACCAAAAAAATTCTCCGTAACTGCCAGAAACCAGTTACAACTAGTAACACTCCTGATCAGAAGGAACCAGCGACTGGTTTTGCTGTTATTCCTTACATTTAGGGTGTTACAGAACCCATCGAGAGAATTTGGAATAACCACAACGTTTAAGTTTCTTCAAGGCCTTTTTAGACTTTAGGGCATATTTTTGCCAAACCTAAGGATCCTGTCACGAAAGAACAACGACTCGACGCTACTTATTCTATTCTGTTCAATGACTGTGATCGCGAGTATATCGGACAGACCAAACGTCAGTTTGGTAGATTCAGGCGTAAACCAGTCATCGTCTTTCAAAGAGATTTTCTTAGCCCAATAACAGTCAAGTGATAACAAGTAAAGGTTAATGTTGGGTTTGGGGAGAGTAGGTGCGCAATTTCTCAGAAACTGACATTAATAAAAATTTCCTTCAGTTATTACCATGCAACAGCCTTGATACAAAGAACCGCCCATGATCTTCTCACAGCTGGAGCTTGGGCTGCCTGTGGTCTGACCCTAGAAGATGCAAGAAAAATTCAACACCTTCCTGCTGATTGAAATTCACAGACCTTTGCTTCTTTCATAGTTTGAAATTGCACTTTTGTTATCATTTAAAGATTTTCCTGTTGCCAGGGTATTAGGCTATAGCGCAAGGATAAAAAATGATGCTGATTGCGATAAAGTCTAACCAAACAAAGAGTAATAATTTTCAATTTACTTGCTCATTATTTCTCTTCCGTTTTGCATTTTGTTTTACATTCTGAAAGTCAATTAAAAGCCAAATATAAAAATAAAATTGACTAAGATGTCAGTCGCCTGATGGAGGTAACTATATGTCAAAAAGCTTTTGGAACTTCCTTTATTGAATAAAAGGGAATTAGTTGATGAAAGGAGATCAGTCGCCGAACTAATTAAAAAACGTTATCACGGAAAAAAAACGATGAAAAAAGTTTCTATTTGTTTTAGTTTACTCCGTGATAATTACGATTCGCAGGCTTTAAGATTGATGCATACAGCCATTGTTAAAAACGACCCCCTGTTGTCAATAACTAAGAATATTTCAATTTGGCGTTCAAGCGGTCAGTCATTTTATATAAACAATGTAAAAATATCATTTTAAGTTTCTTATTAGAGCATAGCGCTGGCTTAGTTCTGGATTTTAGATTTTTCGACATCAACTATTTTGGACCAGGCTGTCCTGTTCGCAACAGAAGCCATACCATGTTCAACAACACAACTATTCATTTCCAGCAAAAATCTAATTCCCATCTAACATCAGAGGACATAGCAAATAATATTCGTGCCTTTTATTTATCAACGTCTATTGTCCTCACTGTTTCATCGCCCGTGGCAGTGGTGGGGAATACGCTGATTTTGGCAACAGTTTGGAGGAGGACATTCGCCAGAACATCATTCCATATTCTCCTCAGTGGTTTAGCGCTCACTGACTTTTGTACTGGTCTCATCGTTCAACCTTTCTATGCTGGGTTCCATTTGTCATATTCAAAAAAATCCGTCTCGGAGCACGATTTGCCGATGGCAATTGTTCGTATAATCTTCGTGAGTGGTGGCATCTACTTCGTTACTGTCACGATGGTTACTATAACACTAATGTCCATTGAACGATGGCTGCACATGTCTCGAAGATTTCATCTTACATCAAATCGAAGACGTTTCACGACCATATTGAGCATGATCTTGCTCTGTCCGACTCCAGCTATAGTCGTTCGCCTTAATGGTATTGAAGACAATCTTTTTTCTGCTTTAGTTCTGGCAGAGATGTTGTCTTGTTATCTTCTCACATTTTTCGCCCATTTTAAAGTTTACCAAATTATTCGTCGGCATCAGCACCAAATACAAGCCAGTAATTTATCTCAGAACTTTGGTCAACCCGCAATAGACTTAGCGAAATACAAGAAGTCTGTATCATCCATGGTTTACATCTTACTCTTGTTTTCCATCTGCTACATACCCTACATTGTTAGCATTTTGATTCCTTTCATTTTTACTCCTACGGATGACATAAAACTTCTGTTTGCTAGAGAAACGTCAATAGTACTTTGTTTTTTGTCATCATCTCTCAACCCAGGTTTATACCTTTGGAGAATGAGAGATTTGCGCAATGGCCTAAAACAAATTTTTACGAGCTGAAACAGTTATAGGAAGACGTTGATTTTTCATATGTTGTGATTGCATTCTATAGGTTTCTTTGATAGAGCAATAGTTTTGAATTGTTTTAAAAAGTAGCAGTTTATTGTAAAAAGGCTTTCAAAGGACCCTAACGAAAACGATAGACCTTATAACACTTGTGCATAATCATTAAAGAGAATAAAGAAAAAAAAGGCAATTCTGGTATAGGTGACTTTCGATGTACGAAGTGTATCAGTGATGGTTACCGGCTTCGGCGCACAACTCAAGATCTGCAAGTAAAAAAACCTGAAAGATAACCATAGCGGGGTAAACAAAACGGTACAAAAAGATAAGCTGAACTATGGTTTATTCAAGCAAGGAAACGTAGCGTCATTTGAAGCTCGTGAAGATCGTTGACTTTCTCTAAAGCGCCTTTCGGTCATCATCATTGTTTTCATCCTCATTTTCATAAAAGCAATTTTAAAGCCCAGGTTTAATTCAGCGAACGTTTTTCAAAGAGATGTTTGCAGATGTTTGCAGAGATGTTTGCAGATGTTAGCAGCTGTTCATAGTTCAATCATTAGTGTGATACCGAGAAAAATTCCGAGTTCCCAATTTTTTCCATGCCAGATGTGAAGGATGATCTTGATAGTACAAGCTCTTCGAAAGGTTTGGATCGATGCCATTCTCTGAGCAACTGCTCATGATCACCAACCCCTCCCTTGAACCAACAACAGTCAACTGATAAAAAGTCCAATTTCAATGTTGTGTGAGGGGAGGGGTAGGTGTACAATTGCTCAGATAATTACATTGATCCAAATATCTATCGGTCAATACTGGGCAACAACCCTGCTACAAAGAACCGATTGTGCGCCGGTCTAACCTATGAAGGTGCAACAAAATTAAACACGTGACTGAAAAGTGGAACAAACAGAGCTTTCCTTTTATTAAATTTGAAATTGCAACATTTCTGTCTTTTGTTATCAATTAAATATTTTTCTGTTGCCAGGGCATCAGACTACAAGGCATAGACCAGAAAGGCTTTCATCATCTCTGCTGATTGCAGTAAAATTTAACCAAACTCGAATTAATAATTTTCAATTTACTTGCTCCCTACTTTTCCTCCGTTTTGCATTTTTTTTAACTTTGAAAGTCAATTAACAGCAAAGAAAAAATATAATTAACTGTGATGTAGAATTGCTTGATGGAGGTCAGTACATTTCCGAAAGCTTTCACTACTTCCTTTGCTAAAAAACGGGAAATCCATAACTGTAAAAATATGAAAATCATATAAGTGCACTGCGGTTGAAGAAACGACTATAGAAGCGATCTTCGCAGTTATGAACACTATTTAACTGGTAGTTGAAAGGTCTATCAAATAAAAATTTTGAATTGCTAACTGAAGGGAACATTCATGTAAATTTTTTTGGCAAAATCTCAGTTCAACTTCTTTTACTGGGAAGTTTTTTTCTTGGTGAAAAATTGAGAAGGTTTTTAAAACTGTTATTTTTCAAAAAATCCAGTTTTTTTTCCGCTGCTTGACATCTTGGACTCTTTGGGGTAAAATTTGATGTAATCGAATGCTTGCTAAAGTTGTATTGAATGAGTCGGGTGAGCAGACCCTGGGAACGAAAAACTCGTTTGTTGATTCCAGTCTTCCTCGTCTTTAAGCAACATGGCTGAAGGGTTGATTAAGAATTATCTTGGACTAACTATACTGCCTTGATTTGTCAAGATCAATGTAAAGTTTAAGGAAAATAATGACACAAAGGGAGAAGAAGCGTGTTCGTGTCTACACAGGGGTAACAAAAGAGATCTTCGAGTCAGATATAGCTTCTAAGCGTAAGCCAGCGCTTCTACGAGGACTCGATATTGGCAGTGCTTGTGGAAAGTGGTCACCGGAATATCTTGCTCAGCATGGCGGTGAAAAGACAGTGAAGGTTCACGTCTGTCCTTCTGGGAAGATGGACTTTATTCACAAAAACTTTGCATACAAGTAAGGCTCTAAAAAAAATCAGGCTAAGGCGTGATAAGATAACGCAAAAGGACAGGGTACACAGTATAGTTCATGTACCTGAGTTTACAGTTAAAAATACCTTTCTTCTATCCTAGTCTTTGAGAGATGTGATATGCTTAATTTATTTTAAAAAGAAATTTCTAAGTGTTTTTCCTTCTTGGGTATGGTTTTCAGCTGTGATGAGCCCTTGGTCAGCAAAAGTGAGTGTCAAATCCAACACTAATGTTCCATTGCAAATGGAGAAGAATTACAACCTCCTCTTGAACCCAAATGACCCATGACCAGATTCAGCGTCATATTGTTACTGATTCCCCAATTAATATAAAATAAGGGGATAATCAAATTGTTATCATATAAAGTTGGCAGATTGCTACAAGTGACTGACTGAATATGATTGCTTGAAAGTGCTGATGAGCCCTTGGTCACCAAATGTGAAAGTCAAATCCATCACTAATGTTCCATTGCAAATGGAAAAGAATTGCAAACTCCCTTTGTACCCAAATGACCTTTGACCTAATTCAGTGTGGTATTGTTACTGATTCTCCCATGAATTTGAAATAAGGGGACTATCAACGTTATTATGAATGGTTGGCTGGAGGAGTAATTGTTACAAGTGGCTGACTAAACATGATTGCATCAAAGTGTTCTCGTTCAACTGCCTTACTGTCAAAAAAATATGAGCCCTTTTGGAAAATACATTTTTCCTTTCATTTTGTTTTGTTTTATATTTTTTCCTTTCCTTTGTTTGTTTGATTTTGTTGCTGTAGTATTTGTTGTTGTTTGTTATTTTGGTCTTTACTCTATAATACAGATATACTCAATAACAATATATTCCAATTAGTCATAAGGAGAGACGAACTTTTGATCTTTCTTTTAACCCTTAAACTCCCAGATCAAATTTGTCATTCTCCTAATGTCAACCATACAATTCTTATAATGTTAGGTCAAAGAATTTAGTACTGGATCAACTACTTATCCCCAAATTGATATTTTACTTCATTCTCATCACTTGTCTGGTTGATACTGTAATAATATTGTAAGGAGAAATTCTGTCTTGGTCACTCATGGGAGTTAAAGTGTAATAATAGTTTGGATGCTTTACCACAGGGCTTTATAAAGTTCTCATCAAAATGTGCTTCCTTAAAGTCTATTTCCATCTTAAAACTACTCCAGCTTATATATAAGCAAGCCTGGCTTGTAAAACTGACCTCTTCAAGGGAGGAGAAGGAAAGAAATCACCCCCGCTGGTTCCTCTTTTGGAAAAAAAATTTAATAACTTGTGAGTGAATTAGAAATCTTTACTTTAATGCTCTCTTTAACCCTTTAACTCCCAGATCAAATTTGTAATTCTCCTTACTGTCAACCATACAATTCTTATGACATTAGTTCAGAGAATTTAGTATTGGATCAACTAATTATTCCCAAATTGATATATTTCTTTATTCTCATCACTTATCTGGTTGATATTGTGTTAATATAGTAAGGAGAAATTCTTTCCTGGTCACTCATAGGAGTTAAAGGGTTAATGCCTACAGGTATTAGCCCTCCTCCTCACAAGACCTTCCATGACTATTTTTTAGAGGGTTGGACATTTTCACAAACCTCACAATGCCTTCTCTTTTTATTTTTTAATTTCATTTTCAGAACTCTTCCATTTAACAAATTTGTCATGCGGACTAGTGAAACTGTTCATAAAGAATATTTTATTTGCCCAGTAAGTACTTTAAATACATAAAACTCTTAATGGTTAATAAATATTAGTGAATAAATATAACCCAGACAAGTACAGGATTTTCCTCAAAAACCCCTTACCAGCACTGTATGGCAACCTGTAAGACCTCTTGCTGTTGTATTATTTGAACCCTTTAAAAGGCTAATAGTGATTAACATCTAGTATCTCCTTACAATATCACCTCATTAACATTAGGGTCATGAGAGTAAAGGAAATGATCACCAACTAAAGAAGCTCTTGATTGTAAAACAGATTCAAATCCTGTACAGGCCTGAATTTTTTTCAGGCCTTATTTTCACTACTGCCTAAGTAGTGCACATTACTGCGAGGATCACTTTCATTCACGTCTTTATCCGCAGTTCAAATATATATGACTTTCATATATTCTTAACCGTTTATTTCATCACTTCACGGGTTTATTTAGAACCAGCTCCCAGTTGGCTTGTTAGCTCAGTTGGTAGAGCGCTGCACTGGTATCGCAGAGGTCATGGGTTCAAATCCCATACAGGCCTGAATTGTTTTTTTTTTCAGGCCTTATTTTCACTACTGCGAGGATCACTGTCTTTCATTCACGTCAAAACAGATTCTCTTTGTTAACACCTTAGGAAATGTATAGAGAGCAGTATAGAGAATAAGCATACTGATCTTAGGGTGTAAAACAGTTAATTAGATATTGTATATCATTAAAAAAAACAAACAAACAAAGAGATTATGGTTAACAGAATGTTATTTGTGGTGAATTAAATATTAGAGTACATAGGTAACTGTATTCATGTTTGTCTCAGAATGTAGCCACTTCTGATCTGGGGGGTGATTCATATTGACTACATCTGATGCAACAAATGACTACACTTCATTATTACTAGATGATTAAAGAAGTAACATGCAAGAGTTCCAATTTTTTTAATCATTAAGGTGAAGACTAGAAATCTGATACTTAACCTTTTAACTCCCAAGATCTCATTAGTAATTCTCCTTACTGTCTACCATACAGTTCTTGTGATGTTGGTTTGGAGAATTTGGTATTGGATCAACTTATAATCCCTTAACTGATATTTTTCTTTTTTCTCATCTTTTGCCTGCTTGATATTGTATTGATATTGTAAGGAGAAATGCTGTCTTGGTCACTCATGGGAGTTAACTTACAATTTTTTTTTTCCTCAGGAGGAGAAATATTATCTAAGATCTCTTGGAGATGATCCTAGAAAGGTATGAAATTAATTTACACTGTACTCAACATTTTAACTCCTGGAAGTGATTAGCATGAAACTTCTCCCTATAATATCCATCCAAACAGGTGTATGAATATATTCAAACTCATCAGGTAGAAGCTACTTCGTTGATCTAGCACCAAGTTCTCATAACTAATTTACAAGCAAATGTGTAGCAGCTTGAGGGGAGAATTAACAATGAGATCTTGGGAGTTAAAGGGTTAAATTTTGCTTCCAGATATCATGTTAGGCTCAAACTGTCCTAAGGTCTTGTATGTAGAGAAGTAGGGTTGATAAGGACTCTGGAGAAAATGAATTTAAATTAAGCTATAATTTTTTATTTCAATATCACATGCTTTATATTATAATACAGTCCTTTTTACTCTTTTGTGTTTTTGTTTTGTTAGGATATCTCTGACATCACAATTCAGTTCCCTAGCTTAGCTCAAGATATAAAAATCCCAAAGTTGTACCCAGAGGACAGATTCTTTTCAAGTGTGTTCAGAATCAGTTCAGCACAAGGGCAGTTGTGGACACATTATGATGTAAGTTAAATGATAATGTATTTCTTATCCACAACATAAAGGTTTGATTTAATTATTATTGTATGGCAAGGTAGTCTTGAGTTAAATCCAAGGATTCTGATTGGTTCATACTTGGTCTGGATTTTGCCAAAAGGACCATTTCTATGGAAAAGGTCATATGCCAGTTATTTTTGCTCTCAACATCTGCTGGAAAATTCAAAATGAACAAGTTTGGTCTAGGTACCATGTAAACTGCTTGCTAATCTCATTTGCTTGAGTCACAATTTGGAATATGGTTTCTCAGTCATTTTGTACAGACCTTGAGCTACCACAAGGTCATGCCAATATTTCTCAGTAGGGCCCTGGTGCCTGGTTAGTAAAAGTTTTTGTTTCATTCGTTTGACTAATCTTCCAGTTCATCATGAATGACACTTTCATATTTGTCTGTGAAAGAAAAGTAGGTGGGAATTGAATGATGTTGAAAGGGAATGGTTTTTATTGAAAGTGACTTCAGAAAAGCCACTCATGCGTGGACATCGTGAATGTCTATATTGATTCTTGGTCTCTGGTTCTCATTGATGCTTCTTGGTGGAGAAGGAAACTAGAAGAGTAAAGAACACAAACATGAACCGTAGCCTTGATGAAACCCAAAAATGGAGAAAGTGAGGCCCTAGAAGTCCCCTCTTCTGCGTAGAAATGACAGTAAACTTGAAACAAACCAGCCCAAACTTAAACTATCCTCTCTACAGGTATTAACCAAAATCACTGCTATTTACTGGTTTCATGTCATCAGTTTGGTATCATCATTCACAACAAATAATTATTGTTGGTCGTTCAAATGACTTTAACCTTTTACATCCTAGTATTGCTTTGCATATCCATCGTATTACTGTTCTCTATATAATGACATGGAAAAATTGCTTCATCATTCAGTGGACATTTCCTTCATTGTCTTGACCTTGATGTTTGATACAGTAGTAGTAATATGAGGCGAAATTGGATACAAGTCACTCTAGGGATCAAAGGTTTAGTTAGATAACTGCTCTTCTGATAGAAACAGACTGATTAACTTTGTGGCGCTGAGAGTGAAGTGAAGGGTCCTCAGAAACTAGTCAAGTGAGTGACCGGGTGGAGTACATGACAGGATGGAGGGCGTGACAGGTTGGAGGGCTTAATAGGATGGAGGGCGTGACAGGTTGGGGTGTGACAGGATAGAGGACGTGACAGAATGGAGGATGTGACAGGGTGGAGGGCGTTAGCACTACTCTATTACAGGTAGCAGTTTTGGAGTTGCCTTGATAGGTAACCATTACTCTTGGGTGCAGTAAGCCAGTGTGAGAGTAAATTGTCTTGTTCGTGTTAACAACCTAAACTAATGTAGGTCAAGGGCACCTTTGGTGTGGAGTGAAATGCTTGCAAATAGGGCTCTTCGTTCTCTTGGCTGGATTACAAGATCACCAGCCACAATGAATCACTCAGTTGTGTTTGTTTGTTTTTTGCTTATTTTGGCAATAGAAAGTATTTTCCCAGCTTACTCTAATTTTCCCTTGACAGTTCAGTGCTCAGAGCTAGTAGCCTGGATTTCCCTATCAGCTTGTACCCTTTTTGTATATTTAAGTCACAGTGATCTATATATCACTGTATTTCACTTTACTCTGTTGGCACACTGCTGGTTGTATCAGTATGCGAGACCTGTGAACTGATACAAAACAGGCGTATTGCTGAGCTTGGCTCCAGTTCGCCAGAGCTAAAAATGAAAGCATGCGACCAGCATTCAGAACGTCGTGAGATCCAAACTTCATCAAGCACTTTGAGTAATTGTTTCTTGCACACACCGGTGATAAGCGAATCTTAAAATTCTTCTTTGATTTCTACAGATTATGGACAACCTCCTTATTCAAGTAACGGGAAGGAAACGCGTTGTCCTCTACAGTCCAAAAGATGCAACAAAACTGTATTTAAATGGTGATAAATCAGAAGTCTTAGATATTGATCGGCCAGACTTAACCAAGTATCCAAAATTTGCAGAAGCAACGCCCTTTGAGTGCTTCTTAGAACCTGGTGATGTTTTGTTTATTCCTGCTATGTGGTTCCACAATGTGATTTCTCTACAGTTTGGAGTAGCAGTTAATGTATTTTGGCGTCATTTAGATATGGGCTTTTATGACAGTAAGGACACGTACGGCAATAAGGATTTGGTCCCTGCCGCAAGGGCCATGCAAATAATGGACCGTGCTATCAAAGCGTTAGAGGAGCTTCCTGAGGAGTATAAAGATTTTTATGCCAGAAGGGTAGTTTGTAAAATTGAAGACAGATGCTTTAGTCGTGAAGACAGGAACAGTTCTAGCGGTGTTAATGGTGATTCTACAGAAGATGAATAAATTGGTTCAAGTGTGAAAGTGACACATTTGTGTCCAACAAAACTAGTCTTAGCCCAGCTCTTTGCACTAGTGGGGGTACGCGCGAAGATGGCTCACGCGCGAAAGGTGAGACACGCGCGAAAAGCGACTCTCGCGCAAGAGGGTTAGAGCACGTTTGACCGAGAAGACAATCCTCAGAGGGCATGCTTAACGGAAGGAATTCCTTGCCCTTCTACATAACTTAATAAGTTATTTCTTAGAAGTACAACTGGAGCTGTAACCTAGCTCTCAACCGGTTACAAGATATATGAAAAGTGAGGTAATTTTTATAGAGTCGAATGTCCTTAATACAGCATAACAACTTGACTTACAATCCCCGTTTGCGAGATCTTTGGAATTAAACAAAACAAATCATGTCGCTAGCCTTGTAATTTTGGTTAAAGAGAGTTTTGTCAAAACCCAATTACTACTTGTGCCATCTCTAAATTTTCCTTATGACAAGCACGTGCACGACTAAGGTCATTAGCTTCTCAAGGTAAACTTATTAATTCAACAAAAAAGCGACAATTTCACCTCACAACACTCTGTTACAAAAACTTGTAATGTATCATTTTGGTTAACGAGCTGGAATTGTCAACAGCGACTTTGAAGTATTATTACACTGGACCTAGTTGATGTTTGCCTGAGCGATAATTTACAAAAGGAATTGTGTTATTAGAGAAATGCATCCAGATTCAGGACATCGGGTGTTTGATTTTTTTTATTTCAATTAAAGAAAAATCATGAAATATAGCAAAGATGAGATGAAGTTCACCAAATTATAGCTCTAGATGATATTAATTTTAAATTACTTTACGAGTCCTCATTGTCAAAGGTAATCGAAAACCGTGTAACTTTTAATGAAGAAATAGGAGTGTTTTAAAAAAGTCAACAAATTTCTTCCGTGTCGATTGTCAAAAAAGCAATCAAAGAAAACCTTTAATTTTCTGAGTGTGTCTTAACTCAAGTTTCGGAAATGAAGAGAGCCGCATTAAGTAACACGATGCAATATCTTTAGACGACATTTTAAAAACCTGCCCTCTGGAAATTCATTGTTCGCTATTGAATGGGGTTTAGCTTCGAATTAAAATCTTGCAGCTAAAGAACACATTTTCCCTATATTTGAAAAATTTTTTTTGACTAATTATTTGTTCCATGCAAATTGTCTGTAACAAAACTCCTTCTTTTCAGCGACTGTGAAACAAACTTCCGATTTTGAGTAAACACAATTTAAACAGATGTGGATTGCTTCATTTTATTACCAAATGGCTCTTAAAACAAGTGTAAGTTTGTTTATTTTCAGTTGCGATATAATTGGATCGAAGGAAAAAACTGAGAACATGCCAGCCATTCTTGAAAGAGAAGAATCGTCCGCTCACATTAAAAGGCGATCAAGGGATTATCGGAAAAGAGCTGAAATGTGAAGACTTTCCGGTCACACATGGACATCTGAAGGTACGATTGCATCATCTAATTTGGAAAAAAAATGAAAGGAAAAAAAAATGAAGTTATCGTTCTGCTTCATCGAATGATTTCTTTGCAGGTGTGCATGTAACCTCTCTTTTTTGTCGTTTGTCACCAAATATACAAAATACCAACAACTTGTTCGAACGAAAGGGGCTTTCGTAGCTCGAATAATAGTGAAAAGGCTGAAAAAAAAGGTCTTAATCTATAAGGGCCAATTTTCAAGCATCGAGTATTTTTAAAATTCCATTTTAGCCACATTTGTACTTTCTCTGAATTATTCTCAAGAAGCAAATAGTAATTGTTTTTTTCGAGTGCCTTCGGGAATTTGGTGCTCTATCCAAAAAGTATCTCCTTTATTCTCAATACGTGATTGCTCGACAGTGTTTAAACGTGGTAAAGTGAATTTACAAATTGAGCGCACTTGGAATTCCAAGGCACATACCAGCTCAAATTTGCGCTACTGTGCGCAAAATTGGCAAAAAATAGCATAAACATTTAAAGAAGAGGTCATGAGAGAGACGCTAAGCTGATATTAAAACATTCTTTTTTGACACGGTTTTGACTACAATGTAGAAATTGAATTTACTTTGGTGGATGCTCAAACTTCTGAAGCACCTTATGCTCATTTCAATCTGGTTTTGCCAGTTTACAATCCTGTTTTCTTGTGATGAGCTTTTATTTCAATCAAAGCAAGGATGATATACAATTGACCAAAATATTATCGAGTGTCGAAGTAAATGTTTTCTTGCATTGGTTTTGTTATATTTCGCTATGTGATTAGTCAAAATAGCTCACACCACTCCTTCGACAAATTAGATCCAAGTTTGTAACAAATCGTGACGTGTTCTCTTGCATCTCCATGCGCATGATCAGTGGCGTTTCCTTGTTAACAATGTTAGCTTTTGAAATTGTTTCCACTTAATTTGATATCTCCCTTCGTTCTTATTTGACATCCGCGGTCTTGGTTTTACAATAAGTGGTCGGAGTGCCGTCAATTGCAATACCCCAGTAACCTTATCTGAAGTATTTGTTCTCTTGGACCGCCGCCATGACGGAAACACGCGCGTGAGACGTGTCTTCACCACCGATCTATAATCGCGTGTTTCCTCGCGCGTGTATCGCGTTGTTCAGGTCTCTGAGAGAATCTGGATACAGAGTGAGTCAGTGTTTTCAATATTTAAAAAGCCAGATTTTTAACAGACTAAACAACACTTTAGTTAGATGAAATGTTTCTCCGAGTAGTCTAGATAGACTACACATCAAAGAGAGGAAAATAAATGGGCTGTTTCGATTAACAGATACCCCAATTGCATGCGTCATTGCATGCATCAGAGAAGTCTTAGAAAATTAAACTCAGTTTTGTGGAATTGTGGTCCTCCTAAACCCACACTTTCTCCTGTCGTTTCAAAGGCCTGCTCGCTGGCAAAACAGGGTCACCTTTTTGAGAAGGTGATCACAAAAAGAGTTGATGGTCTCGATATTTTAAAGAAAATTCCTGTTGCTTAAACCTCTGACAAGAATTCGGCGTTTTCAAATTGTTTTACCTTTTCACACGCACGTGTTAAAAGTCTGAAAAGAAATGGGTAGAGCAGGATAATGGACTCTTAAATAAACCGGACATGCGGAATGAGGATATTTCATCAAGACTGTTTACTTTTTCCTTATCTCACGCATTAATTACAAACTATGTTTCGTTTTTGATTAATGTCGGTGTAATTGGAATTTTTTTTCATTAGCTCCCTAACTTAATATCGATAAGGTTTCGAAACGAGTTGGAAATTAATTTCACTGAAAACCGAAAGGTTTTGGACTCGTTCAGTGTAATACACCTGATTTCATTTCAATCAGTTTGATACGCGGGCTTATAAAAACCTGTAAATTTCGCTCGGTTAAATTCTCGTCTTCCACAACGCTACAAGTTTCTGGAATCATTTCTCGAACGACCGAGAAAAAACAAAAAGGAAAAGAAAGTAAGTTCAAAAACGAAAGGTATACAACCAATTCAAAATGACACTAATGATATCTGAGCGTAAACTTTTGTAAAGGTTGCTAATGGCATTAGTAGTCCATTACTTGATTTCGTAATGTTTGTAGATAAGAATTGTTGACCTGTTTGAATTTTTTAATCAAATTGAATGTACCTTCCTCTGAAACGGAAACACGCAGAGCCAATCATCCAGACTTTATTGTTACACCGTGTACTCGAGCTTAAATGCATGAGACAAAACAAACAGGATGATACAACGTGTTTGCACATTGGATAGAGCACTTGTGTGGCCATAACGAAGCATATTTTGGTCCAAATCCGTACCGCATCAACTCGTTTTTTAAACCTGCTGGAATTTTTCTAAGGTACGTGCGCGGATCTAAGTGAATTCTATATTATATTCTATAACTCGCTAGTTACCCGAGGCTATTATTGCGGTTGTTTTCGACGGCTAGCAAACTTGAGTCAGGTACAAGAGGTAGAAGACCTAAAGCGGAAATCACAAAGATCTTGCCGGTGAGTCAACTGGGGCAAGCACTGCTTTGAATAGTTCTTTTCTCTGCCTGTACAACTGTCCACCACAGGATTATCAGGTTTAAATGCGGTCCGCTGTAAAATTGCGTCCCGTGAGTTCAGGCCTGTGTTGTTCATTTTGGATCCAACTTCCGGTACACTGATGTTTGTTTTTTTTTCAATAAACAGTAGTAATAATTAGCTTCGAAAATTGATATCATCAACCAGGCAATATATATCTCAATATACCAGGAAGTTATATCGATCAAATGATAATTTTGGAAATGAAATGTCTATAATTAACCTTGAGAAGCATTTGGCACGGGTACATCTGTTTCTTCAGACGCACCGCGAATGTCACACATCAAGTCTCGAGAACTTGTCAAGCGTTGTTGCACTAACTCTTGACCCAAAATAACCGCAAAATCAGCCTAGATAGATGGCAAGATGGCTCGGAGAATCTTTCGTACGAAGATATGTACTTAGATATGAAATTATTTTGAATAACAACGTCCAAGCATACCGCATAAACTAAAGTCATGGACATAAAAGAAACGTGGGTGATATAAAAGTTTACGGATGTTATGTTTAGCGTCGTTGTTAGAGGTTCGTGATTAATTATGGAATTTGTTTCAGGTCACGTAGCTTATGCTGCACTGCTTTGTGTCTTGAAGCCTAAAAAAAGGAAAACATCCTGAAAAAATGGTCTTCTTTATGGTGACATAAAGCACTGCAACTGGGACTGACTTGTCGAAGCAAAATTACTGGCAATCTACCATACACTTTGTGAAGTTTTAATTACAAGTGCCTTAGATAACAAATGCACTCTTGTTCGAACAAGAACAAGGCTGAAAGTTCATGACTATTTACAATCGTGAACTGAACTGATATCGAGAGAGGCGGGAGGAACGGACAGAAAGTTGGCGTGCAATGCTTTTCCTCTTTTAGAGTTCTACACCCGATTTATTTTAAGACCCGACCAACCGCCCTCTCGTGAAAAATAGATTATCTGAAACTGAAAATTCTCCAATTACCTGATAAAAACCATAATCTCGGCTCACTTAAACAATCACCAGGGTGAGGAAGCCTTGGCCGCTTCGCACAACATTTGATCTGATAATTAAATTTCCCGATGTGAATAAAAACGGCTTTTTTGGGAAAAAAAGCCTCATCAAAATAGGTGGAATATATGATCTATAGATTGAACTATGCCCCCCCCATAGCGTTCCTTAACACTCTTCGTTGTTTGAACTAGCATGTTGGCACGTTTTAACCAGTGAGTTTTGGTATGGCAAGAATTAAGAATCAGGGTCAAGTTCTCATCAAATCTTTTCCGCACGAGATTATATTATTAATGAAATTACAAATTACAACCAGCTCATTATAATGTACCTACAAAGAAAAAAAAAGGCATATACTGCGGTTTCCTGAAACAACGTGTCGACAATGATTATTTTAATTTGGCCGTGAGGAGGATTGGGGAACCATTTCAGTGAGCGTACGATCCGCAGGTGATCGTCTGGTATAAGACGTTGATTGACATGTGATCGAAATCTTCTCGTGACTAAAAATCGATCAAGTTTCTTCCCCTATTGAAAACACAGGATGTATTGACGACAAATGCTGTAAGCGCTGTCGTATTTCTTATTACCTTGCAGCATATATATTGCACAGTTTTCAACTAGCTCCAGTCTGTGGCCTCAGTGCAAGATGCTTGTTGTAATTTTGACCGTTTTGACTCTGGTTCAGTTTGGAGAAGGGAAAAAATGTCCTGCCGAATGCACATGCTTTACGGTGGCGCGCAAAATGGAAGTAACATGCTTCAAGATGAGGTCTTTCCCATCCATGGACAGTTTCCCGGAAAATACAAGTACACTGTAAGTGGAAAACTTTTTTTCTATTTTTGTTTCTCATTATGGAGATTTAAACTTAACCTCGCTCTTCCTTCGTAAGGGGAATTGGCCTTTTTTCATTGTTGAATATGTACGAATAAACGTCATTCATTTCGTATGTAGGTGATGTGTTGTTTTGCACCGAATCTGACCTTCCTCGTGGCATTTCGCAATAGTTCGCTAGTGAGCTGTAGAAAATATTTTTGAAATATCCTTTGTCATTGAAAGTAGCTTGCTGAGCGGAAGTTTGCCTTTTCAAATTCTAATTTCAGAACCTAGTCGTGTTGCGGAACTCTCTTTTATTATTTCGTAACATTGTTTGCTTCCGTAGGACGTAATTCCTTTCTCACGGTAATTATTATCGTTTTGAGAAGTACGTGGACTTTGTAAGAGACTTTTGCACTCGATTACACAATATGGATGCTTTTTTTGTGCGAGTTGTACGTATTCTTGGTAGAAAATCGGTTTCAGCGCATCGATTGAGGTCTCAATTCTACTAATGTCATGGTTATAATTATCAAAGGCCGTGGAATCCTATAATCACCCTACTTTTAGCGCGATCCCGCGTTCGGGTCAGATTACAGAATGTCAAACTCACGCTGCAGTAGATTCCATACTCGTGAACCAGTAATTGCAGCAAATAAAGTCAATCCCGCGGAGATTTTTACGTCACAGCTTTGCTAAGTAACTCTCGATTGCCCTTACTGTTTAGCTTCTTCTGTAAAACTGCTTATCCGAAAAACTATGGGCACAAGGTAATTTTAACCACGAGTTCTTTGCAAACATGTGTTATGCAAATAGTTAATGGCATGTTAATTTCTTCACTTAGACTATATGTCAACAGAAGTAACATCGCTTTAACAAGAATCTTTTTTTCGCCTCAATTACTGTTGATTTTTAATTATCTCGTAATTCCTACTTCCTGCACCTTAATGAAGTGTTCCATCACTGCTTCATCTTTCATATCTCCCTCAAGGGTAGATGGATAGATGTGTCGAAGAAATCTGCTGGCAAGCGTTTAAAATTCCCCTCTCGCTGCCCTACAAGCGTTTTTTGCCTGTTACTAGCTCACCCGTTTCAGCGATATTAGTGTTGTTTCTGTTTTGCGTTTTTCTTTGTCCATGACACGTGTCAACTTGAGAAGGGAATTTTATGGAAACTATTTGAAAGGCAGGTGAAATTGACTAAATAGTTTGTTGGATTTTTTTCTGTACCTTCCTTTTTCAGCTTTGGATCAAAAGTTTAAGAAGCCACATTTGTTTATTTTCGCCTAAAAAGATGTCAGAGCTTGTTTTATTATCTTCTATCACATAATCTCAAGTGGATGTTTTGAAATGACTTAATATTTTAATAAATTTTGGCAGAATGAGGTTTCGTGACTTGGACAACGTCGAGGTGCTCCTTGAAATACGGGAATTTGGCACGAACTTGCGACACGAAAACAAGTTTAGTTAAACACTCCGATTGAAAAACGTTTTTAATATTTTTAACATGATCCATTGTTTTCTCTTGAGGCGAGCTCTGACCCCTCAACAACAAGAAAACACTTCTATTTGGAAAACAGCTTTGTTATTTTTGTCTGAAGTTTCAAGCTCTAAGCTTAAATTTACACCTTTTACTACTTCTTAGGAAGTGCGGGTCTTTAGCTGGTATTTCTTACCACCCACGTAGAGTTCAATAAAAAATTCAAGCTTTGAATTTTAATCATTGTGACTAATCCTTTGAATGGCGAGCTTGCCTTGGGTCTAAATAATTTTTAAGGTTTTCTCGCCCCAGAGTTTCTGCATTACTGCCTAATTGAATCGTTGACATTTTGACTGAAACTGTAAATGTTGAAAATGGATCACTGACGCCGACAATCTTCTGCTCGCTTTCTTGATTAAACTACATTCTACCAGTTTCGAGAAGGGGACAAACTGCTGTGCCATTTTTTTTTTCTTTTCCATAATTGCACACGACTGATAAAAATTCTCAATTACTATTTTGCAGAGAACAAACAAATTTCGATCATTGGATTTAATTTGTCCTAAATTGTTTGTGAAAGAAAAAAAATTGTATAAACACTTTTTTTATCTCAAACGCAGAGTTAAGTAGATCGCGCGCTGATCGTCCAAAAAACGTTGTTCTTTTGCAATGATGAAAGGAAAGATAAAGCAGGTTTCCACGATGCTCCCTCTCGCCTCTGAAAGACATTGCAAATCGCCCCCTCTCCATATAAACACACAAAACTGCTACTCTCACAAAATTTTTTGTTACAAGAATGAGAGATTTGTTTTCCATCAGAAAGGGAATAACTTATTTCTTTTAATTTCTTGAATTTATTATCGAGAATTTTTTTCCTTTTTCTCTTTCTCCTTGCCATAATCTTGCCTCTTTTTGTCTCTTTTGACCATACGCGTGATGGAAATCTTGAAAAGGAAGCAACTCTTTTCATGCTATTTGCAAGAGTTGACATGTTTTTCACTGAAGTGTTGCCCTAATGTGGAAACAACAAAGGAATAATCGCTTACTGCATAATTTAAGACTTCTTCACAGTATGAAGTGCTGTCTTTGTTTTCAAGCCTTCTGCTACATGTAGTTAATTTTGTTTCAGGTAAGCGCACAGTATGCCAAAGAATAAAGGCATTTTCAACTGGTATTCAATACAGAGGAAATTTCTCCACGAATTCTGCTATAATTCTCATTAGCCTGACAAAAATTTTTTGTGAAGTGGGGTCTTCGTGAGGATACATTATTAATTCGAGTTTTTATTGTGACTGTAGACCCTGTCACGGGTATTTAGCGAAGCTTGCGTAACGAAAAAAACGTCCATTTCAAGGTAATAGTAACTCCCGAGCTAAAAATGTTTTCGTATGACACAGCATGACAAGGTGGTGGTACAGAAAATAAATGGGGAATAATACATGGGCGCGCGTAGATTTAAATTTCTCTTCAAATTGATCACGAGAAAAGAAATCCATATCTACCATGTATTATTTTGTTTATTATATAAACAATTTAGGCCTTTACTGACGAGGAAAGTCGGGCGAATGGCGCGAAAGGCGGGTGACGTGTCAGCAGCTCATTGGCAATATCGAACACGTAAAAAAATATCGTAATTTTAAACGGGAGATGATATGGTTTTTCTCAGGGCTGGAAATCCTTGTAAAACATCGCAGGAAGTGCTTAATAATCTAACACCATCAGGGAATTTTGCCCTGTCAAATCACGAGAGTAAAAGGATAATTTTTTGTTTTTTACAAAGTGCATTCTCTTTTCTGTCACCAGTACTCCATTTTATGTGTTAAACCATTGTTTTTACGTTGTTCTTTTTGTAGGAATATATATGACTCCTTGTTCTCAAACATACCCGAAGGCGAGCTGAATAAATTGAAGAACCTATCAATCATGTAAGTGTATATTATCTTCCATACTTTTTTCCCAGTTTTTTTATTCTTTTTACCAGCATCGGTAGCTAGTATCCTCTGTACAATTCCTTATAGCAAACTACCCTTAAGTAGACTTCGAAGAATAACTTTTTCATCATCTCGAGATGGCTGTGTTAAGGAAATTTAGCTAAATGAAAGTGAAACACCATGACAATTTGATATCATCAGCTGATATTATTATTATTATTATTATTATTATTATTTTTAATTATCAGTCGATAATTAACAACTATTACCTGTAGTGTAGGGGGCTAGTGGTTGATATTTCCATCTCTAGGCACCGACACTGAGGTGAATGGTTTTTTTTAGTATACAATAAAACAGTGAGACAAAATAGCACAAAAAGATGATATTAACTCATTTTTTCCTGCAACAATTACAAAATTTTTCGGGCGCAAATCCCGTGCGTCTTATTCGGAGGTAAATAGCGAAGGATATTAGAAGTTCGATCAGCCAATCAGCGCGCACCTTCAACGCTATTATACACTAATGAAAATTGGCCATCAGCTTCGCATCTCGGTAAATACCCACCACTTCTCACTTGCACTCCGGTGAAAAATTGTTCGTTTTTAACATTTAATCGTTGAAAATTCAAACTGGAACTGAAAATGTCCTCCTTTTTCATCCTCAGACGCTTGAAAAACAACATGATTACTCACATACAAGATGGAGCCTTTGATGGCCTCAAAGATCTTTTCGAAATGTAAGTATGAAATCCATTTGTTGAAACATGCATTTGCATCAAATTAGCTTTTTTTCGTTATTTAGTTGAAGGAGAAAAGTCGCTGACCGGTTTTTTTTTATGTTTGATGTTTTGTCTCTCAGAAACCTGGATCACAACAAACTGGAGACCTTTCCTATTTTCAAAACCAGGTCACCGCTGAAGAGGCTGTAAGTAAAGATATCTGTCTATAGATGTGAACGGTAGATGAACGTGAACAAATTCGCATCTCGACTGGCATATCTACCTTTCATGGCAGCTCTATTAACAAACAAGTTCGTCTCTTCTTCTTAAACAACTGCAAAACTATGAAGAAATACTTTCACTGAATTTGACGCATGGTTTGAAAGTTGATAAATACCACTGGTAGAATATTGGTCATTTAAACCGATCAGGCGTGAGCAAAAAATCTTATGGATTTTAGCAGTTTTGAATAACATTTTCTTGTGCTGCGTGAGATTACGGAAATCCGCAGCTTTTACCTCGAGAGTTTCTCAAGCTTTCATAATTCTTTACGGTAGCCAAGTTACATTATTAACTCAGTTGATAAAACCGAATTATCTTGTCATCTTGTCATACCCTCTCTCCCTTCCCCCCCCCCCCCCACCGACGCAGTTTAACTATTACGTGGGTTTACTATTCGTTCAATTCCTCACACCAATCTCTAACCATTGTCTTAAAATAAATTGTTCCAAATTTTTTTTTTCTCCAGTTATCTCAACCACAATAACATCAAAGCATTGTCGCGAGTGTCTCTAAACAATCTACCGGAGCTGACCCGATTGTAAGTACAGACTCTGCAGACCTGCTTCATAGATAGCGGGCTTAATTGCTATGCTTCTGTATCCGTATAAATTAGCCTTTCTGGCCGCGAAAACATTTTGAAATGAGTTCCAAAATCATTCCGCTCGGATTTATGACCCAAGCGTGAAGCGTGCGGGCCATAAATTCGAGCGGAAAAAACGAATTAGTAAAATATTCATTTTAACTCTAGGTTCAAGTAGATGGGAAAGATTTCAGTTGAAAGAGACTTTTGAATTTAGCGGGCCGCATAGTGCATTATGGCCCGTTGAATTGACCGATCACAACGCACGTACTAACTGAAAAATGTAGTAAGCGGTAAATTATCATTCCCGCCATCTTGAAAGAGGTCTTTACATTCTCTTTTATCTCACCGACAGATTCATTCGCAGTTTCGACATCATCTAGCAACTAACGTTATCGCTAGTCTCTCGATACTAGTTGCTAGTTCACAGCTCATTTTTCCCCAGAATTTTGTCAGTTCTACAGTACCATTTAAACTCTTAGGTGGAGAGAGACATTGTGAGATCGAGATGTCTTTTCCAAGATTATAACGCTATGATTCCAGGACAAAGAATATTCTTATCCCTTTTTTTATGAAAATAATTGGAAAATGATGTTTTTTCATAAAAATTCCACCATTTTTATTTGCAGAAGATTAGACGAGTCAAGCATCACAGAGATACCTGCGTTTATATTCAGTAACAACAAAAAGCTAGTAAATTTGTAAGTAGATTCGCTCGTCTATTTTCCGTCAATTACTCAGAGTTATTCTTAGTTAAACAAATTGCACAATTTTTTTTTTATTTGGAACCGATTGGTGGAAGCGTCAGCCTGTAAACCATGTAGAACTTGCAAAGGAGCAGAAGATACAAACAAAACAGCAGTCGAGTCGGGACTCTGAATACCTACTCTAATTTTTCTTTTTCAAGGTCATAAAATTGAGTTTAACAATGCACTTGTGAGGCACGAATCCTGCATTTTCAGGATAGCCATATCAAGAACTGAAGCCACAAAACAAATTAACTTCAGCTGAACTAATGCTGTGTGTATTTTCATCTCAGGACTATGCAGAACTCACCTTTGAAAAAAATTGACGACGATGCATTTAAGGATTCAAACCTCCAAGAACTGTAAGTATCTAATTTAATGAGGTCAATACTTGTTGAAATTGTAAAAGCAATTACCTAATTCGGAAATTAGGCAATTAACGAGAAACACTCTGACATGCAAGCTCTGCCAATCTCTCTGTAATCTATACAAGAACTAAAACGCCCTGGAAAACGTCCGTCATCAAATTTTTGAAGCAAGTTTAGTTCAAATTCAGAGTTGGTAACAAATATTTTTCGTATGACACAGTTGTACCCAGCTCAGAGTTGAAAATTCTGGAAGATCCTATCCTAAAAGCAATAAAACTGTTCTAGCAAGTAGTAAAAACGACAAGGGTATTACGAAGAAATGAGCATTTTTCGAAAAGCTCTTTTGAAAAGTGTCTTTTTAGATCCTTGTCGACAAATTTAAAAAAGTCACAAAAAAAGTTTCGTCGTATTTTGTAGCAGTGACCCTACCAGTCTCGCAGATCTCTTACTTCGACAGCCTTACGCACTACCCGAGACGTCTCGCAAGGTTTATCTTACCTGCAAAACGTGACAATGTCATCGGAAACATTGATCTTATTTTATGAGTCCAAAGAAAAAGGGTAGAAGGCAAATATGGCAGTGACCAGAATCCATTTTATTTTGTGTTTAAGTCCTCTTGCTGCACCCGGGTTTCCTTCTCTCTGTAGAAACCTATATCTCAAGCAATGATGGCGAGGTTTAACTCATTCAAAAGGCGGACATGATTATTATTGTTCTAAGTATTCAATTATTTTTAAACATTTTGTCGAGGCTGGAAAAGGAAAATTTACTTGAATACAAACGAAAAGAAATTAGGCTAGCAATTTACGACAGAGGTCTATGAGTAAAGACACGTTCATTATTTTCATCAATTTCCTTACCATGCTTTCCAGGTTCTTACAAGGTACAAAAATCACATCGCTACCTGCAACAGGACTTGATCAATTAAAGAAATTACACCTGGAGAATGTTGAAGATTTCTGGTCGATTCCAGCCGGTCTGAAAAGCATCACAGAGGTGTATTTGAGTAAATACAACTCTTTTTTGTGTTGTGCCTTCGATCTGGGTACATACCAGCGCAATATGGGACGACAAATTAGCGACGCGTGGTGGACCTCCTCACCTAAACATTTTACATCAGCTGCTTACAAAAGTACAGCGACGGAACCCACGACAAATACTGATGAATCCTCTACGTTAGCGTCTGTTGCGTCAGGATCTTTTAGATCTACAACATACACGCCAACTCACAGCCCGAGCCAACACCGAAATTCGTCGACCACTCCTTTTGACCCATGGGGAAGAAGAAAACGTCGTGACTGGGGAGGATGGGGGACACAAGCCCCCACGGCTAACCATACAAGTGGTAGTTATACCTCACAGATAACTACGTCTGATTCCAGCGGCGGGAAAACTCCCCCCGATGGTTTTCTACCCGTAACAGCTTCTCATCGTTCCACACTCCATCATGAAAACACTACAAACAGAAGTATAGTAACAGAACCACCCCTTTCAACTGTGACTTGCTTGCCCGAAAGAGACGCATACCACCCATGTGAGGATATAATGGGAGCAAAATGGCTTACTGTGGTGTCTTTCATGGTAGGAAGTGTGGCACTAATTGCAAATCTTGTCGTCGTCGTTGTCATGCTCTCAAGTGATCGTCGTTTGAACGTTCACCGTTTTCTAATGTGCAACATGGCCTTTGCGGACTTTTGTTTGGGCCTCTACATCTTCCTGCTCGTGTGCGTGTCGCTGGACACTTCAGGTGATTATTACAACTATGTCAGGACCTGGCAGTACGGTGCTGGCTGTCACATCGTGGGCTTCCTTGCTGTGTTCTCCACAGAGCTGTCGGTGTACACTCTAACAGTCATCACCATCGAACGATTTTTTGCCATCGTGTACGCCATGGAAGTGAATACTCGACTTTCACTCCGCAAAGCAGTTAAAGTTATGATTGCAGGATGGGTTCTTGCTCTTCTCCTCGCCATTTTCCCTCTTGCTGATGTAAACAGCTATAGTAGTGTGGCAATTTGCCTACCCTTTGACTCCCACACGAAAGGAGACTTGGCCTACGTGGGTATCGTATTAGTACTAAATTTTGGGACTTTCTTGGTCATCGCGGGATTGTACGCGAAAATGTTTCAAGTCGTGGTAGGACCCGGTCCAGTTGATGGGGCCCCACAGAGGAATGATGCAAAAGTTGCTAAGCGGATGGCTTTGCTTGTTTTTACCGACTTTGTTTGCTGGACCCCCATTGCATTGCTGGGCCTTATAGCAGCTTTTGGCTCACCTCTTATCGGAGTGGAGGATTCAAAGTTTCTCCTCGTGTTCTTCTTTCCACTCAATAGCCTATGCAATCCATTTTTGTACGCCTTTTTCACGAAAGCGTTCAAGCGCGAGTTCTTTGCCCTTCTGAGTCGCTTTGGGTTCTGCCACACGCGAGCTTTACATTACAAAGGGACGCTGTCGTCGCTTATCTACTCCCGGTCACGCACCAAGCGCTCCACAATAGCTGAAGATGACACGAGATCGAAGCGAATCTCACAAGTATCCGCTATTTCAGGTACTGAGATCAAAACAGGAATTGGTTTCTTTAACGGCAACTGCAATGTTTACCAAAATGGCCATCCTCAGGATAGCTCACCGGAGTGCATTCCCATGAAAGGTGTTCACAACCAGGGCTTCGGCGATGTATCACCAGAGAACCCCGGCAACGATGACGTTTTTTTCAATCCTATGGCTGGAGCAACACCGACGGCTGACACGTCTCCGAGATCTCCTTCGCGGAGATCGCCCGCGGATTTGGAATCTCCTGATTGGTCAAATCGTAGCACGCCCCAAATTTCTCGAGCTCCAAGTGTCGGCAGCTTTCATGCAGTCGAGGGACAGCTGACGGAGAGGAGAATCAAAAAACAGTCCGTTTCGTTCAAGGATATCCCGAAAATAGACCTTCAAAGCTCAACTGAAACACTGTGATAGCAAATGAAACCATCGGTGTAACATGACGGACATGACAGGATACTCTTTGCAGGCACTGAATGTCATTGGTGATTGTTTAAAGTGAAATTAGTTGGTTGTTCTTCTTAGACGTGTCGACCTCCATATAACCAACCAGCTGTTGTTCAAGAAGTAGGAGGCATTTGTTCACCTTCTGTGGCGTACCAACAAAATAAGCCCCCCTTACAAAAACTCGCTATGGTGAAATTATGTGATAAAGCTAGAGGAAAGAACTTCACATCCAGAAAAGAACTTCGCATGAAATTGAATTTGATGAAGAAGTTAATTCTAATTGACAGAAATTTAACCATCCAAGATTGTGTGAAAAGCATACTTGAGAACGGTGACTGCGCTGTTCAGTTCCCAGCCATTTTGAGGAAGGCGTGATCGCAGTTTCAAATCTCAAGTAAACATTTGATAAATTATTTGTATAAATATGTCGACTATATTAATCGAACTAAATCTTTAACATATTGAAAAATTTTGTTGGATTACCGAAGACATCGTCAAAGACCTTTCTCAAGAACTGGCGCCCGAAATTTCGATTCATGATTCAGAAAAGTATACTCATGAAAGTAAAATAGTTAAAATAGTAACTACTAGCAAATTAAAATTTATAGAACACAGAGGGGAGCACTTAAATCCGGAAGATCCACTAACGTTATATTCAGATAGTCTCTCGAACGAATGATGTCTCCACTAGGCCTTTACGTCCAAACGAAGTTATATTTTTTCAGCTGCACTGAACGTTTTGTTACAGGAAAGTATTAAGGATTACGACGGAAATCAACGATGCTTACGTGGTGTTGGTTTACACAGCTTTTTTTGTTGTTGTTTTATTTAGCCGCCATTTTTTGAGAAGGGTCAATGAATAGAACATAAATAATAATATAAAAATCTAATTGCACTTTTGAAATTTTGTTGATTTCACGTGTATTACGGGCAGTCGCTCTGACTGAAACGTTTTTGCCCAGTTCCTATGGTTCCCAGACCTTCACGGACACATCGGTGGGTGGCACGCTGAGGAACTTAACAATATCTTCATATAAATAAAAAGAAAATGGGGGAAAAAAAAGGGCTGTGCGCAGTCCTCGCTCGGCCTTTCTAGAGTCTGATAGTGGTCTCATTATGATGTAATAATACGATACAACTCACATTGAGGTAAAAAGTATAACGACTGCGTTAATGATGTTAAAAATGTATGGCCTTGGTCATATTCTGTTATGAATACAATATGTATAAGAAAATGAAGCTCCAGGGTGTGAGCCTGATTTACTGTATAAAAGATGATGTTATGTGTTCTCCAAATGTTTCCTAAAGGCCGAACTTCTTGCGAACACACGAGCGCTGGAAACACACGAGCGTGAAGACGAGAGCATTGAGCAGTTTTTCAGTTAACCCTATAACTCTAAAGATCTGATTGCTAATTCTCCCATCTAGCTGCCACAGGTTTACTTCCAAATTAGTCACAAGAATTTGGTGTTTGATTAAGATAACAACTTTTAATTTGGTTTAGTCTGAAATTAGTCACGAGAATTTGGTTTTTGATTAAGATAACAACTTTTTCGTGATAAGTTTGAATTAGCGCTTATATTTCTTAGTTTTTTTTTTTTTTTTTTTGAGAGAGAGAGAGAGAGAGAGGAGAGAGAGAGAGAGAGAGAGTAGTGGAGTTGGGAGAATTAGGGCTCAGAGAGGGAGAGATTTTTTTTTTTTTTTTTTTGAGAGAGAGAGAGAGAGAGAGAGAGAGAGAGAGAGAGAGAGAGAGGGATTTGCACGAAGGGCGTGGACATTGATTGCGAGGACAGTGAGGGGGGAGGGCAAGGAAGGAAGAATTGCCCGTGCCCTCCCCACCCCACTTACACTTAATCAAACGCGGCAGACTCAACTAAGGTCCTGTTTAAGTGGAGGTGGGAGAACCCAGGTAGGTGAGGTAACCCGCCTAGCCATGGTCGAAAAGTAAAACGCGTTTACATGCAATCTTACACCCCGGGGTGCTGGGGTGAGGTTTCTTGAGGTTGTTGTTGCGCTTGGTCGCATGGTCGATTTACAACACTAAATATTCCGAAATGTGGATATTTTACACTCCTTGTGTGTCCGTTGTGGTTTCTTGTGATTTTTGCCATGAGAGGGCTAGGAAATGTACAAAGTTTTAAAACTTACACGTTTCGCTTTTGAGCTTTTTGCCATGAACGCGACCCCGGTTAGGCGGGTTACCTCACCTTGACACGTTTACATGGCAAATTGTCACCCCGGCTGACAGGGATACCCTGCCTGGCAGACCGGACAACCTGCCTAGGCGGGTCACTCCATCTATCATGTAAACGTGATCAAAATAAAATAAGAAATTATATGGACAGGCGGGTTACCTCACCTACCTGGGATCCCCCACCTCCATGTAAACAGGCCCTAACTAGCTCTTCCTTTTTCATAAACCTCCATCGCAATCTTTTTCTTCTTAAATGGTTCGCAGCGTTATTAGATTTTGCACACTTTCACTTGACCCAGGCCCTAAAAAAAACCCCGATAATTGCTTAAAGAGTAATTGAGAAACTCCAAACCTTATTTTAACCATGACGGTGAAGTAAGTTTTCATGCAATGGAGAATATTTACCTCATTACCGCCAGCACCGTTCTTTTCCGCAAAACATCCCCATTTACTTGTCAATTTTTTTTTTTTATTGCATACCCTGCAACATCGAGTTTGCAGCCTTTCTTAAGGAATTAACAGCATTCTCTCTTGGCTGGAATAAGAATTAAGGTGTATTTTTTCTTTTTCGTTCCTTTACATTTCTCGTCACCAAGGATCCTGCATTCTTAAATAGTTCGCTGAGCGTGCAAACAAAACCCCGTGCTGAATATGTGACGTATTAGCCGGCTAGTGGCTGGTGTTGTTAATGAATATTCATCGGAAATGGTAGAATTTTTAGCAAACCACGCTTTCCACAGGAGAGAGAAGATGTGCTTTCCCTGTTGGAGATAAAGTTGGAATCTGGAAGAATGAAGGTGCATTAACGGTACAGAAGAGCAACGGAAAACTCTCTTATTGCACTCTGACAGAAGGTGAGAAATCATTTCGAAGACATTGTCTTGAACTTTTTGTGAGAAAGCTTAGCTAGTCGCAACAACTCAGTCAAACAAGTCAACATGTGTCAAATGTTTTATACAAGTAACTCTTCTAATTTAAGTTTGAATCACCGAAGATGTCGGCCTCTGCAGAAGCGGAACCTATGGCTGTAAACATTTTAACTAAAAAGTCTTTACCATCTAATGTTTGGACGCTAAGATATAGAATTTTTTGGTGCTAGATTTATTCGTGAGGTCATTCTCTACTTTAACGCGGCCACGTGAACTTTTGAAGACCTCTCTAATGAATCCGTCCCCTAAAGTTTTCAAAGAGCAGTCCTCATTTCTATTCTTCATGAAGATTAAAAATAGTAAGCACTCCACTGAATACTTAAACATTCTAAATTTCAGAAGGAGGATTGTTGTCAGAAGGATGGAAAGATAAAGAATGTTGCCAAGGGGACACAGTGGAATCACTGGCTATAAGAGGATACTGCCTCGAAGATAAGAACTTTGAAATATTGTGTTACAGTAGTAAAAATGGTGGCTGCTTATAAATGTCTAGTTTGCGTGAAAACGCTTCCTCCTCACCAGTTGTCAATTGTTATTCATCTTGGAGTCGACAATGAATACAGTTCATGGTAAGCGATTAGAATACGTTTAGCCACCATTTTTTAATTAATTTGTTGTGATGTAGATTGTTATACAAATCTTGAGCGACCGGATCGTATGACTTTTGAAGTTCACTACCAGCTTTAATTTGGAATAAATAATTTCACAGGAAACTTTGGTCATATACTGAGCAATAGTATCAATTGGAGATCATTTGTAGACGAAGTACTTATAAAAACTGAAACTAGAGTTGTTGATTTGGTAAGACTGGTTGCTCATTTTTGGTTTGCTTAACAGCTAGTATCACATTGTTACCTCGGTTGATGTCGCAGAGGATGCGAATTTTCAAGATGACACTGCACCAAAATGTACTTTGGCGAGGTAAAAGATTCAAAATCCCATCGTGCTGTAATTAGAATCAAATTCTTTCAATTACTCACACGTACAAACCCTACCGTCGACTTGAATACTACTCAATGTTTGAAATACAGCACTAATTCTTTTCAACAACTGACTTCAGAAAGCTGGCTAACTGAAATATAACAGGCCCCTCTAAAACTAGGGACGTCAGCATTTTTCAGTAACTTTTATAACACCAAAAACTACCACAAACGACCTTAACACGGCCAAGGAAACATACGCTACGACTCACCTTCACCGACAGATTAGAGCTAACTTATCACAACTTGACGAACGCAACTCGAATCTGACAGCCGGTAACATCAAGGGAAAAAAAGCACTTCGAGGCTTTTAAGACCAAACTGATACTTCACTCTCGTCGAAAGCTGCATCAATGAGTTATGTTCGTTAAACATAGAAGTATTTCAAGTCAAAAGTGAAACAAAATCCAGTTTAGTGCCATCTTAAAATTTGTATTTGCTGCATCGCCCCATCAACCGATGTCGGTTGCACGAGGACATTGGCTTCAATGTTGCGACCAGATTTCAGAATTATTCGGGTTATTGCACACTGTTTGGTCTAATCATTTTTTCTCTCTTTTATTGTGACGTTGCAGCCAATGTCTTCTTGTCGTTTTTGGAAGCTATATTTTTAAATCCAAAAGCCTGGTTGTTCTTTGAAAAACTTGACTAAAATAAAATGGATTTATACATAAACCAGTTCAAGTGGATTCCTGTTACTGAAGAAGGACGATAGATTTTTACATTTCAAAGATATTACATTCTTCGGTAAATCTTTTACCAAATCGTGCAATATTAGCCAGCAGTTAAAAGCAAACTCATCTTTCGATATATCATTTCTGTACGTGAGCAAGTCCATATGAAATCTCAGTCGTCCTTTCAAAG